TATCATAAAGATATTACCGTAACCATAGCACCGAGCGAGATTAATAGCTCCTGAGATAAAATCTCGCTTCGCGTCCCGACGAGAAAAGAAAAAAGGAGCTACACATATACGGACACACAAAACGCCCGGTAGGTTGCGTATCAAAGGGCATAAATTCACGTATTTTATGTGACGCTTCCCGAAGAATGTTAATAATTTAGTATAATAATATTCCACGTCAGATTATTAATGTAGCAGTTCCAAAGACTTTACGTTATTTATGGCGTTGACATTAATCACACGTCATTCTCCGGCTAATTTATCGTACCTATGTTAAACGTACGGTACGTTGTCGTCGTACGATTCGCGGCCATCTTGTTCGCATCTTCCATTCCAGTTCGGCACATTATTAGTATCATTTATCGTTTAGCGGCCAAGGATGGTTATTGGATCTACTTTATTTTTCACACCGATTGTCATAATATACAGTTCAATAATACTTAGAATGTAGTGTATTTTAAGACTCAGTCCTTCCTGAATTTTTGTTTTCGGGTAATAATTGACTAATTTATTAAATACACTGGAATTACGACGGAGGTGATTCCTTTTTTTATATATATTTCAAATTGTATATAGTTTTTCAATAAGTTGATGTTACAATAAAATAATACAAGGTGTGTGTCAAGGTATCATCAAAACTCTTTTTTAAGGTCTATTTGTGAGAAATATCTGTGCCATCCAGGCCTATGACGTCAAGGAACTTCACAATAGAAAGTCTAGCGGGGTCAGATCGCATAACCTTTGTGGCTATTTCACACCACCATTTCGAGAGATAACCTTAGTCTCAAATCGTTCGTACCAACTGATAATTATGGCGTCCGCTGGTAGGCACGTAGCGCAGTCTTGCTGGAACCACATGTGTCTAGCTCCATATGGTTCAATTTCGGCCACAAGAAATTGGTTATCGTCGTTCTGTAGCGTTCGCTGTTGACGTTGGTCGCCTGGTACGAACTAATAAATCCGCCGAGCCAAAATCCACACCAAGCGGTTACTTTTTGAGGTCGAGATCGTTAAGGGACGTGATTTTTTTTCAATATTTAGAGTCCGTTTCCGAATGATTGGGGAAGCTCAGTCCGCCAACAAGTACTGTTGTCTATCGTTATGAACTTAGAGCTTCTGGGTCACTTAGATCTTGTCAGGGTGTACGCCAAAATCCGTTCAAAATTCGCGAAGTTGAAATCTGCGAAAGGCCGAATTTTTGAATGGACGCCCGAACCGCGTCGCCACAGTTGTTAAGAAAGCTGATGTCTTAAAGTGACATGACACTTTATAAATGCTTAGTCAGTTCATAATTTGCTATTTTAGAGTAGGGAGTCGATTTTCTAACTTCATTATTAATGGATAGATGTATGGATTAATAAGAAAAAATTGAAAATCTACAATCTTATATTATTGACCAATATCTAATTAGGATAAAATTCAAGAAACTTATAGTTCTTATACAAACAGATTTATTGCCGGCTAGTACAAGTACCAAGTTCAAATAGCACCCGATGAGAATCGCATTTTCGCATTTATTCTTGAGAACTCACTTACACTTTAAACAATCGTACGCATTTATTCTTGAGAACTCACTTACACTTTAAACAATCGTACAAATATATAGTACTTTATTTAATAACCAGAAAACTATCAAACAAACGCATGGGGCATATTAAATTGCAACACACAAACAGAATGTATTTTTGCTTTAAATTATGAGCATCCCTCCGTAGTCTTCACTTTAATCAGAACAGGATATTATTTCTTGTTAGTTTAAAATACATCCAATGTTCTAAAAATAAAATTATCATCGAACAATCTTAGGTACAGATCTGAGTCCCAAAAGTTCCCGAGCAGTGGCATAATTTGCTGAAAGCAGAACTTTAAATCTAGCCACTATCGTAAGAAAATGCGTTTGTGAAAACACACTGTGAACATAGTATTTAATATAAGAATTACGGTACAACGTAGGTTCATTAATTGGCAGCTAACGTTAGTTCGCGATTGGTATTATAATTACCTTTCTAAGAGTTAAACCAAAATATGTATTAGATATTTGGTACATCTCTAGAATTTAGAAATAGTAATGGCTAGAAATTGATTTGGAAAACGTGCTTTATGTAGTAAGAACTAGAGTTACGAATTTTTTTATCTGCGCGCCATAAACATTATTCCATCGCTTACTGCTGCTGTTATTCTTTCCCGACGCAAGATCCGACCAGTATCTTTCCATCCGTTTCTGGGACGTTGAGATTCAGTCACTCATTAAATTAATGTAATTTCAATAACACTCTGGTTTTGTTTTGTTTACATTTCGCGTATGGATTTTTGAACTTCCTTAAGGGCAACAAGTGGTTAATTACAACAAAAATATATTTGCAAACATTAAAAATATTGTAGATTTGTATATTTATAAATAATATGTCATAAACTGATATTAATAAGTCGATATGCTAATAATATGTATTTAGTAGTCAAATTGTAATTTTGTATTGTCGCATTTTAGTTTTACTAATTATACTTAAAGTTTCTACATAAGTACGTGCCTAAGTACCTTCCACGGACAGAATAATATTGATAATAACTAAACAATGTGCAGTGTTTAGATACGACTCAAGACAATTTCTTAGTGTTTTCGTGCAATCCTCATCCCTAGAGAACTCTTTTCTCTTATGTAGTTTATTCTGTAATAACGAAATTAGAAACAGCTTCATAGAAAACATTTGTGTTCGAATATTCTGATCCCTCTGTCGCTAAGCAATGATGATCAATGATGAAGTCATTGACTAAATAGATGATTCAGCCCGGTATACTACTAAGGTTGCGTAACGCCATTTGTAAATATATTGTTTAAAAAATTTAAGACATTATGCAATAATGGACAAATATTGTTTTGTAGAATTTTAAAATTGTCCCTCATTCGTTTCTTTTCTTTAAAGACCTCTATTTTTTGTTCTTTATCCTCTTTTTAAATGCAAACTATTTCCCGGATCCTTTTTCCCCTCTCGAGACCCTTCGACTTTAGTCCCCGATACGAAAACGCGAATAAGAAAAACATGACCAATTAAAGGGTTGGACGCGAGCGATAACTCTAGCCGGACTGATTAAAAATCTCCGCAAAACAGACAAATTGAAGTTTAACGTCCGGACCAAAGCCTGGGCCAACCACACATTATTATGTCGAAACATCGGCCCGCCGTCACTTTTTCGAATTTCGCGCGTTTGTATGCGGTCTCCTGACGAATTGTATCCTCAAAACAACGGCGATGTTACTTTATTTGGTTACAGAATGAGGATTTTTTTTTAAACCAAGGCCATTACGTTCTTCGTCAGGTTGATTTCCTTACTAAGATAATTATTTTTTAATCAATTCATCACTCATGAAAGTAACCATTCAAAGGCGAAATTTGTTATTTTGTCCTTTGGAATTACTTATTCATAATCATATATCATTGAATCTTTAAAACAATTTCTATTGAGATTGCCTTTTTAAAACAAGAAAAGAGAGCAATAATTACAAGGAAAACTAATTAATGTTTTGCCACCAACCAACTGTTACGATTGATAAAAGCATAGACTAAATGTGATAATTAGTCTATGGTGGATAAAAGCTGTAGCGGATTACGTCACTTAAATCAAAGAATGTTTGATTGTGATCCAATCAATGGTGCTGTTGGCTTTCTGCCTTTTAATTTTATAGCAATAAGCAAGTATTTGGCTAGTTTTGGTTAGTTTCTATTACTTTGTTGTTGTTGCTATTGAGCATAGGCGTATTTATGCTATTATTTAAAAATACGTAAATGAGGAGACAGTACAACGAGTCAAACATTTAACGCCTGCTAGATAGCTAACTGGAAATGTAAAGATCTGTAATAGTATATTATGCAACAAGTGAGGTAATATACTAAAAAGGTGTGGTTAATCGCAAAAGGTAATGTGAAACGTACTAAATTAGTCTTTCAAGCATATTTATTCCAACATTTTAATGTTTGTACATAAGAAATTTATATGTTAAACTTGTGTTTCGAATTATTGTGTAACGATAACTTTTGTAAAAATTTACTCGACGCAAAAGAATTCGGGGAATATAGGAGCCGTAAAGTGCATGCGTCACTTCCGAAACCAATAATTATTGTGAGAACTCAATCCGTATTAAAGTCAAATATAATTACGTCCTTCCCAGTTTTCTTATAAAAGGGTTGAAATCTGCCTAAACAAAATATATACAAATCAAAAATGTATATACATAATTTTACAGTTTTCTTTTTTATTTAATTTGTACAGCTCAAACTAACCAAAACACAAGCAAAAGTTATATGGAAATGTGTACCAAAATTTATGTGGTTCACAAGCTCTAGTTTGATACACAATTGATTGAAATGTATTATATAAATAGCCAACATATTAGTTAAGCTCCATATTTATGGGTTCGTTCTACCATGTATACATATTAAATTTTTTGCCTGCCTCGTTTGGTTATATATACGAAATAAAGAAAAAAGGACATTTCCTTTTCTTATTGAGATTAACTACTGTCTTAACAATGACAACATTATAATATGGTGCTGCCTTTACTAGATTTGTCCACTTTCGCAACAAGTATTCACGTCAAAAAAACTCGTGTGAAAAACAAAAAAAAATGAGGTTATAATTAATTGATCAATATTTATTGCATCAACTAATGTATTACTATTCTCCAGCATTTGGTCATATTTATAAACATTTCTTAAGGCGTCTCTGTATTTGAGGGATCTTTAATAAGATCATAGCTTATACATGAAACCAACTTGGAAGAGATTATTTTGGGTGTGCCCCTTTTTGCTGTGTGTTTTATATGTTTATATATGTTTTCAAATTTAATTGCCTAGTTTTGATTTTTGGGAAATGGACCATAAACGTACCACAGAACAATCAACAACATAGAATGACGGTGTGGACGTTTCACGGATGTCTATCAAATCAACGCATGTCAACGAACTTGCTGTCATTGGAATCAGCTGTGTGTTTATCTTGTCTTTTGAAAGCGTATTTTTCTATTTTGGATCAACCTCAGATTTTTTCACTTTATTTCTCCGAGTTAACTTTAAACATCGCTATCGTCCGTGTACGTACGTACATTTTCGTCATAGCGTAAGTTTGCAGTTATTTGATATGTTTCGGCGAAATCAACGGCTAAAAATGTTAGTTGTTAATATGAGCCCCTGAGTGCGTTTATGATTTATCCGATGAAATATGTTTGTCAAACCTGAGGAAGTTTTGATAGCCAACGCGTTTTGGTATACGGCTCATACATCAAAAAAAATTTTGTTTACAGAAAAATATTTTTTAGGGAAACTGAAGAATCTTCAATATATTTCGTGTTGCAACATAGGAAAGGTCATGGAACAGTTAAAGGATTATCTTCTCTTCTTGTTGGTACCATGGACAGTATTTTCGATACCAAACCGGCTCCTTACAGAATATTGCATCAAACCCCTAATTCTGAACTATATCACTGTTTGTATTCTACATTAGTTTATATTGAAAAAATGTAAAAAGTGTGTGTTTTAGTGGTAGCATGTGCTATGACAAGAAACGAAATCCTCAAAGATTGGGACTGGCTATTCAATAATGTCTGTGGCACACTTCATTCATTTGAAAGTGAGGAGGATGTAACTGAATTTGTGATGTGCAAAATTGAGTCTGTTATTGCTGCCAATCAACAAATGGAAGTTGATGGTTAGTAATAAAGATTATGTTTTTAATATAATTAATGGTAATGATTTAGTTTTTAACGCATGTCAGTATAACATTTTCTGATTTGTAGATGATGATTCGAAAGCCTTTAAAACAACTTCTGAAAAATTCTTGAGACTCTTTGGGCTTTCTAAAGAGGAAAAATTAGTAAATTATTATTCTTGTAGGTAAGTGGTTAAGTTGCAAATAAGCTGTTTTTACTATTGAAGTTGTAAAGGAAATTCATGTAACTCCAACTATACCTTTGAGTATGACGCCATTATCATTTATTTCATGGTTCATTATTATTTACTCAGATAAGGGGCATAGGTTGGTATTTAATATTCCTTATCTTTATCACCATCTTTGTAAATAAAATAATGGGTAATGAGTTTTGTTTCTGTATTTAATAGTGCAGTAAACAGCAAACAACTGAACCATAAAAAACTTTATTTTTATGTAACTTAATTATTTAGCTTGAGTTGAATTTAATTTTGGTAATTTTGCAATCTCATGGGATTTTGATTAGTTTTTATTTTCAGTCTGCAAATTACATCTTACAAGGCGTATATGCAATATATATCACCAATGCATTTGGGATTGGGATTTAAGCGGATTGCAAATGCAAAACTAGGAAACCTATAAAATTTGAAAATTCAGTAATACTAAATACGCTTTACACACACTGCATATTTTTTAATTTCAAGTTACTGTAATTATGATGTGCAATTTTGCTAGAATTTTATTGTTTTTTTTCTATTAGCTTAAAGAAAGAACAGCATTAAACTTTGCTTAATAATTTATCTGGTTGATGATTTTCATTAAATCTTTTTGTTTTTGATTGAAGCTACTGGAAAGGAAAATTGCCTAGGCAAGGTTGGATGTATATGTCTATCAACTATTGCTGTTTCTATGCATTTATTTTGGGAATGGACACAAAGATATGTATAAGATGGTCTGAGGTAACCAATCTTAGTAGAAAGAACAGCTTAGTATTTCCAGACTCCATTAGAATTGGCACTCGAGAAAAAGAATATTATTTCAGTATGTTCTTGAGGGAAAGTGAGGCCTTTAATCTCATGGAGCAGTTGGTAGATTTAGCTGTTAAGCGGTAACTTCATTTTTGCATTCTAAAGGATGAAAATAATGTAATTTTTTTAGGCTCATTGATGATAAAAAAAGCTATCAAGAAGATAAAGAGTTGTTAAATAAGTTGAGGTTATTACTATGATCGTACAACTAGAAACTTTGTACTAAATCTCACTCATTGCAGTAAAAATGTTCCAAAAAAAGCATCATTCCTCAAACGCGATCTCGACGCACGGGTCCAGTCTGAAGCATACCGTATGATGTTCCGTTTGCCTGGGGACGAAAAGTTAGATGGGTCAATTGACTGTACTTTGCTGACCCCATATAATAAGAAACACGTATCAGGTCGCTTGTTCTTGTCACAAAATTACATTTGCTTCGAAAGTCGTGTAAGTGATAATGATTGATGGGTGCATTAGTCCACAATTAATCTTTTTTAGGTTAAAGCCCAAGTAGGGCTTGTTGTTCCCCTCAGAGAAGTAATAGTCGTTGAGAAAGTTGAAAATAATGCTAGTAACCAATCTTTGGATAAAGCTATTATTGTGACAACTGGGAACTCATTAAATAAGACAAATTTCATTTTTGCTCAAATATTGGATCGTGATTTTGTTGTCGACAAGATATCTGAGCTGTTATCACGAACTCGGGAACTAAAGACGTGAGTTAAAAATATATGTAAGGTATGGAAATATAAATAATTTAATGAGCGATTGCTGACCCCACACTGATGTCAAATTGATACTTTGTTAAGTTGAATTTGTATTTATAAATTATAATGTTTATAATAATAAATAAATCTTTATTATAATATATAATGTAATAATGACAGTAATAATTACTATTGACATTTTCTGGATACTGCGCCAAAATTGCATGTACTTGCTGATGCTGAAAAAACTTGTGTAGTGCTGAGAGAAAATTTTTGTTGTGTGACTATGAGAGAGACTATAATATATTAGTAATAATATTTTAATTTATGTATTTAACAATAAAGGTACCAAAAATGATTCATGATTCTTTTGACATGTTGGTAGATTAAGTAATAGGACAGCTACAGCAAAACTTGACTCTCTTTTTTTGTCAAAAGTCTTTTTACAATTTGTTATTAAGTTCATCAAGTCAGACATTATTATTTGCCATTATATTGAGTAGCAAATTTTTAAACATTATTATTCAATTGGAAAACTATTTATTTCTCGGCATTCTATTTGCAGCCACAACTTTTTTTTTGTTTGTTTGTAAAGTAACTTTTCCCAACAACAAAACATTCAAGAGCTATTCACATTAAAACAGGCTTTCAGCGATTATTTAGCAAGCGACGTCATGGTATCAATCGATTGAGCGGGTTGTTAGTAGAACGAGTAAGCTTTCAAACAAATCCTAATTAAGTTGTCTATTAGTTTCGACTCGTCAAGCATGAAGAGTTTCACCAGTTTCTCGGATTCTGAATCCATTTGGAAAATGCAGCAGGCATTAATGAGAGTGTTTCCTCTGAGCCCTATTCCAGACGTAAACAAAAAACAGCAGCAAAAAACAAAAGAATGGGAAGAACATTTTAATACTTATGGACGGGGCGTGTCAATGTATAGAACCACCGAGGTGGCTGGTTTGGTCTTAACTGGCATTCCAGATCACTTGCGGATGGAGATATGGATGGCCTTTTCTGGTAAGAAACAGGCATTTATGTGTGCACTATTGGTACCGATTCACAAGAGTGGTGATAAGAGCATAAGAGAATAATAGAGGCGTTTACATACAGTCAGTGGTTCCTAAATCACTAGATAAGTTATTTTGTGAGAGACTTTCCTGGCATTGCAGGGGAATTCTGACTGATCAGAGTAGATCTACCCTAACAAATTACTCACCTACCAACAATCTTCATTGAACGCCTTTGAGGGGCGTGGTCAAGTTGATTGTGTCTACACTGATTTCTCAAAGGCGTTTGACTATAGGGATAGGCTGGTGCAATTTATTCAGTGCTTCTAGTCTGGTCGTACTCAGTTAGTTCATATAATTATGTCTCAGGTAAAATTGATATTTGTTCAGGAGTCCCCCAAGGTTCTCACACTGGACTCATCCTTTTTAACTTGTTTATAAAAGATATTGTTAGTGTAGTTTCGGAATCGCAACCTTTTGTTTGCGGATCATTTGAAGATATTCAGGAGGGTTGGATCGCGCGAGGATGCTCTGGTGCTTCAGAGGGACATGGACAGTGTGTCTAGGATTAATAGTCTTGCTTTCAACGTAACAAAATGCGGTCGTATTAGCTTTAGTTGTTCATTGACTATGGTTCACAATTGATATACCATTGATGGAGTTGAGATCGAGGCTTTTACTAACATTAAAGACTTGAGTGATTTCTTGGATTCTTAACTTAAGTGGAAAACAGATCTATGCGAATCCTTGGGTTTGTTGTACGCAATAGTAGCCAACTTACGCCATATTGCTTTAGACTCCTCTATATCTGTTTGGTCTGCGCTAGACTGGATTATACTTCTGTGGTATAGTCTCAACATTATGCCTGTAATATAGGGAACATTGAAGCCGTTTAGAAAGTATTTTTAAGATCTTTGACTTCAAAGGCGCATATCAAAATCTATAATCAGATCAACTACAGTATTTAACTAAGGCCTTCAATATTGATACTCTTCAAACCAGAGATTCTCTTTAAGATTTTGAATGGTTGATATTATTGTGCAGCTCTTTTACATAGCATACAATTTAACGCATATTACAGAAGTTGTGATAACTCAATGTTCCGCATACCTTACCCTCGCACAAGTTATGCAGTTTATTCACACCTTACTAGAATGCTGAAAGCGTGCAACTGTCTAAAGCTTGATCCTTTTGTTGACAGCCTCCGCTCATTTCGTTCTGATGTGTCCGTTTGAGTGCTTCCATTTAATTCTATTTACTGTTAAATTTTTTGAATTGGTTAAATCGTAAATATATTAAAATTAAATTGTTTTTTATTTATTGTTTAAGGTGCGGCAAACATCAAAGCATGTCATCCGGGATATTATAGGTCACTAGTAGACAGAGCACTCGAACAGCAGTCCACTGCTAATGAAGAGATAGAGAGAGACTTGCATAGATCGCTACCAGAACATCCGGCGTTTCAAAATTCGATAGGCATTGATGCATTACGCAGAGTGTTGTGTGCTTATGCTTTACACAATCCTAGCATAGGATACTGTCAGGCAATGAACATTGTAGGTCAGTATTCATGTTGCCGTTTTAGTAGATTTTATTAGTTATTTTGTTATTTTTTGCATTTCAGCGTCTGTTCTATTAATATACTGTAATGAAGAAGAAGCTTTCTGGTTGTTAGCCAGCCTCTGTGAGAATTTGTTACCTGATTATTACAACACCCGAGTGGTAGGAGCCGTTGTTGATCAGGGCATTCTGGACGAATTAACCTTGGAGCATTTGCCCACCCTACACGACAAACTCAACCAATTAGGTTGGAATGTGTGCTCATGCAGGCCTTTCAATCCCAATAACTCCCATACTTGATTGCAGGCATGATGAACATGATCTCACTGTCATGGTTCCTAACCATATTCCTATGCGTCATGCCTTATGAAAGCGCAGTCAATGTTATGGATTGTTTCTTCTATGATGGTGCCAAAGTAATTTTCCAGGTGGCGCTGATGGTGCTAGAGTGGAACCAGGAGAAACTATTACTTTGTAAGGATGAGGGTGAAGCCATGCAGCTACTTTCAGACTACTTGATGGGTGTATTCAATGACGAAGGGCGTGGAGCAATCAGAAATAAAAGTTACGATGAGCAGAAACGAGTTAGTGTTGTAGTTTTAGTCTGTCTTTTTTAAAAAATCCTTTTCATAAAAAAATGTATTTTTTAATTGTATTATTTTTGGTTTATTTCGTCATAGAGTGTATCAATTCAAACTTTAATATATGAAGCATACAGGGAGTATGGCACATTAACTACCGGGCAAATTGAACGTTTGAGATTAAAACATAGACTGAGGGTTGTGCAAGACTTGGAAGACACTTGCGAGAGGAACATATTGAGGAGTGTTATTGGCGACGGTTATTTTACACATCAAGAACTCCAGGTGCGTCTTTTTATTTTAGTATTGTTACATCTTTATGTGCTGATATTTTACAGGAATTACTGAGTCTAGTCAGAGAAGAAATATTCAGTCAGAAGAAGCAAATTAGTGAGAAACATGATCCCACCCTGCAACCTTATGAAGCGTACAAAGTAGACTTTGACTATTTCAAAATATTGTTTGCCGCCCTGTCACCATGGGGAAGGGGTGAAACGGCTGAATCTTTGGCTGCCAGGATATTCAACGTAAGTTTTTGTAAAGACTTTAACGGCAGTTAAAGTTAAAGTTTAAAATATGTTTTTTTTTTATATTTTTTTCGCAAAAGTAAAATGATTATTATTATTATTATTATTATACTATTAGCCAGTAGGCGGCAAAGCTGGTCAAACTGCACTGTATTATATGCATATACACTATATACAGAAGTCACATATTGACACTGCGTTCACTGTCTATTTACAAAATTATCAAGTCTATTCTTCAAGCTGTTCAGGGTAGGTGCAGTCACAATATTATCTGATAAACTGTTATACTTATTTAGAACACGTTTTTTTAAAAAATGTTTGGCGTTAAAGTCTGTGAGAGAGTTCAGTACACAAGTTTAGTGAATGGCCCCTTAGGTTATTGTTATTTTGATGAAAAAAGTCAATATCATATGAGTAGTGGCCATGCAGGACTGAATAGCATTCAATTAAGTCCCTCCCCCCCTTCTTCACCTTTCTTCTAAGTTGATTAGGCGAAAACATTTTAATCAATCTTCATATGGCGTTCCTTAAAGATGGAGGGATTTTTGATGCTCGCCTCTGAACCTGTTCCAGAGGATCTACTTCCTTTTGGAAGCGTGGAGGGAGACCACACCATTACAGCATGTTCCAGAACGAGTCTGATAAAACTTTTATAACCTCAAAGAAAAGATTCTTGAAATTTGCAGGGAATGGAAGTTAGATTGATTGGTCAATAGTTGTTTGCGAAATATTTATTGCCTTTCTTGTGGATCAGAATGACAATTACCTTTTTCCAACTGGGGGGTAGTTTCATTTCGTCTATATATGGCAAAAAATAATTTATCTATGCTATGCAAAGTGCACATTAAATTTCGTTGATTAACTTTTTAATTTATTTTTTTGGGGATTCTTTATTTTATATTAGTAAGGGTACAAGTATACCAGGCATCAATATAGCTCCTATAACAATTATAACTGACAATATGCACTTACTGATTATAAGGGATTTGTGTCTTGACTTCACCTAAACTAGAGACTGGACAATTCATAAATTGCGACCATAACATTGCCCTAAATGCTACTTACGATATTTGAAAATTTCTCGTTGCAATTTATATAAAAGTAACCCTGTTTGCGAGAAATTTCCTAATCTGGCGACAAAATATTACCTTGGCCAAGTTTTATTGGTAGGTGTGTTATTTTTATTTTTTAAAATACTTTAAATTGCATTGTTACCCTTTTTTACCCATTTGCAAAATAAGTAAATTCATTATATATTCTTGCATGCTACATATCTAATAAAAGGAAGTAATGGACTCATGTGACTTAAAACTAAAGAAAACATAGGAAAATATATACAATTATTTTACTTCAAATGACAAAATACTGTAAATTTTTCATTTAATATTTCAAAGTTGATGGACGCTAACCGGGATGGATACTTAAATTTTCGCGAGCTATCCGCTGCCTTGGGTCTCACGTCGACCGCTGACGCGTCGCAAAGACTTAAACTGCTTTTTGCTATACACATGCCTCCCTTATTATGCATGTCGGACATCGAATCTCCGGTGAAAACCGAGTCTGGGGCGGAGGTGGCCTCAGAAGCGACTGATTTTTTCAGCAATGTGGAAAAGAGCGTGGACAGTCTGAGTTTGACAGATGACGCGTCACCCACCGCTCACGTGAGCGCTAGATTTACTTGGGGGTAAGTGTTAAATTTAAATTTAGTCGATTTCCAGTGTTTGCATTGCCGACCGTTTTTTCATTTTCAATTTTTATAATGTTTTATAAAATTTAGTAATATATCCGAATTAATTTAGTAATTAATTAGAATTAAGGGCTAATAATTGAATGAAAATGATTTACTATTTTTTTGTAGGACTGGTAGTCAATTTCTCTCAGGAAATACTTATAGGTGTTTTATTTTTAATGAGAAGTTGTTAGCTTATTGGGAAAGTTTAGAAAATATAAAACAATATCATGTCTATTGTACGTAAGCGAGAAAGTTACATTAAAATATTATGTAGTAAAATTATATAATAACCAAACGACCCCTATAATATTCAAATTTTACACAAATATTTTATATCGAAGTTGAATTTTTCTTCGAAAAAAAGTAAAATCACACTAACACTGCCGTGTACCAGCTAAAATTATTTTTACAAATTGCAATATGTCTAAAACTCCATTTAGTTTTAGACATATAGCAATTTGTAAAAATAAATGGGACAGAAAGAGTGGAACCAAATAATTTAAAAAAGTATTACACTTCCACTTAGTTAGACTATGTTTTAAAGGCATCTTCATCATAGCTTTTAATAATTCTGCCACAGAGTGAGAAAGTTCCATTACAATGAGGCCTCTATTATTTCTTTTTTTGTGTTATATATTAATGTAATTACTTTATTGTTACAAGGTTCTGTCAGAATCCCAATCCCCTTCTGGAATTTCGTGGTCTATTTGCTTAGTCGAAACGCCAGCTCCATACCATGTTGCAGTTCTTTCACTCTGTTTGTCTGGTTTTGATGCTCTTCGAACCAGCCTAGTTAGCAAGGGTGGGGGTATTGGTTCCTGTCCCTAAAAAGTAACATGTTTATATTTTGTAGACGCTACTGGAATAATCTTCCTAATTTTAATGGTAATTTAAAGTTACTTCTTACTTCTTACTTACTTGAGAATTACTTTGGGCAATACTAAAAAAAAAAGATTTATATTTTTTTTTAATTTGTTTTAAACTTCACTTAATGTAACATATTTCTTTTCACGAAATGAGCTGAAAAATGTACGAACATAAATTGAAACTAGAATACCACATGTTGCTACTGATACTATTGGTTTCTAGAACCAAGAAAAATAGCCATATATGGATTCAACATTTTTTTAGTACATTATTTCCAGCAAGGAATTATTTTCTCAAGCTTTATGCTGAATTTATCTATTTGGCTCTCTTACCTGCTTACCTATGATTCTGTAACATTCTTTGACAATTGTTGGATTTACATCATTTAAACATTGTCTTGCTTCCCTTTCTATGTCACTCTTAGATTTTTCTTGAAATTTCATTCCGGGAATGCACTTTCTATATTTTCGGCACTTGTAGGTATCCTGTGGTTTTGGATAAACACAATAATTCAGTTCAGGCACTTTTGGCTTCCATCTGTCGAATATAGACGGGTCACACGATTTTTCCACAACATATTTTGATGGTTTAGTATCTTCATGTTCCTTGCTTTTGAATCTCACAAGTCTCGTTGTTATAGGTTTTGATGCCAAATTTCTTGTTTTTGGTAGATTCATAGAAGCGCAGTTAGAGTACGGAAATTCGAATGGATGGGATGAAATGATTGACGATGAAAAATATTTGGCATTGACATTGTTAAATAATTTCCATAGAAATACTGTTGCTTTGATTTGCATATTCAAGCGGTGGCCACTCAATTTGTTGGTTGTGAATTCAGCTTTTTAAATAAATAATTTTTTTTTGTTAATTTCTGAGTGAAGAAAAATTTCATTGCTTTTTCCCTAGAAAAGGAACATACCTACCTATATGTGGCTGTGCCACCAGCATTTAATGCCCAACCATAGCTTATAGAGAATGGACATTTCACCTGCTTCAATCGGTTTGGCTGTAAGGGTAGGGTTGTTTCGGAACCTAATAGGTACTATTGGAATCTGAAATATTATAATGATGAAGTGAAAAAATATTTTATTAGTTTTTCACCCTTTTTTCAGCATTATAAATTTCTTTTGCTGTTTTTGTTTGCATGTTTTTTGAATTATAGGTGCTTAAATAATTTCGTTCAACATTTTTCTGCACTTTTTCGTACTTCTTTTCATTATTTCTAATTAGAGAGTATTTATCGCCCGCGTCAACTTGTTCTGCATTTACGGGTTGCTTTAAATAATTATAATGCATTTTTCTCATTTCTGTTTGAAGTTTTATTAGATCATTATTATCTAACTCCACCTCTAAGGGCATGGACAGTAATACCCTTATTTTTTGCTTCTTATTTTTTATTTCGATTGCCTTTTCGTTGCGTTCAATGACTGATTCTAATTTTTCTTTAGAGCTTGCGTCCTGTTTTGATACGTTTTCCAATTCTGTCTCTTTTAAAGTTTGTTGTGCTTTGTTTTCCTTTGCTACTTTAGTTATTGTTGTTCTTAATTTATCATTGGCACGCATTTCATTAAATTTATTTTTTTGTTTCATTTTTACATTTGATAGCGCTTCGTTTTCTGTTCTACTTTTACTTGCCGTTTGTTTGTCAGTATTTTTACTTTTAGTGTTAGTTGTTTTGTTCAATTGGTGTTTAATTTCAGTGCCACTGCTTTCGTGCATTTTTTCAGTATGTTGATTGAAGTTTATCGTTGTGTTAAGAATTTTTTCTTGGTAAAATTTGTTTCTTCTTGAAGATTCCACTTTAGGTTCTATTTTGGTTGTATATTTTTTTTCCAATTTGTTTACCTTTGTACCAATGTTTGCTGCTTTGTGTAGCTCATGTTTGGTTTCGTTTGAATGTTCTTCATTGGTATGTTTGCTTTTCATTTCGTTTATCATCTTTTTAAATATTTGTGTTGTTCCGCCAATTTTGTCTTTGTTTTTGTAAGTATTCTCTGCGGGTTTATTTTGTTGGTTTGGTTTCAGTAAATCATATTCAACCATCGTCCTCTTAGGTATAACTATAAGTAAATCGCCTTCTTTGTTTGCGTGATTTTGAAGATCATATATTTTTAAGTTGGATTTCATTAATTCTTTTTCGACATCTATCTTTATCGGTTTTTGATATTCGGAAGTTATTGTTAGCTTAACATTTTGATTCTAAAATTATTTGATTATATATGTAGGTAAGTATATATGTTTTTGTAATCTCACCTTTTTATTTTTTGTTTTCAGCGTCAATTTCTCCAGGATATTCATATACGATTTTTCTCCATTCAATTCTAATTCTGCCTTTTTATCGATATCCATCTCGAAATTTTTCTCGTTGAAATTGTCGTTAGTGGAATAATATTTCCACATTTCTTGACGAGCATTTCTTGCGCTTCCACAAGAACCATAAGGAAGATGTAAATTTCTATTAAAGCTTTGGCAATTGGTTAGCCATTCAAACAATACATTTACAGAAGTCTTGCAGAACCACATGGTATTATGAAATTTATGACTTTGTGATGGAAAATGGTGCGAAATGATCACAATTAATTTGGATGTAAATTGACAACAGTTGACATTGGACTGGTGAAACTTTTCTTGGGTATCAAAGCGATAACGCAAATAGTGAAACGTCACGACTGTTTACTTAAAAAGAAATACTCTGATCGTATGGGAATAAATTTAGTTTATCTGTTTATCTTTAAAAATTATTCAATCTTGGAGGTATACAAACATTTTTTTTTTGGAAATTTGATAGACCTCGTTTCCGTATTGGAAACAAAGATTATGTGCTTAAATCTTGTTGAAAAATAATCTTTTAAAATATTTTGCACCTGATATCTAGATATAAATGAAATACTCAGCAGACGTGCATAATCATATTAAAAAATGTTACTTTATTATTATTTTGACAAAAACATTTTTCAGTTTCAATTTTTATTTGTTACAATTTCCGTGTGACCATGTTTGTGAACTTTAAAGGGGGCTCCTGCGAGGTACTTCTTGCGTACAGCGTGCATCATGGGATACTCCTTAAAATTACCTCATAGACAATGTTTTTACCCAAAAAAAACCCACCTTTTTTGGCAAACCAAATTCCATCTTCAAATTGATACATTTTTCTGCATCTTTGGTTTTCCTAGAACATTTGAGGAACCTTTTAAATTCGCAAGAGGACATAGTGAATTTATCGATTATGTCTTGGCCTGTATATGGTTCGCAGATGTGTTTGCAGCATTCAGTTTCTAGAATTCTGGGTGCCATTTTTGAAGGACATTGTTCAGCTGCTTTTTCCCAAGGCAAGCAATTTCTCGGTTGGAGTTTGGGGTTCTGAGATTTAGTACAATCCGGGGTGCAGGGAGCTATTTGGGGTTGTCTTTCGGATTCGAATTCTTCAGGTTGACATTTGTTAGTATCTGGTAATTTGCATTTAATACTATCAGATTTATTAGAACGCATCCTAAAACTTTCAAATATTTTACACACTTCGAAGCAGAATCTAAATGGATCGCTGTAGAAAATGGGAAGAATGTTTGGTTTTCTATTGTTTTACTGGGGCGGATGTTGTTTGTAATATCTTGGTCGATAAAAGTAGTTGAAAACAGACTAACAGAAAACAAACTATATACTGCCACAGAATATTAAAAAAAAAACAAAAGGGTCATTTCATGCTCAGCTCTAAAAAATTCTTTTCTCTTTCCCCAGAGCTCGTACGCATTTTATGACCCTCATAAGCATCCATAGTGACGTTTCTCTTTCGATGTTACTGCTTACTTGCTGTTACAATTAAATAGTCTAACCGACGCTATGATATTTGTCTAATCCCTCACCTTATATTACTCCTTAACTGATCCAATCGTGTTTTGATCAACATGTGTTTTAAACTTGGTTTATGATGCATGATTTCTAACTGCAGCCAATGTAAATTGTTAACTTATTTGTTGATTTTGATAATGGCCTGAAATGAAGTAATGTGACAAATTGTCAAATTGAGTTAGACTTAAAAAAGTTTATGGGTTGGTCATAGTTTTATATTCTATTTCAGACAATTTTGCATGTAGATTAACCCTGGCACAAATTTACTTAAAACTTTCATCACTAAAATATTTTATATGCCGTGTTATTTTTCGTTGGTTTTCTGACCAAATTTTCGAGAAGCTTTATATAAATTATTACTTTTATTGTAAAAATTAGGGCTCTAATATAAAAAGGGCATCTTTCTATAGCTCTTCAAATAAGTTATATCCGATCCCAGGCCACACATCCCCAAAACTAAACATAAATATGATATACATAAAATCTTTACTGAACTAATTTGTAAACCAATCTTAGTGCTTAAACTGCTTGTTTTGGGGAAACTAACCAAAACCATTAGACTAGTTAGCAGACGTCGAATGATATCCAACTATGAAACACTTAGTAGCATATGTCCTTTCAGAAAAACATACGACTCTCAGTCGTCAATGGACAATTCAATCAGTAGTCAAAGCAGCACTACCGAGGCTAACTGGGAGGCAAAAAGTCTGTCACATTTGCGTAATCTAGTTCAATCGAAAGACAACAAATCTAACGTTAAAGGCAATCTCCGGATGCCTCAACCCCATTTCATAACACTGTGGAAGTCTGTCTATGATATCTTTCAAACAGAACCTGAAGATCAGGTAAACAAGTTGATGTTTATATTGCATTAGTGATATTCGATTTTTTCTTCCTTTTAGAATGTATATCATGCTATAGCAGATGTAGGTACTTTACTTTTGCAACTAGGAGACGTGGGCAAGCAGTTTTTTATCGCCCGTGATGAATCAGAGGACAGTCTGGCTATGGCCGTTGAGGAAGTGTGTGGGCGTACTGCTTTAAACGAAGATGTCGAGGTATAGTGTTATTTGAGGAGGGTGACCATATGACTGAATTGGCTTGAAAACTTTTAGTCTCCCGATAAAAACGGCAATCCACCAACTCCAAAGACCGAAATAAAGTGGTACATAACAGTAGAGCAATTCCTAGCGTCGATCTTGCACGCCGACCCATTGGTAATATTTTTCTCCAAGCGGTTCTCGATCGGCGACGGAATGAAAGTACTAAAAGGTCGTAGTTATGCTAGGGCGAGCTCTTATTGCGAAGAACCGGCATTAAGAGTTCGAAATTAATCAACCAATTAAAAAACGTAAAAATACCAATTTTTTTAGTTCATAAAAAATGTCTCCAAGCGAAAACATTTTCTGGTCTTTACAGCATAGTCATTTTGTTATTCGCAACGGTTAAAATATGATTGTATATTGCTATATTTTTATAAGTTTTTTAGTGCTACTAAGCAGAGTACATGTATATAAGAAACAGATTCAGGTTCGATAAGGGGCATTTTTCAGAACGTCTTTGTAAAATATTAAAAACTAATTTATAAATACTATGTATATTAAAAAACTATACAAAAAGTTTTGTCATTGTAAAAAACTAATTTTATTTTTAAATGAGAAAATTTGACCAAATTTCTCTGTCTTGAATTTAGCACCTCTTCCCAGAATCACCGCGAGCAAGTTCTTGGAATATCTGAGAAAGTATTGTGCATTGAAAATATACATACTGCCATTGTGTTTTCTTGCATTAATTTAGTCATAATTAATTTAATTAATTTCTGACATTTTAATAAATATGCTAGGTAGAGCAACAAACAAAAGAGAAGAGGAATAAATCAGTTTACCTAAGTTAATTCATATCTGTAACTTTTTTTTCGGTATTTTAAAGGAAACATGTTTTGAAAAACGATCTAAGTCACACCTACATCACTGTTAAAAGTGCAATATCTCTAGTGATTATTAAAAAAAAACTATTGTATTTTTGTCTTTATAGATAATAAATTTATATATACATATGTTTACACTTCATTTCTTCCAGTTTTCACACCCAACAATATACTTTTTTGTTAATTCTGTAGGTTCAATCTTGTACAGAATCTGCATAGAGGTTACTAAGGCTCCCTCATAAAATTACATTCATATATCCAGTGGTCTTGTTAACGAGTGTAATCATCAATGTGTTTAATTAACTAAAAGCAAACATTGAATCTTACTACACCTATATTCTTATTCGTTTGCGATTCGCACGACATCTTGCAACCAGTCATGAAAGCTTGCTAGTGTAAAGTGTAATTAACTGGTTGTCAAACTGTTTTCTAATCGAAGCTTTTTTTTTTCGAAGTTAAAAAACTCAGTTCACTTTAAGTATCATTTTAATAAATCAAAATTTATACTACATTAAGGGAGAAAATTTTCTCCAATTTGGAACGCTTATTTTATCCTGTCTTAAAATAAAGGATTCCTTATCCATATTAGCTGTTTTTCTTTAATTACCAGTTTTACAAATTAAAATGCTATTTACGGTTTTACCTTACATCATTTTAGTTCAGGTTGTAAAGTTAGGTATCTGAAAAATTCTTGTTTCTACTAAACATTAAGTTTTTAATTATATTTTGTTAGTATTTGCAACTAATATTTATAAAATTATTTACTTTCGACAAATATAATTTTGCGCCTGTTGCGGTATTTTTAAAAAGCGCAATGGCTATTAATTGCCTATCACATTCATACAGTCAAGTTTAAACAGAATGATTTAATAAAACTACTTTTCTGATTTTGTTTTTATTAAAAAGATGGCTTAGTCAATAACAGAAACAACTATCTATTGCAATTTACATTATTTACAAATGACAATTGTACATCTCGGTTTTTTGATCAACAAACCAACCTCGCCTTAAAGTCTAGATTAAAAACCTTACACAATAAATAATTTAAAATTAAGTAAGTTATAAAACTAACCAAATAAATAAATAATTAATGGATAAATTCTATAAAATATATGTATCTACACTGAAACCGGGCTGTTTATAATACCTTGTATGTAACTGCAGCAATCTATTGGGAAAATAGTCTTAACATCTCACAAATTTCAACGCAATTATAAATTGCTCATTTATACAAACTGTTGTTAAAAGCTGTATTTATAAATCTCGCCAACTCATTCTTAAGTCTGCTACAAAATAACTGCTTGCGACACAATGTATATTCTTATATAAGTTTGGGTACTGGTGTTGATTCGGGTATTCATCCGTTCGTTGTTTGATCCTAGCCTACGATGAATACCCGGATCAACAGCAGTACACATACATCCATCCGTGCACACAACATTACATAAGATTGTATATATATATCGCAGGCTTTTGCTCCAACAAGTATTCCGGTATCATTTTAAAATCGTTTGTTGTGCTTCAAGGCATGAAAGGAGTTCAAATAGTTTCGTGAAGACATGAAGAGTAACACATTTTTTACGGTTTTGGAACTGCCAAAATCCCACTATTACTATTTTATTAAACATGACCTTCTACTTCATGATGTAGCACATTTTGGTGTTATATACAATATTCCTTTTTTCATTTGAATTGTTTTTCAATAAGTTCATTTTTGCTGAAGTGCAATGCCGAGACAATGGTGTTTGGATAAAGCCAACGCCAACCACTCACTCATATCATAGTCATCCATAGTCATCATAGTAACTGTATTTCATTTATATTTGTAATTTTTTTCAACACTATTTTCTTTTAATTACAAAAAAAACTAAATAAAATACAAATTCTTATAAACGGGGAATCTCAATTACTTTGTTTCCATGATAGGGACAAATTTTTAAAAGAAAATCAAGATTTCATCCATCTAAACACACTTTTGATGCTTTTATATGAGTTTTGTTTATTGTATTAAGAAATTAATTCATACCTGATTATATTTTTTGTTATTTGATTTTTGTTTCTTAAATATTTATTTCACAAAAAAATCCTAAAAAATTAAAATCGATCATCATAGCTCAATAAGAGAATCGGGCATAATAAGGAAGGAGGCATGAAAGAGTCGAAAGTAAGTAAAAACAAATATTTTTATTTAATAACTTTTAGTCGGCATATTCCATGCAAAATCTTGTTCAATTTAACACACAAAAAATTGAATGAATTAAAATTTTAATTGGTCGAAGTATGCTTTTATGATTTATGACATTTATGTAAAAAACTGGAAAAATATTTTTTTTACGCATAAATACTTTTTTTTTTCATTCTAAAATTCACACAAACTTATTTAATTGAACTTGACCTTACTTCAAAAAGTAACGTAACACAATTGTTGAATTTTATAAAAGTAACATTTCAAGTTTGAAAATTTTGTTATATTATGTTAATTATATTTATTCTCGCGCAATATGATTAATCAAATAATTAAGTTAAAATAAGCGTCTAAATAAGTGCTCTATAGTAATAGAAGTTATATGTGTTTATTATTATCAATTGTTTTAAAACCAAGAAGAAAAATGTATGTCCACAGGAAAGGACAACATGCACCGAACCTTTAAAGCAATGAAGACGATGGATGGTACTGCTAAAAATCTCTCCAATCCGAAATATGTTCCGTTCAGTATCGCATGGACCATTATTTGTTACAAGTAATGTGCTTTATAAAATGTTCATAATTTCAAAAATCTCGAACTATCTTTGTTACACTTGTGGTTTCCCTTATGATGGGATGTTTCAAGTGGTCTTGCAAAATCATAAAATAACATACTACAGAAACTTGACTAAAAGTGTGTATACAACATAGCTACTCTTTGAAGTATGTGCCGGGAGGAGAACTATGTAATTTTAGTGACGAGTAGTGTAACTCTCTTATTGGTTAGCTTGGAAAAGAAGAAAAGAAAAACCCACGTTGACGGCATACTAAATTAAACTTAAAACAAACACCAGGGAGATAATGCTCTGTTTTAACTCTTTTTTTTTGAAATGGTCCTTATGTCGTGGATTTCACAGAGAGTTACTAGCGCCTATGCATCGCAGAGCGTAGTCAATTGTTTTTCTGTCCACTCTATGACTACATGATTAAAAAAAAAAAAACAACACAAAAGGGCGGGGAAAGCAACGAACCTCTCTCACCTCCATCTCATGGGTATAACGAACATACAAAGGAAGCATAGAAGTGACCGTGCACAAGAAAACATTTTTGGAAAGAAAATTTTAACAAATCTATCCCAATTAAAATGTCCATTCCAGATCTAGTAATCAATTACAACCATTAAAATGTTTTTCCATTCTCTACCCTAAAAAACCCAATTAATTACATGTGCATGGTGTCACTTTAAAACACTAGCTTCATTAAAAACTGTCCCGGACCAATATGAGTCTGTATTTGGTACTAAGACTAATATTCATAGAAAAACAACAGTATGGACCAGTAAGAATTTCTTCAGTCCCTTATAAAACTCGTTAAATAATATACCATCTTGCAATTTCAAAATCAATATTTTTTCTTTTGTTTTGGATTTTACAGTTTTTGGCACAAACAAGAGATTGCCAGTAAAAAAATTCCAAACAGCATAAAAACTAGGCATTTTTTGCATTACAAAATTCTGAAATCGTCATATAAAAATAATTGCCTATTAGATTCAATGGGTGCTATTTTAACAGCAGATTGTTTATCATATTCCCAAAATTTTCATGTAATATCACTAATGATTCAAACAATAAAGACAGCCACGAAGGATATAGTCCCAACTAATGCTATCATGCAAGCTTAAAACACATTTTCGCCTTGCAGACTTGCTATTGTCCCACAATGCAATATAAAAAATTAGTTAATATTAAACTGATGTACAATTTAAAACCAGATATGTACAAATCCAAAAAATGGGATAATATATAAATGTGTATAAATTGAAGAAAAAAGAAATGTAAAATTATTTCAATGAACCACAAAATGTAAAAGTTTACTCCAAAGCTCTCTGAAATAAAAAGGAGAGTACTTAAAACCAGGATTATTCTTAACTTTGCCGTCTCTAAACTTGCTATTTTCCCACAATGCAATATAAGAAATTGGTTACTATTAAACAGATGTATAATTTAAAACAAGATATGTACAAACCCAAAAAATGGGACACAATATAAAGGTGTATAAAATGAAGTAAAAAAAAGAAATGTAAAATCGTTTCAATGAACCACAATATGTAAAATTTTTATGTAAAGCTCATAGAATAAAAAGGAGGGTACTCAAAACCGTGTTTACTCTCGGCTTTGCAGTTGCTTGTCTCTTTGTTATGGCGTATCAAGTAAAGAACTGAGACTTCACAGCAATCGACGCCAAATGAAATAAAAAGGTGAAACTGAACCTACCAAATGTCAGCCTTACTGATTCAACTATGTCCTACAAAATAACAGCCTTCCATGTTTCACCTTGGCGTAAAAAATAGGGAGTTACGCCGGCACATGCTAAACCACATCACCAGCGTTCACCTTGTCCTCTCGTTCTTTGAAGAAACCCTTTTCTGTCTTACACTCCCGTATAGTAACCGTTTTCAAATTGACCGTGACGTCGGTAATAAAAACCTGATCTGCTACTGGATTTCGAGCCAACCAATAATCGGAACTCGGGCTAGTAAGTTCAGCCAGATCATTACCCTGAGCGACATTATTGTGCCCGTTTACCGCTACGGGTTTCTCATTGGCACCAATCTCCAACTTGACCTCGACTTTTTCTGGTCGCTTTTCGGTTTCATTGGGAGATGCAGCTTCCCGAGATGAGCTGTGAGGTAAACTGGGATCAGGAGCATTGGTCTGCGATCTGGGTTGCCTCTTGTCGGTACTAGTGCGAGGCGCCGTGGCGGTAAGCACCGCTGGGCTAGAAGCATTGGGAATCGCTGAGGTTTCTTCTTCAGATTTTGAGGGTTGACGTCCGTTAGGGCGTATGGGAGCTGGGGTGTGTTGTTTCGACGAAATTTTCGGGGCCTAAACAAAAAATTGTCACACATATATACACATATATGTTTCAAAATTCCTTATCAAGATTTTTCATAAATAGAATTTTCTTGTATGTGTTTGACAAAGAGTAAATTCATTATTTATCAGGAGAGGGCAGTAAGAACCATGTTAAAATCACGAAAATTTCAATCATGCCAAGGAGCATTCCTTACTCTTCAGGAAGTATACCAATATAGTAAAAGACTCTACCGATATGATGCTGAACATGACATCCCTACAAGATACCATGAGCAAAATTTTCCACTGCATAGACTAACATCCACAAAAAAAGGCCCCACCTATTATTTTATCAAATTTTTCAATAAGTTTTCAAATGATATTAAAGGGACAAAAAACTTTTTTGAGGTTGACTAATTTCTATTAATATTTTTAACTTAACTAGTTTTTTTATAAATTGAGGTTTGACTACTATTTTTATTTTGTACTTTTTAGTTTTATTTCCACCAGACATTATTAAAGTTGGTTTATGTGTAATCTACCAATGGTCTCATAAAAAAACTCTCTGAGAGAAAAAACACGACCCCTAAGAAATGTCTACTCTACACTCAGTACACTCTAACATTCAGTCTGATGTTCAGCATGTAACACGTAACATGTGACCTATGCTTTAATTTTGATCTAAATACTTCCAAAACTGTTTAGGAAGCCGAGCAATGGATAACATTCTAAATGTACACTAGTTTTATAAAATTCCCACTTTAACATGATGAAACTGATTAAGAGGTTACCCGACTTATGTAGAGATAACAACAAAGTGACAAAAACACACAAACAGAGCCATGACACAATTTACCAAACTTGAAAACAATCTACCTTAACTGGAGGTGGACTAGAGCTAGTAGGGCTACTTGTTGTGATGGTAACCCCGATTTTCCCACTTTCTTTGGATAGAACTTCAGCTTTTCTTTTCGTGCCAGTCTCAATTCTAGAAAGCAATGGCCTTCTGTCCTCACTGCTTGAACTATTTGAATTTTCATTTTCAGCTGGTACAACTGCCGGTGTGGGTGTGGATTCTGATGTATCTTCTGAACCTTTTGCAATTTTTGTGAGACATTTTCATTCTTTCAGTTTAAACTTGAGTGTTTGTTACTAATTAATTCTACAGATTACAAATATGTCTATTTTAATTATATTTAGTAACAATCAATATTGTTATTACTACAAGTTGCAGACTGTTAATTCTACTTATTTATAATAAACAGAAACAATAATGATAAACTTATCCATCTAGTTTTCAAATTCTAAAATCCCAAAACAAATTGAAGAGAAAAAATTTTACTCCAAAAAAGAGTTAAAATGTGTATAAGTACCTAATTTACCTGCCCGCGTCTCTTCATCATCCACATTGACCAAAACATCCCTCTCACGACTTTCTCTTTTTAGTTTTCCAGCAGTTTGTGCTCCCTGCCCTTCATCCTGGCTCTCATCACCACTTCGACCTTCATCTTCAGTTTCCACTTCACGTGGCGCCTCCCGCTTTTCACGCTTTTTTGGTCCCCTTTTGTTGCCACCCTCATTTTTTTGGGACTGCTCATAAAGATCAATTAGGCGCACATCTAAGATGTTTTCTTCTGGTTCCCAAGTATTATGGCGCTGACTCCATCCTTTCCACTTCACATAGTATTCTACCACACCCTTTAAGCAAAATAAATTATGAAAATTTTTAAATTTGTAAACTGAAAACTAGTTATCCCTCAGAATTGTTTCATTTTTTTGCTTGTATGTAACGTAGGGTACATTGAAGTAAGATCATAATGCAATTAGGATTTTACTTAAGATCCTAATCAAATCTAAATCCTAATCCTATAAATAGTTTTCTCATCATCATCGATACCGAAAATGGGACTAAACCTGTCTGTATAGCCTTTGAATTGTGGTAAGACTTAAAATTATTATACATTGTTGGGATTTGTATCTAAATAAATATAATTTTCACAAAAGAAAGAAATCGCTTTTAAGAGAGTTGGTGTACAGAATCAATCATCCATTGATTCAGTTCAATTGAGTTCTGCTAAATTGACTTCTCCCAGCACCTATTTTGTTTGTTGTTGTGCTGTATTACCTTAATATTTTCCTCTATCCTTATTTAATGTAACATAATTGGCACCTGTGTAATATGTGTTTTAAGTGAGTTAACATCTTCACTTTTTTAAGACATTATAAAAAGATTAGAAATCCCTATAATTTTTACCTTGCGATTTCTTTTTTTCATAATCCTTTCGGCGGCGTAAACTCTGTCACCCAGTTCCATTGTTTTGATTGCGTTTTTACGCGAATAAAAACGTTTCAAAACAATAACACAAGGGTTTCTAAAATCCTACGACAGAATCCAAGCCGCAAAATACACCGCTGCCAGTACGGTTTTGCATTATCCAAAGACGACGTTCCTAAAAGCCACTAATAGTCACTATTTCCCATCGTTTTCACTAAAATTCACATCGCGAATTTGTTTCGATGGTTTACGATGGCGACAGTGTTGTTGAAATGGCAAAGCTGTCAGTTTTGGAAACAAAAGCCGACAAAACACAAAATGATATTGGATCGCAGTTTCCACTACTCACAGATTTATCTTGACAGGGGAAACATTTTAAATAATCGTGAATGTGAGTCACCATTGATGATCGATGATAATAGTGAGAAAAAGAACCTTATTTTTATAATTTTTGACCGTTTCTTGACAGAACAAAATGACGGAACAATTGTAGTGGTGTCGTTCTAAATCTGCATTGTTAGTCTGTGATCTAAATCGTACGTCTTCCTTCAGTAACTTTTGACAAACTACACCAATATTAACGGTAAAATGTAAAAAAATTGGAATTTTATTATCTACTGAATTTTGACGTATCCTGACATATGTATTAAAACATTCTGCTAACTATAAGGATAAGGATAACCGGAGGCTGATTACCGACCCGCTTCCAAAAATTTTAAGCAAAATCTTTTAATTAAGTAATGGGATCAAAATATTGTTTGTTAATTGTTTACAATATCATGATTTAGTGATTTATCGTGTGCCGCTCATATAATATTGCTACCTTACAACTTGACATTTTCGTAGAGAAGGTGATGACTTTCTACGCATGCGTCTTCATTTCACCCACCAATCTGCACTATGCGCCATTTTCTTTTTAAATGAATTTTGCACACTTAACTCGTTTTTCAGAATATTTATTTAATGAGATGTCAGCGCCCATGTTGATCGGGAGGTCAATGATTAAGAAAGAAATTCCACAGCATTTTAGAATTAAATGCTTTGTGGAAAAATCAGTTTGATATTGACTAATCACAAGTAAGGTTTTATTTCCGACGTATGGGTTCATTGGGCCAATGATCCTTGTGAGTTTCAGTAGTAATTCATCACGGTATATGGAATACTAAACCAAAATTTAACTTAGTATGCTGTGCAATATATCTAACATAACCTTCATATAAACTTACTATTTGTTTTTTACCACAACATTTTCGAACTTTTTAAATTTTGTATTTTTTTTTAAACGATGGCGGGACCGACTAAGAAGCCGAAAAAGCCATCAGCCCCAGAATCGGATAATGAATCTATGAGCGAGGAAAGCGAGTCTGGAACTTATCATGGTCAACAAGTAAGTAAATATTGTTTTCTAAATTAAGAATAAATATATTTGCAATTGCAATATATAGGAAGTTCAAGCGACTTTTGAAGGTCGCAATCCGGAGGGTCAGGACTTCCATGGAATAAAACAACTGTTACAGCAGCTATTTCTAAAGGCTCATATTGATCTATCTGAGATGAGTGACATGCTTATTTCTCAGTCTGGCTTAGGTTCCGTTCTAAAGCAAAGCGCAAATGATAGTGACGACGAAGATGATATGGAATTATCAGAAGAGTGTGATGTGTTTGGCATAACCAGTAAGAGGATTCTGCTTTTTGAACTATTCATAGGAAGACAATTTTTTTTAGGTCTTATTAATTTGACTGTCCACAAAGACAAAGAGTGTGTTAAGCAATTTTATAATCTTCTAGAAGAGTTTAGTTTAAAACATAGTGGTAAAGAAATCCAAGAGACTGTCAAAACCATATTAAATCAGTCATTGAAAGTTTGTTTCCTGATTAACGAAAGGTTCGTTAATATTCCAGCCAAAATATCTGCTGTCATGTTAAGTTCATTGTATAATGAATTGCAGAGAATAACAAAAAAAGATCCATCCTACAATTTTCAATATTTTGTGATGATTTGCAAGACCTGTAGGCCTAAAGGGGATAAAGGTTACCTTGAATTGTTCAACCCTGAAAAAATAATTTAAATTAAATTTTTAGAGGGTGAGGAAATTTATTCAAATGATGAAGAGCAAATTTTCACAAAATCAGCAGAAATCACATTTGATTTTAGTGTTGAAACTGAATCAGATATTGGTTTAGGAGGTCGTTGGCTATCTGAAGATAAACAGATGGTGCCATATCGAAGGGTAGTTATATTTAAAGGTGATAAACTAAAAAGCATTATCAACGAAATAACTGTTTTGGTGCAATAGTGTTTTTTTGGTATATTAAAATGAAAAGGAAAATGTGCATTTATTTTCAATTTTAACATTTTTAAAATCCTTTACCATCTATACCAAATTGCTATATATTATGTAAAATAAAAGAAATGTGTTGGCATAACCCCGTTTGCAGAGTATTAAATTTTGTGCAATACACTCACATACTCTTACTCAAATTTTTTAATAGGAGGAGTTTTTCATCTTTATATTACTCAACAACCAAAACATCTCTAACAAGGACTCAGACTTTTTAATGCTTTCATTAATCTTTTTGCTTGGAATTCTGTTCTGCTGAATATTGAACAAAAAAAGCATAGATGTGTATCCGATACTAACTTCCAGGTCATGTTTGGTTATCTACCCACTTGAATGTGGTAGACTATTTCTGGTATTGCAGTATGTAATCAGATAATTGGGTGCCATGGAAATAATAATTTTACTTCAATTTGAGCGCAAAAAAAGTAAAACACCATTACATTTCAATTCTTTATTTGACTCAACTTCAACTTTAATCTTTTGATGATCAATTTATTAACAATAGGTCAATAGGAATTCATTGATATAACATAGCTTATCTTTTAATAACATCACAGCAGTTTGTTTTAATACCTAGAGTAGGTATTTTGATAAATCCCCATGGAGAAAACTATTCTCTGTTAGATTTGTCGCCGGGCACGAAGAGTGAGCAATAATGCCTCATCACAAAGCTATAATTTATACTAGTAACGTGGTACATGGTATGTTACGAATTCAAATATATTAAAAATTTTAAAACTACAGTTCAATAGAAAGAGTCAATGAAAGACTAGGTAGTAGGTATGCCTTAATATTTATGTATATAAAGGAGTTAAATAGTGTGGTAGTGAAGCACAGTTTTAGAAACATGTAACTTTGACAAAGTTTTTGCACTCTAACCAGTCAACAAAAAAAAAATAGATTTTTGCTATGTACTGCTTCAAAAATAATTGATATATGAGCGCAGTTAAAAGATTAACTTCTTTGTGCTTAGTGCAAGGCTTTTAAATTCGGTGCACTATTCTACCGGTACACACATTTTTGTATGATGATGGAAAAACTAGTTTTTTCAAAAATCGCAACACCAAATAAGATGTTTTCCCAACAAAATTTTTAAAAAAAATTCACAATTGAATTTTTCAATGCTTCCCGTATAAAGTGCACTTTAAATATGATCTAAAATTTCATTAATTTTATTTCCAAACTGATGTACATTAAATACTATAACGTTTTGTTCTTGATAGGAAGACTTCCATTTGTTATTGTGCAATACGATTCAGAAATCTGATTCACTACATCACTGTTAATTGAAGTTTTCAACTCTAAATTGTAGCAATTCCTAGAACGAACAAGTTTTTGGCCGGGTAAAACAAATTGACGGCTTTAGATTCTTGTGAATAATTGTTACGATATAAAAAAATTCATAAAACTGGGTAAGACGCTTCATCGATCAAAGGCGAATTATTTTTATTCCACTACCAACAGGATAATTCAGTAAAAATTAAATTAAAAATAGATAAAATTTGGAATGTTTGGATATTTTCGAGGGTGCAAAAACATTTGACAAAATTTCAGAAAAAAACTATCCAATTCCGAAGGCAATGATCGGTGGTTAGTTTTCCAATTAAGACAACAAAAAGGGTAATTTACATTTTTAGTAAGATGCCCAATATTCATAGGTGCTGAAAAATTAAGTCAGTTTCAAAGATGACAGACATATTTTTAATAGCAGAATCTAGGGTCAACAATTATTAATAAATTCTCTTAAACCTTTGCACTTAATTATCACAAAAATGCACATGAGGATTCTAGATTCTCATATATAATTCGTTTTATTTTAATTTTATTATCCTTTTGAAAAACATTTTTGCATTATTGGCCGTTTTCAATTTGCAAATCATATTCGCATTTCTCCTATTACCTAGCTAAAAAATACGTACCCATTTTTAAAACAGGTGCGTTAGTTTTTTTTATGTATTTAACCTCATAGAAAATGTACAAGGTTTTCAACTGTTACTGAACTTTGGTTCAGTTTTCGTCGTCTTCATCGACTTCAACGGCTGAGCTGGTAACATAGACGCACTGAAAAAGAAAAGTTCGTCTACAAGTTACCAGTGTAAAGTTGCCCTTTTTTGTGTAATGTCTTACAACGTACACCAGAATCATATGAAAGACACATATCCACATATTCTGTATACCAAAGTGAACTTATTGTTAAGTAGGTATTCACACATACTTCAACATTTTACAGTTCCAAATCAGTCTTCCTTTATTACTTAATTACTAAAATACCAATCTAAATATAGGGTCGCACTGGAAATAAGGGCTACATTTGACTCGTTTGAAAATTTAACATTTCGAAAGTGCATAGAAAAGTTTTTTAGCAGAAATACAAATTTAGTTCAACTTTATACAGACCTGTGAAAAAGTAAAGACCGATACCTATTTAGCGATGTCGTTTAAAACCATTTGAATATTTCTAAAAATAGTTTAGGTACATAAATAGTACACACAAATAAAAGTGTCTATATATTAGTTATATTTTTTATTTAATAATGGTGAAAATCTCAAATAGCCTACCATCTGTACATTTGTACTGTGAAAAATTATAAACTCACTGCTTATATTTATCTCTTTCTTCACCTTTATTTTTTATAACTTTTATTAGTATTTTCGGCATGCTAATAACTTTATAGTATTACTTGAAATTTTGGCCCATGTTGATCGCAATCTTTGTTTGAGTTCGTTGACATTATTTACTTTTGGCTTTTCCTGATTATCATCAGCCTTGTTACCATGCCCCAGGCGTTCTGGATCTGATTTAGATCTGGACTATCTGCTGGCCATCCTAATAACTGGATGCCAAAATTTTGAAACCACTGTTTTGTAGTTGCAGCTACATGTACGGGTGCGTTGTCCTGTTGAAAAAATGTTTTCGTCTTCAGTAAACATTGTTTGATAACTAGCAGCAATCATACGCCCATCGATAAATGCCCATTTGGTTTTTAAGGAGGGACTTAAACCAGTCCAGATCATAACTGAACCTTTAATTCTTCAAGACATAATTTTTCTGTCAACTCTCAAATCATGCCAATAACACTTACATCCATCGGGATCGTCAAAATTGAATTTGTTTTCATCACTAAATATGAGATGTTGTCAAAAGGCACCTTTTGTTACATATTTTTCTGCAAACTTAAGTCGATTCAATTTATGTTGTGTTTTCAAGACTGGTTTAGACATTTTTGATATTTGAAATCTTCTGATTCAGCTGCCCACTTTCTCACTAAACTTGGATCACAATTTAGATAATACCTACGCAAAAGTGTTGTCGATGATGCCCGCGTAGTCGATAACTCTTTTACTCGCACTTTGAAATGTACCACTAATATTCGCTATAGCTTTTTGCGTTTTTCCGCAGTTTTTTAAGTCAGGAATTCGCTGTTTTTCCATTGCAAAATTGTCTTACCACGCGGCATATTAAAAGGCAAAACGAAACTGGACAGATAAACCGATTCTATTAAATGATACATCTTGATATTAACTTCCAAAAATAAGGATACACAAAATACTTCTTGCATTTAAAAGGGCTTGTATAACTGAACCTTGAGCTTATAATTTTATAATTCACAGTTTAACTGGTCGTTATAAAATGCAACAAGTGCGGTAAACGGCATTTGACTCACGAGTTTATTTGGCACAAGCGGAGCGAGTGCTTAATAAACGAGTGATTTAAAAAGTTTATTATACTTTTTCTGCGACCGTTAGTTTTTGGGTCCATTCTCGCAAAACAACACGAATACATTCACTAACATGACCGTCAGAATTGACAAACCTCATAATTCAAGGCGTGGAAAATATCTCCGAAAACATCCGATTGCTCCTAAACCCGCGTGGTAAAAACCCGGAAATGTCCGAAGTGACTCGGGTCCGTGGGAAACGAAACTGACGTGGTAAAGTAACGCTTCCCGCACGCTAGATCGGTGTGTAATTAGGCATTTGACAGACGGGAGTAGAAAAATATGTTTGAGTCTATATTTTTTCACAGGTCTGTGGTAAAGTAACGCTTCCCGCACGCTAGATCGGTGTGTAATTAGGCATTTGACAGACGGGAGTAGAAAAATATGTTTGAGTCTATATTTTTTCACAGGTCTGTACGAAATGTTTAACGAACAGTTTGACTGTTACACAAACTCCGACCTGATGTTGCCTAAGCAACATTCTCGCTTAGGATATTCTATGGCACACTCGATATATGGAAATTGTTGAAATAATCTTATTTTATCGTAGAACCGAAGTTTCACTGCTTAAGTGTAAAATAGTATTAGTGGTATATTTTATGCAGATACGACAATTTTGCCGTTTAGAAACTTTAATAAATGCGAGATATCATCGATTTTTTTTTCGACGATACCTAATTTCGGTTCTTCTTTTTTCATCACCTACACGATTTTGACTTTACTAACGAACTGCAAGTGATTTTTCACTTTAAAATGCGTTTTTACGGTTGTGGTATATTAGATATACTTAGATAGGTACTAACCGCAATGACAAATCAACATACGGCACCACAAGAACACGAAAATAGCTTAGATACCTAACTAAGCAAGTCAAAGCTGAACACGGTGTAATATAGGATACTTACGTCGTGTATACTGATCCTGGGCGACTCCAGGGTCAGCTCTGGGTAGATCCAGGGCTTACATCTGGGATCGCGCTGTCTAGCTTTCCAATCTTCGTAACCTTCCGCAGCCTTTCTCAATTGTTTTACCACTCTGGGCGCGAACTTCTGGGATATCTTGTTTACGAGCCACGGTGGTAATTTGCCCCTGGGATCAGTTTGCGATATGTATCCTAGAAAGCATCCATTGGGCAACCGGCGTATGCAAAAACCAGTTAAGTGGGATATCGCTCTGTAAGCGAAAATTTATATGGGCATTATACAGTTAACTATAGGTAATTTACTTGGATTTTCGTCAGTATCGCATAAACAAATAAGTATGAAATGAATAAAAATCCAAAATAAACAGGCAAAATTTTACAGAGCTACTCAAAAGTAAGAAACAGTACGAAGTAGACTATGCTGTATTGGTGGGACCATATAACTGAGATAAATAACAGACGTCATCTAAATTATTAGAAATGTGTGCATAGTGAGTAGTAATGTGTACGGAGGTTGATTGACGGTAAATGGCACGTTAAACGTTTATCGTGAACGAGAAGCAGGACCTTTCTGAAAATTTGGTCGTTTACATTTGCCAGAACGATCATTGATCAAATTTATTTTTTCGAAAAAGTATACCATCAAATTTAATATTTTAAACAGGACATGGTGGAAGTATTGAAAATTTCATTTTTTTCAAATTCTATCGGTAGACAATTAAAAGTTCTTTCAAATGATAGAACGCGATATTCCTATACCTAAATACTACGGATTCCAAAACAAATGCAAGTTTCTGTAAAATTTGGCATACTTGCATTAGGTAGTCATCAAATTGTCAATCAATTCTATGAAAAAATTAAAAGTTAATCGATTGTTATTGTGATATTGTGAACGTCTCCCAAAAGATCATAATAGGTGAAAAGCACAACTGCTTAAATAAAGTATGCGCCAGCACCAAGTAACAAAGTATATTGAACTCCGACAAATTACTATTTTTATAACAATTTGGTCACAGATGAGAGATCTCTTCCATAAAGTTTTTATATTTTTTTAAAGAAAATATCAGGCTAAGGAATGTGGTATTATTCTATAATATCGAGGGTTCAACAATTGCTAAAATTGGACCACTTCTGACACATACAAGTGCGCCAGATGATGCGTTAAAATATTCAAACTAATTGGCATAAACCAATTATTCGCCTGTTATAATGCATATATAAAGTATGTATAAATTACTACTTTTTCCAGGATGCTGCAACAGAGTGGCGGAGTTTTACCGGTTTTTTACGGTTCACATTATTCGAGTCACACTAGTAGTATTCCCATTCTTTATAAGTCGCGTCTTAACCGTAATGAGATTACTTCAGTATTTTTCATTTCCTATGCAAGAAGCGTTTGTAAATCTGAATATATCTCTGACGTGGTGCCAAAACAAACAAATGATAAATTATCGGAAAGATATTTTTAAAATAAAAAGCATTTCCTCCAAGCAGTTTTTCTGTGATGTCATTGATTGTCATTTCAATAGTATAGAATTGGTATTCAATACGAAATCACCTATTTATATTAAACTAATCCTTACCTGATAAAACCTTTCCGAGGCTCATAGTCTTTGTGACCCACTGAGTGATTTATGATGAGTTTTTCGTTTGGTAAATCGAGCCACGACCGCTGCAATACGAAGTCCCTGTTTTTCACTGGTGTTGGACATGATACTGAAAGGATGACACGGCCAAGGCTGATATATACTGATTTTAGAAAAGAGCGGCCAAAACTCACAGGCATAATATCCTACGTCGTTGTTGGGATTGAGGTAGCCTATTTCCGTTGAGATCAGCATATGCTCGTCCCATTCCTTTCTGTAATCCGGATCGTGCAGAACGTCGAATAGTGTTTCCGCTGTGATTCCGTAAAATACTGTGTGGATTTTGACCATTTTAAAGCTGCAACTCGGTGTCAGTTTGGTCCAAACCTGGAGAAAATCGAAACGTTTCATAATCGTGTTCGACCTATACAGTTATGAATAATTGATGTTAAATGAATAAGACGTGTTCTATGTCAAGTTTCTGACTCGTGTACTGATACAAAGTGAATACTATTTAGACAGTGTAGTGCAGTGTAATAGAACTAATTTATGGCCTGCCGTGTACGAGCAGACGTATGGTTGGTATGATATGTATGTATGTATGTATGTATGTACTGTAAGTACTGCAGTACTTCGTGCATAAAAATATTGAAAGCTGACAGACGGAGTTTCATCGGTGAGATTCCTCAATTATTAGTTGTCCATGCAACAGTAACTTGGTAATTACTAATTACAAACACAAAACGGAATAGAAATAACTCCAAAGCTTCGACGGTTAGGAAAATACTCCGATTTCACCGACCTCCACAAATTAACCAATAGCAAGCTGTGAAAACATCCATTATAAATCAATTATCTACATAAGATTTTGTATTGCTTTCCTAAGAAAATATTTTAGAGTCATTATGTTAAATCCTTAAATTGGAATCAATTTAAGCTTCCTAATGTGATGGAACTTGTAGTAAGATTTATAAAAAGCATACTAATATGAATTAATATAACAGGTTAATCAAAGAAAATTTCCCTACTGCTAAAACACAACAGTCCGCACGGCACAGTTGTTGTCAGCTAACATCTTAAATACGGTCCTGGTTTGTGGTACACATGCTGAAAAGAATAGTCTCTTCCACTTTACAATAGGCGGGTGTTAAATTCATTCGGAAGTCAAAACCATAAAAGGTTGTAAAAACGGTATATCGATTGGAGAACTGTACCATTCATTAGGCTCGAGAGATTATCCAAAGTTGCGACACTAATGCATTTGCTTGAGTGCACCGGCCAGGAACGGAATATGTGGAAAAATCTAAGAAGCAACGCACCGCAGTCAGGAATGAAATCTATTTGTCCATTTGTCTAAACTAACTAAAAAAGGACCGATAATAATTATGAGATCCAGTAGACCTTATAAATTAGATATAACCGAGGATACGTTAATGAAAAATTTCGATATCTCGGCGATTTTTTGGAGATATCGTGGAGATTCCGTAATATACTTGATAACAATCCATTAATGATTGAATGTATCTTTCACAAAACGAAAATTTATTTTTACTAAATTTTGTTCGGTTACATAAGGCGCCAGACATTTCCAGTCCACGGAAAAGGCTCGGGATTATTTGTTCCAATCACTCAATACGAGTAACAACATCCGCCGATTTTCCTAAATCGTAAAGAATAAAACAATTTATATTTTCACGTGATCCAGTTTAAAATACCACGAAACCACCTTCAATTGATCGTTAGCCAACAAATTTCAATTTTCAATTACGTAAAATTTCCGCTTAAAATATTCGGTGTTTTCGAATTACCTAGTTAATTACTAACTAACCAAAACTAACCGCAAGCTATTCCATTTTTTTATTGGCACCATACATGTTTCACAATTCGAAAAATTAAGACATTAATACGAAAACTGCCATTCTTACATAAGTGGAAAACTGGACACCCTGTATGTCATTAGGTAAACAAAAAATCGATCATTTAGTTACACAATACGCAAATAGTAACCAGTGGCGCCGCAGTTTTAGAAAAAGAAAAGATTACTTTTGAAAAACAATTCTGCTTGAATAAAAAAGGGAATCTTTTTGCTTCCGACACTGGCGTAGTGGCTGTAATTTCATAAATTTGCTAATTTAAATGGCTTAAAAAGTACATCAAGAGGTTCGAGACCATTAGAAAAAAATAATTAATTGAAACTGTTTTTCTTTAATAGATTCTAAGCCTTTTAATATATTTTTAGCAGATTTGCCACATGCTTTATATTTTAATCAAATTAAAGTGGTTCGAAATATGGTGAATACATAATAATTTGTTTTTACTCTAATATTAGTAGCATTTTATTGTTATTATATGCGCTTTAAATAGAATAGTGTCCTACTACAGAAATGTCACTGTCTGTCATTGAATCATCTTATTTTTCTTTTTAAAATTCATTATACTCCCTTAGTTAATAAAGTAATAGCGACACTTAGGCATAAAGTACCTAATGTGTTTTACGCGCAGTCATGACTGGGTAAAGATAAAACTTAAAATTTTGCAGATTACACTTTTGTGGTAGAAAAAAATTATTTACTATTTACAAAATTGATAATTTCTTACTTAAACTTACCCTGCAATTAATGCTAAGTATTATAAAGTTTTCATTTGAAAAAATGCTTTTTTGCAGTTTCCTAATTTGTAATCTTGTTACTCAAACATTGTATGTGATAATATAAGAAAATTTCATATACAAAACTATTTGTAGAATTCTATCAATGAGGAATCCAATTAAAAATAAATAATACGGTAAATTTGACACAATCTAGAATACTTATTTCAAAAACCGCTGAAAATGATTGATTTGAGCTGCTATGCATCCATTAAATTTGCTAATGGTTACAATACAACAGTTCACCACTCCAAAACTTACCTTAGTTCCGTCTTTGGCGTTGTCATATTCCAATTTCCAACCATCGTGATTGTCCACTAGCATCTTCAGCATGGCAAAGTCGCTGTCTTCCGCGATCTTCACCACCCCAACCTCCATACTCTCCTGCAAACGATAGTAGAAACCACAATTGTAATATCATAGATCGTTTGTTTTCGGCTACACGATATGTCATAACGTCATATTATTATTATATTCAGCAACACTGTGTGGAATCGCAGGCGACACTGTATCTGTCATTGTCAATCATCTGTCACGGGTATCGATCGGAAACCACTTCGTTTGACTCGATTTTTATGACGTTTCAATAAGGGTGTTTCTGATGAATCGCGATGACGCCAGCGAGGGGTCGACGCCAAGCACCCACTGGGAGACGCAGCGCGCTTTGCGAGCGTCGGCGTCGCGTCGCGTCCCCCACGCGAGTGACGGCAGATTAATTATACAGGAGGGCCAATTATACTGCTAGCGTTCCAATTTTGAAATTACGGCGTTAGGATTTATATCTGGCTTAGAATTTATTTAAAATTTATTTAGAATTAGGAACTTTTTAAAACAGCGGAAATAAGCTCAGAGTTGTAATATTTCTGCTTAACGAACTTTTGAATTGCAGATTACTTTTTAATTTATTACAGATTCAAATAGGAAATAAGTAATTTTTACCATTTCCTGTGATTTTGGAAAAATTATTAATATAATTAAGGCAACCACTACGTAAATGGTCGCAATATTCACGAAATATTGAAATATAATTGAAATACAATACATGATTTAACGAACAGGGATGGGTAAATATGAACAAAAGTTACTTACAATGTATTATCCGAATATTTGTAATAAATATAGGGTGTTCTATTTGAAACTTCAAAACTGCCATTGGTTTCTGGTGGATCTGGCAAAATGCCGAAATGTTTCTAAAACATGTGTTATCACTGCAGCGAAAAATTTCCTTTGCTCTGTTTTCCCAAAATTTGAATAGGGCAGGCAGTTACAGTACTAAAATGTATAACAAAATCACTTTCAAACGGTTTATCTAGACACAGTCTTTTTCACCCTTTAACATTTTTTGCAAATTTTAGTGATACATTTTCTATCTTAATTAATTTTCGTTGAGACTATTATATTTTATTTTGCAGTTTCCAAAAATAAGAAATTTTCACTTTTATGGTTTTGTTTATATATTTTGTCTAACACACGCTAGAGATTTCCTCGATTATCTCGCTTTTCTTCATTAGTGAAATCCATTTTTAATAAAAGCGTTACAAGATATCAAAATTACTACGATATAAAGACAAGATATTTTCATTTATATTTCGGATTTTTGGATCTACAAGAGTAGCTTGAAATACATCGTTGAATAGGAAATAAAATAGGGTATTCAAAAATGCAAAAATTGAGTTGATAATGGTTTAAGATTGACTAAGCGTCGTAGAAGAATTTTGACTACTGTAATTTTTTTTATAAACTTTAAAAACTTAAAAAAACTAAGAACTTTCGAAAATAAAACGTTAAAACATACATCTTATTTATTTTTTCTAATTTTTCGGAAGAACTATTTTTTAAAGGCAAGGAACAAATTTATTAAAATATTCGATATGATATTTTAGTCAGATTTAACATTACGTTTCCACTTAACTCATCCATGGCATATAAATAGCTAATTTTATGGAATTTTAAAAAACCAACTCACCAAAATTTAAACCAAGCTTAGTGCCACTTAGACTTTGTTATTGTTAAGTATCTTTTCATATGTATTGTGTAAAGCATCAACCCGTATTACCTCGAAAATGTATTATTTTTTGTTTTGAGTTGAGTTTTTTACTTTCTAGCATTTTTATCCGAATATTTACTGAATATAATGTTCTTGCAGCTGTATTCTTAAGTTGTGACTCTAGAGTTTGAATCAAAAGTAATTAATATTCTATCATAATTATGAAAAATAATCATAAAGTTTGAAACTTTAATTCATCGTATGTATTCCCTAACTTGAGATTAAGGTACTATGGTCTGGTGAACCGTTCAAGTAATTTATTATAGGGAGCAATCGATTCTACCTAAAAACACTTGTATCTATTGTTTCCCTTTGATCTTCGTATTACACTTTTTTCAAACAGCTGTAACGTACGTCGTAAGTTCGTTTCATTTCGCGCAGCGTACGAAATCGCGTTTAAACTTACTCAAGCACGAAGCGCGAATCCGTGTCACTGTGTCAACTCTTGTCCGGAGGATAACACGCACTCGCCAACAAACATTTAGCACAATAATTGAACGCTAAAACCCACACCGTTTCGATAACGAAAAATAATCGTCTTTCGTCGGGCAATCTAAAACATTATTTTTAGAATTCGGCAAGTTTCACTTTCCATTAGATTTAGACGCTGCGGTTTATTTGACGGCCCGCATTTTTTCCGCACGTCTGTCAGCCGAGCGAATACTGATTCGTCGTGGCTTCGGTTCAGGTGGAAGTCAATTATCGCGTCGCAGATAACGATGCACTCGCATTGTTTCAGTTTTATTTGCTGCCGTGTTCGGCAGATACCTTCCTACAGTGTGACTCATTTGAAATGGACACAACCCTAGAGTATAAAAAAACTCTCGAAACGAGTAATTGTTCCTCAGATAAGACGATTTTCGTGCCCGATTTACTTCCGCGAGAATGAGTAAGTGATGTCAGTGCGTTTTCGGCCGCCTAAGCTAAATCTAAAACTCATTTTTTCCAAAAATTGTCGACCACAACGGTACATGATGAATTTAATCTCGATCTGTATAAGTTACAAACATCTTCGTTCAAGATTTGGCAAAAATCATTTATTCCAAGATTAATGCAAAAAGCGGTTTTTCCGACCTTGTTCGCTTGTATCTCTAAAATTGAAAGCTCCACATTTGGTAGTTAAGGTTATTTTGTTATTATGATTATTATTTTCTAAAACACCGACAGAACTACTTTAAAAATATATAAAAAAATATTTTTTACATGCAAAGTGATTTATTTACAATAATTTTTAACTTTTTTACACCAAAAATAGCATTCATATGCTCTTTCGAGGTTATTTTGTTGTTGACATTGCATGTCTGCAAATTTCATCCAGATGACAGGTTTTAAAACTCTTTACGTTTACTTGGGAGATTTTTGTTAACAGCTTTTAAGCTTTTTTCAAAAATTTGATATTTTTTGAGTATTAAATTGACACTTTGGCTTTTTAAAATTACCGCCAAGATGCGCTGGTCTTCTACGAGACAAATCAAAGCCAAAAATTATAATTAAAATTCTTTAATATAATTTATATAAAATAACTATATATTTTTAAAACTTGTATTAGTTTTTGTTATGCTTTTTATATCGTATTTTAAATATTAATATTTGCTAATTAAAATTGAAAATTTTAGATTTTGTAAAATTCATAGGAAAACAAAACACGGAGCGGAAATCCTTCAATTGCCAGAGGCTCCACTTTAGATGGAAAACTTGTACTACGATAAAAATAGTAACAAATTTAAAAACATCATTTTATCGAACTTTTTATGCTTCTTTATTTGAACTATTCAATTCAGTAATCACCAGAATATTCTTTTGATTTTCTAAAGGTGAATTTTCGAAAAAAAATTACAATTTAAAAAGCTATGGTAATAAAAAATTAAGTCTACCATGTCGTGTACGGTTGAAGTCAACTTTTGTTTGTTTTATGGGCGCCACATTGTATTTCTACATTTTCAAAATCCTCTTTAAAAATGGTTTTCAACTATGTATAACATATTTATGTTTGATCACCTACCGAGTATTGCTAAGGCAAAAAGAAAAACCTCCAGATGCAAATAAAGAAAATTTGGTCTACCAAAACGTGGTTAAGACACCTCCTACAAATGGGATGGAGTGCATCGAGTAAGCGAAGAATAAAATTGCAGTAGAATTTCACCTGTGAAATATTAAAATTTATTCATCCAAAATGCTCGATGCGCTGTTTCAGGCTGTGTTTGTATTGGAAACCCAATGCAGTTAGATAATTCATTCATTGATACCCCGAAGCAGAGATATCATGACTTTCAGGCGAGCTCTTGTCTGAAGAATCCTAAATTCCTAAATCCTAAATTCATGAGATGTTATGAAATCTCGGTTAATGAAAAATTAAGTGACTAATTTATTTATTATGGCTAAATTTAATATCGCAATTAAAAAATCCATTTGGACAACCTATAATACTTTTATAGCGTCTATTTAAGTCTCCTTTTAAATGATCAATAATTCACTGCTCGGTATACTGTAAATGGGTCAAATTAATGTTTTGTTTATCAGCTTCTTTTAAATAACAAATTGGTTAGCCAGTGACGTAAATTTTTTCGCCGTTTTCTCCTCTATGTTCGGAGATCTGACAAACCTTAGTAGCTATGAAAAGTGTCATTTAAGCGTCAGCGTCATCTGCGAATTGCTGTCCTATCCTTAAGTATAAAAAATAAACGTTATTAAAAAATATTCAATACGGTGTTGTTAAAATTTTATTAAAAATGAAAATCCTAATTTCTAGTGGGTGGAGTTAAGCTTTTAAACGATTCTTATTCAATTTTCGTATTCTTAATAATATAGACCATGTACCTTTATACTACATATAGAAACCTGCCTGTTGAAAGACACAAACACAAAATTGATGATATTATCAATTTTGACCTTTTTGAAATAATTATCGCAGTAGCTTTGAAAACAACAGTCGTTCTCTGTTGTGGTAATATTACAGATTTTTTGACAGATATCAGTGTATATATTTTAATCATATTTTTTTGGACTTTTTTCTATTTATTGTATTAAGTTGCACTTTGTTTTACCACCCTGTATATAAAAAGTGGGAAAATAAAATAAAGATAAAGGTCATTTTAATAGAAACAACTTATGTATTAACATTTTTTTGTGACTCCCGTAGGTTTCGCCCCTCTTAAACGGGCCACCCTGTACATACATAGGTATATTATTGCCCGTTCCAATGAATACTTACAGCGTTTTCCAGCATCCATTTCGCTTTTCATAATTTAATTTCACACTGTCAACAATTATTTCTCATATCGCGGCATTAGTAGTAGAGCAATAAATGTTAACGCTGTTATCGCATAGTAAATAACCTTTGGAATTTTTCGATTTTATAGTTTCTTTGAGTACCTTACAGTAATTTGGCGACTCTAAATCAACGTTTTTGTACAGCATAATAATAATAATAAGTTAACCGAATAAAGCCATCCCCTTAGAAGTTTTCATTAGAAGAATAACTTAGGATAGAAAACTAGGATAGCAAAACTTATGTATTATTTCAATAAATACAAAACAAACAAGTCGTTCAAAAATTTTTTAAATTAAAAACAATAACAACAATGCAAATTGCAAGCATCGCAATCGCTTTTCGTAAGATTGTTATAAGTTTCTGTGCAACGTCCGTTGTAAAAGTAAAACACCTCATTAAAACATTTTTCGAAAGTGGTGTTCCACTTGAGATTTTTATTTTCTGATACTCAACTACAAGATTTTTGGTCAGATATATAAGGTGATTTACGGTCCATGGCTGGTTAGATTTTTATGATGAACAACATATAGGACAGTTCTAAAAATGTGATCACACCTTGTATGAATCTTGCTGTTATTTCGGAGTCCTTAATATCGTAAAAATTTCACATTTTGAGTGCTTATGTCTATTAAAGATTGAACTTGCCTACAGAAAACTGTTAAATAAGACCTTCGCAAACTATAGCACAAATTTCGGCTCTCTACTAATTCAAATATGGATCTAGTAAAGTTTTAATGGGAGTATGTTTTGAACAAGACATAAAGTAAACAATTAATTAAAATAAGTTTTCCGAAGAAGCGGAAACGTGGCATCGCTGAAAATATATTAGATCGCTAAATCGTCCTCACTAAGGTAAACGAACTGTCCTACGTGATATTTAACGTCTGACCTGAATCATTCTGAACATCGACGTACAGGAAGAACAATATTTCCAAGAGAGCGTTGAAGGCTTGGTCAAAGGTGATGAATATTTTGACTATGTACTTAAATAATTTTCAAGCTATTTTAAACATCTTAAATATTGAACAAAAAGGACTAACAGATTTGCTTACTTCAATTTAGATAAGTCAAAATAAAAAAATCGAATATAGAGAAATAGTATTTGTATTTCCTAAACTCAAAAAGTGTTTTGTTTATTCGGTGCAAAATTGGAGAAAAGGCACATGAAAAAAAAATGAACTAGTGAAAAATTCAAGTAATTAATAAAAAAACTGTTTGAAAATTAACATTTTCAATTTATTCCTCCGAGCGCTGTCAAAGCTTCGTGATGTACAACGTGCGTTTAAAAAATGAAATATTTCTCGAAAGTCCTATGTTCCACTTGAAAGATTGTTATCCGTTGCTCAAGAAAACTATTATTCAACCACCCGGCATTTTAATAATGAATGCCGAACGCTTGATTTCGTTTTATAGCGAATACTTTATTTCATAGACGTGACAGTGCATTTTGTTAAATTGTTCAAAGTGCTTACCTGAATTTCAAAGTTACAACTAGTAAATACGAGGGGTTCGAGTTGAAAAGTTTTTTCCACAGTATCAAAGTCGGAATTTTTACACGTGCCAGCCGAGTCAGTCATTAAATTTTCTAAAATGATATAGTGTTATTTTGTTCTCGTTTGCTGGTTAGCGTTTTCAACTAATCAAAAAATGGTTTTTAAAAATATCAGAATTTTAAATAAATGTCGCTTTTTTTTTTAATTGTTAAATTAAACGCCACAGATGACCAAGAATTTTTAGTGTTAAAATTTTTTTACCCAGCTCATTAGGGGTTTTTGCCTTCTCGGACATATTTAACTTAGATTTTACATTTGAATTATAAAATATGGTACATTTATATATTATTACAAACATTCGACTAGTGTTCAGCTCTATAATTTGTTGGTTATTGTTATAATTAATTTTAAAACATTCCATATTAGTCGTAAAGTCGGGCAGTAGCTAATTCGAAAGATCGAACCTTTTTTTGTCATTTGTTTTCAGTTCGCCGTATTTATGATTGATGCCGACCGTTTTTAAATTAAATTTGATGATGCTAGAAAATCGGCTATTTAATTTAAAATATTCAGTGCATTGCAATACCAAATGAAGTAAAGAATTATGTAGATTTGAACAATCAATTTTTTGAAAAATATTTATGATTTGGATAATGTACTACTACTACATTTATTTCTCCCAAAATAAGAAATCCTGCTTATCAGACACGAGTTTTGAAGGATATATTCTAAAAGAAGGGGGTTAGAATTAATCTTATTGAAATAACTTTACCAGAAACCAAAATCGGAAACCTCAAGCAAATCAGAAATTACATAATTACTTCAATAACACTCCATTTTCTGAGGACATTTTTCAATAACCAACAGGAAGAATAAGATTTTCTTGAGAATTTGTAATAATGGAGATTAAATATCTTGAACATCGATTTCTTTTGGCAAATAATGTGAAAAATAAAAATTACACTTTTTTTGTTTTATTCGGTTATTCAATTTGAATTCAAATAACTTTGGCGAAAATATCAAAATTTTACGACAAAGTAAGGTGGAATTTCTAGTATGGAAAAAAGAAAACCGAATTAAAAAATGGTTTTACTGGATTTACTAAACATGTTAATAGTGGTGATTTTAAAGAGATATATTATGAAGTTGATAATATAAAATGTAGAAGACGTGTGACTTTAAACTTAAGCCGTCGTAAGCGTTTAAGTTACTAAACCGTTTTCTGGTCGTATCAAGCGCAACACTGCTCCCGTCAAGAGGTTAACAGTTTCAATTTACTTAATAAAATTCGTTAAATCTTTATAATATTTCGACTGATTATTCTTATTGCTTCGGGTTATTGGGGAAGAAGTTCATTTTAATAAAGACGACGTTTATTTGATATTAGATCGCAATTTAAAAAAAAATAAAACTTCAGTTTGCGACGACATTGGCATCCTTAACTGCAATCTGCACCAGCCTGTACTTCTGTATCTTCCCGGACGTTGTCTTCGGAAAAGAGTCGACTATTTTCAACACCGTAGGTATCTTAAAATGAGCGATGTTCTCTTTGCAGTAAGTCCTAATGTGATCTAATGTCACGCTCATGCCGTCCTTGACTTTCACGAAAGCACAGACCTCCTCACCCAACCTCTCGTGGGGAATACCAACTACCTAGAATGTTAGTTACGGTTTCTGTATCTTGAATTATTAGCTATGAAGTCGAAATGATTTTCTCGTTGCCGAACGGACGTTAACTTAATTAACTGTAAAAGTTAATTTTTCAACTTTAAACGAATTAAATTTATTTTCCGCTATTTCCGTACTTGGGTATACCTATTAACATTATGGTAAAAAAATATGAAACGCTACTACGTTTTGAATATGTTGTTTTCTATTCAGTGTCTGATATTTCAATAGGCGATTAGTGAAGTATTTTTAAGAACAAAATTTCAAATAAACATCGATCTGCAACAGCTTCGTTTCTGAGATATAGGGTGTTAATAGTTCTTGTTTATTAACAGCAGCGCCCCCTATAACAAACTATCAAATTCAAATTAAATTAGAATGTTTCCTCCGTGTGCCAATTTTTATCCAACGATAGACATTTTTCCAAAAATTATTTTAAAAAAATTGAAATAAAAATTAATTCTTTGCACCCTGTATGTTTCAGAGCGATCTCTATATAATTTTTTTTAATTCTTGAGAAATTGTCCGGTTATTAAAAAACTCCCTTTCTAGCTCTTTCAACTTTCGTGAATATAATGCACATTTTGATTATGTAGAAAATTGAATTTGACCTTAATTTTAGTTACAATACACTCTTTGAAATATTAACAGAGAAAACTTATTAGAATTTACAAAAATACTTTTTGAATTTTATGAAAGCAGCGCAGAATATTCTTGATATTCTTTGAAACAAACGTTACATTTCGAAAAAATAATTAACAGAAGTTCTTCTCATATTATACGAACTTTCGAACGGGCACTGTATATCATTTATCTTAAATTTGACCCTTGATAACAATAACCTTGTTGCATATTTCAACAAATACCAGCTAAATATATATCTTTGAGTTGTTTTCACATTTTTCATTTCGTGCTATATTTTAATAAATAATTTCAGTTACGAATATATTACATTAGACACCATGTATCGCTTGCCGTATTTATTGAGATTATCAAATCCGCTTAGTTTTTATCCTGGGTAAATTCCAAATATTGATTTTGTTGACAATATTATTTCTACCAGGTTACCAACGCTATCCTGCTATTTACATGCCGGACATTTACCTAGTTAAGGGCAGGGCGCGGCTCACTCGATAAGTAACTTTGTTAAACTACGATATGAATAATTACAGTACCACGTTCAAAAATAACATTATAATCGCTTGGCGTAAACGTTATTTAGCCTTAACACCCAAAAATTGACAATTTCTTAGATACGTTTACGTAGGTCACAATGATATGAACTGGAGATTTATTTCTTTTACAAAATGTCAAATAAATATTCTCAAAAACTCAAAAATTTCAAATAGAATCGTAAATTTCATGAAACAATCGTATTCGTAATTATGCCACAAGATTTTCCTCGACTATTTTGTAAAATTATAATAACAAACAAATCGCAAATTTTTCAAAGACTGTCGGGAATAAGTCGCTTCTAAAATATAAAAAAAAATAAAGCATGAAAATGCCAAAATTACATTTTTGAGATAATCGAGAAAAAATGTTTAAATTTACAACAATTATTATAATTACCGATGTTTGTAAAAATAAAAAATTACACAATTCTCTCAAAATGCGGCGGGACACGAACGACAATTCTAACGCAAAATGTTAATATATCAAAAAATTGCACATACCCCCTTTGACATTTCCACTCTTCAATTGTTTGAGCTGTTTTTTGTTTTCATTTACTTTTGAAAAAAATAATTGTCGTGCAATATTTAGCAAGAACCTTTCAAAACACTTAACTCTTGATTTTTAGCTTTTTTGTTAAGCTTTCTCATTTATTTTTTAAGGTTATAGAGACACGATGGTAATTTATATTGTTCCTAAATCCACAAGCCGTTATCGATATTATTGAAAATCGCCTAAGTAAATATCTGACTATCCGAGAAAAACAAAATTACGTTAAAATTAGCATAAGCATTTAACAGTAACCAAAAACTGACCTGCATGGAATGAAACGATTCATCAATTAAAAATTCTAAAACACAAAAATAACAACAAACCGTAACCTTGAATTACTAATATTGTATACTAACATAAACTTCCAAAATGCTTGGGTGGGTGTTCAGAAAATCTTCGATTTCTTTCGGGAAGATGTTCTCTCCACCTCTGATAATCATCTCCTTTAATCGTCCAACAATTTTGCCGTATCCGTTCTTTTCCAATATAAACTGGTCACTATAAAAAGTTGATTATTGCGAATTTTGTAGCATGATCCTAAAATACTGAAAAAATCTCGGCATAATCAGTCAAATGACTTAAAAATCAAAGACATAAGCTAACCTATTGCAAATTGTGCGGAGATTCTGTTCAGTATCTGAAAATTTAAGATCGTTCCAAAATTGAACACTATTTGAGGTAGGTAACAATGGCGAATTAAAAATTTTAAAGTTCACATTTGAAAAATCATTTATTTGATGATTATTTTGGAAAAATAGGAAAATATCTTGCACAATGCATAGAAAAAACAAACAGCAAAAATATTGGTGTTCAAGAAAATGTTATGAAGAAAGGATTATCAACTATAGCGAATTTGCACAAACACCGTTTTATGATATATAGCAGAAAAACAAACTAATACTATCCTGCGCCTACCACCCTGTCACCAATTAAAACAAATTGACTCATATGGGCCCAAGGGTTTATTTTTAATTTGTCCACCAATATTAAATTTAATGTAATATATGTAACTAAAATCCCATATTTGTGCCTAGTTAATTGTTTTTCATTTAAAATTTGCATATCTGTATACGCTCACCCAGTTCTGAACCACTTATCGGGACCTATTACTTCCTTGGTCCTATCCTCGTCCTTCCAGTATCCCAACATCGTACTGTATCCCCTTATACATAATTCTCCTGGGGTTCCGATCGGGACGATATTGCCGTCTACATCTGTTACTTTCGCTTCAACGTGATCCTGAACATATCCGACTGTAGACGTCGACAAGTATTCATCGTCATCGTAGAGTGATTGAAACACGATAGCCGTGCATTCGGTGAGGCCGTAGACGGACTGAAGATAGATAAAGGAAATGGTTTTTTAAGGTAATACCTTACATGAAGTTATATCACCTTAATGAGAGTTCCATATTTATTATTTTAAAATCAAATTGCCAGATTTGTTTTCCTACCAATGGTTGAAACAGATTTAGATATTTGCCGTGTGTTATTATACGATTTTTTCTGGTCTACTTCAAGTTTAGTGAATCCTTCAAATTTTGCAAATTTATACGATTGGAAGACTTCGGTTTAAAAATACCCAAACGTCTAGGACTTCGCGCTTAAGATATTGTTTCAATAATAGCAAGAACAGTTTTTTTATTTAAGTCCTATGATAAATGTGTTCCCAACCTCAATTTGCTATGATGGATTATTTTCAGGAGGCTGCATTAAATATCACCTTGTCGTAAACAATGTTTACTTTGTTACATGAAATGACCAGTTTGTTTAAAGTTTACGTCAAAGCGTTTTGATGAGCGTTTTTGCATTGCCCGATAGGAGCGACTGCGTCACGTCAAAAATCACACTTTTGAAGAATTAAATCGGTTTAGAGTTGATCTCGACTTTTTTATTTTTTCAAAAATGTAATTGTTAATTAATTTATTATAAAGTCGAAGACTGGAATGCAGTAAACACATTAAATTTTAAGGAAATTGTCAAATGTAATAATAATAAAATGATGTTGGTTGAAAAAAATTAGAAAGAAATTCTTCAAATAATAAATGACATCCAAATAAGAATGACTGAAAGAAATTAGAAGAAGTTTTTGTATGTTTAGCATCTAAAAAAAATCGAAACAGACTTTTTAATTTTTTGAAAAATTTGCCAAAAATTGAACTAATAATTAATTTATTAAAGGCGAGGACTGCAAAAAAAGCACGTCTGGAAATTAATTCAAATTGAAGAAGGTAGAAAAATGTAAGAAATGTTGTTACAAATATTGTATTGATTACGAAGTAGCTTCAAAGAAATGTGAAAAAAATGCCTTCAATAATCGAAATCCAATCCAATCCAAATAGGGAATGAGTTTATTGTTTCTTTCATTTCAGCATTTCGATTACTATTTATGAATTAGTGATATTAATAATAAGACTTTCACTGTTTGCTACAAATATATAGCATATTTTACAATAAATTTGATGGCAAAAAAATCGAAAATATAACTGCAGTCCTCTTTAAGAATGTATAATATAAAATTAAAAATTGCATAATTTTTAACTTATGTTATACCAATAAAGGCAAAACTCTGAAATATCCATCCTGAGAAATTTATAATTTGTAGTAACCAAAACTTATTTGAAATAAAAAAATTCTACAAAAATTCTGTGAAGGTAAGTACCAAATTTTCGGTAATAAAATGATTTACTTGGTTTACTTAATGTAAAAAGTTTTTTTAAGGATTAAATTCATTGATTTGATTGATTGATAATTTTATAATTTTGAAATCATAAAAAAATTCTTCATTTAAAAAAATTTAAAAACATATGTAGCGCCTAATAATCACTATGCAAATGCGAGGGTAAGCAGAAGGCCAGTTAGAAAAATTTATTCCTAAAATTAAATTTTCAATAAAATATGCCTATGCACTGCAATTTGTGTTTGTTACGTACATAAGTGAGGTCTTAAAACTATGAATATGCTTTTTATAAATGATGAAGGCCCTGATATGGATTAAGACTTACATATGTTTATTTAAAAAAATATATCGCACTGTATGCTAATAGATAGGTGAAAATGTGTTCAACAAAAATTACTTTATAAAAGAACACATATTTGTTTGCCACACATTCCTATAGTTTGATTTCAGAGAAAAATCACTTTAAAAATGTAAGAGGAAGACGCATGAAATCTTGGTTTATTAATCTCGATAAGCAATAGTTTGCGAAATACACTACATTGAGCGATTATTTTTGTTTACATAAGGTCACTCAAAGTTAAAGTGAAAACACTATATAGCCTTTTTTTAGGGTGTCCTACCTTGACTTTCTGCAAATTTAATACACTCTTCATTTCTCGGAAAAGATGCGGTGAGCAACATGCCCCCCCAGATACTGCTATATCCGGACTGATATTTTCCCGTCGTTTTTTTTGGCGGTCCACCAAATCGACATACATAGTTGGAGTGCCATGTATTACGGTACACCTACATTTAAAATCTTCATAAGTTATTGTTTGGTATAAGAATACCAATAAAATAATTATATTTTAGTAAGAAAATTAGTATATTAATATGATTTACAAGCAATAGGTTATATTATTGCTAGATATCATATTTCGCTCACGTATTTAACTAAGTTAGTTGTAACCAAAACCAGTTCTTGGTTAGTTTTTTGTCCGTTCCTACCTATACTGGAATACTCAGTTGAAATTAATTATTATGCAGAGTTTGATTTTCATTTTATTTGCCATCTCTCTGTGTATGTTCCGATTCTATCCATTCTTAACGCTGACTTCACAGTTAATTTCATATTTTTCAGCAATAAAAAGTATGTACAATCCACTCGAATTGCACGTCATTTTTATCCCGTATAACAAGGTGATTCTTTAGCATCAATCAAATTTCAATTCAACAGACCAAATCTCAATTATTAGAAATTAATAATGAAATAGCAGTTTTAATTGTATAATCGTTCTGCATCAAAGTTGCTGAAAACTTCCCCTTACCGTTCGTCTCTTATTGCATCCAAATTTTTATCAGGGTCGTATCCGGCTGAAGGTAGTACCAAGGTGGCACCGTGGTTTAACGCTGCGCAAATGGTTATGACGGTACCAATCGCGTGAAAGAGAGGCGTCTGGACGCAAATAGTATGGTGTTTTCGGTCCAGTTCGCTTCTTTGCCCGATATAGTACGAATTATTTACCATGCTAAAGTGCGATACCGCCGCCGCTTTGGGTTGACCGGTAGTGCCCTATAACGATAATGTTTCCTATAATTTTGTGTTTAACCCGAAGTGACCGTTTTCTACGTAAAATTTTGCGTTGGAAATGTTGTTCATAGAAACACAAAATGTTTTATTCCAAAATAGTTACAGTAATTTTTTTTAAATGCATATTTTCGATTAATGCTTTATAACTTTGAAACGGTAACAAATATGCATGTCCGGTTTTTACAAAAATTAAGCTCTATGTAGAACCGGAACAAATGGTAGTCAATTATATTGTCAATGGTGAATATTAATTGTAAATATTTTGTTGATATAACAAACACAAATAAATTTGCAGCCTGTTTTGCCAATAATTTTCGGAGGTAACTTACCGAAGTGAACTGAATGTGGGCTGGTTCGTCCATCAGTATGAGATTTTGACTTTCTTTAATGGCTCTGATCCCCTTGATAGTGGCAAATTCAAATACGTCGTTGAATTTGAGAGCTCCTCTGTAAGTACCACGCACAATGAAAGCAAGTTCCTTAAAAGTGTCGTCCCAATAGGCTCTCACCTCAAATGTTCGTCGGTCATCACTATCACACTTTGTAGGGAAGGCACATGCCTGCTTTTTAGCTTTCCTGGTATGCTACCGGGGAGTTCAGGTGCTATTTTGCACAAAATCTCGTAATAGTTTTGATATTTGAACTTGTGCGCACAGATGATGCACCGCATTTCCACCTTTTTGATGCAGTACTCCATTTCCATTCGCGGGATGGCTGGATTTATGTTTACCTAAAAAACGTAAATCTCTCTAAATCTAAATTAGGTGATTAGATTAATAGATGCCGTTAATACCGTAAAATTGATGCGCCACAGGCGCAGAATAAAATAGAATTTTATTGAATATGTTGGTCCAATTTTATGTACAATATACATACTTAACAAAGAAATATGAAATAACAAATACAAAACCAAGAATACAAACAGTATAAAACTATCACAATAAAAATTATACAAACATATTAAAACAGAGTATAGTATAGACACGACAGAGGCACTTTGTAACCCGCTCCGAATAATACTCGGATTGTTTTTTTTTTTGTAAAATAGGGGCACTTTTTGCAGCTGTATTGTTACCCCATACATTGACAACGCAAACTGGCATCGATAGTTGTATCGAATAATAATCAAAGTTTGACTTTTCTACGTGTTTAGGAGAAGTTGTCATGAACCATTTTCTAAGCATTTTACAATTGGTTATGTCATCCGCGAATTTCGCTTTGGTGTTGAATCCAAATTTAATGGGATCTGAGCATATTTTGACAAGATATTGCCTAGAAAATGCCACATCCCAATTGAAAACTGTCAAATTGATGAACTGCCAACAGCCATATTGTTTGTTCTACATTTTTTGACAATTTCTCCAAGTGGTTATGAGATATCATTAGCAAATATTTATTATAGATTTTTTATTGAGATTGACATTGATGAAGTACAAGTAACCAAAGCTAAACTGAACTAAACCAACGCATCGGACAATTGTTGTTTAACAGTTTATTGTAGATTTCGATAGTTTTTATTGCAAATTTAAATAAGTGAATATATAAACAAATTGGAATGGGTTAGCGAAAATAACGAGACAGATACAGTCACAGTTAAAAGTTCCTGTGGCTAGCGTTATAAATTTGAATACCGCCAATAGGCCAAAGCGTTCAGACAACATATTACCATTTGCATCACCCACATACGCAAAAACGTCAGATGTTTGCGCACATTATTCCATACCCTATTCAATTCACGAACACCGGGGAATTACCATACACTAACAAACCGCGTGTTCTCAAATAGCTAAAACGCCACTACTAAAAAAATTTTCATTTTATTTTTGGATAATTACCCAATAGCAGTTTTCTGTAAAAGGTAAAAGGTTATAACAAATTTTGCTTGAACAACATCCTATTTTTTTTTTGTCATACTGCCATACTTTTACATATTTTATATTCTCGATTATGACTTTTCTTTTATATTATATAGTTGTAAATTTTTAACCTTACAAAAAAAAATTTGTGCTAACATTTTAATATAATAATTTAATATAATTATTTATATTACGCATGGAATTTACTCAACTAATTCGTCCCCGTTCATTCAAAAATTTCGACTTTCTATTAAATTAATGCGCTGAAAAATCAACAGGTCTTTAAAGATGTCTTAAAATAGTAGATATCGCAAACCTGAATAAAATCTACTTTATTATATGCGACCAAACTAAAAATGAAAACACACAAATGATCATCCCATTCATGTTAAACGAGAATACTGAATGTATAAGGATTGAGTCGAGCAGGTCTCCTCGTTTTAATAATTAGGTACTATTGTCAACGAACAAAATGACGCAGAAACGGAAATTAGTATTAGTAAGAAATTAGAATTGAGTAAGCCATGAGGGCCTTTATAAATAAAAAACAATTCTTTATAACGTCGGTCTAAATGTCTGAGAATGATAAGGAGTTATATATTCTCCATTTTCCTTTACAGACACTTGATTCAACCATGCCTACGCCTTTGAAATGTATTAAAATCGTAGAATGTTGCGCATTTCATGATGTACATGTACAAATATATAATTCACATAATACAAGGTGACAGGTATGAAATACTAAGGCTCCTTATAGAGGGAAAAGTTCATGGTAAAAGATCTATGAGACAGAATTCATGATTCCGGCACTGTTGCTCATCAATGGGTATCTTTAGTTTCTAATATTACATTGACCAAATAGGTCGCTAACCTTCAATGCGTTGAGAAGGCGGATTAAGAAAAAGATTTTAACAATGTCATTTAGATTTTAGAAAATTTTCTAAAACAAAATTAAATTCAATTGTTTAAAAAAAAATTGGAAAGGAGAAACATTTTTAAGCGTATTTAGAGGCGAAAGTAACTTTAAAATGATTTTCTCTTAAAAAAATGTTATCTAGTCTTGGAAAAAGTTAGTTTTCTAATTATACGGAACGAAGCTACTTCCATTTAAACCTAAAAAGACAACTAATTATCGTTAGAGTAAAAATCGACAATCAACAAATTCATTATGAATTTATATTTGACTAAACCTACCAGCACAAATCCGGCTCGGGCACATGCCATGTGGGTTATGTACCACTCTATACAATTGGGGGCCCAGATAGCCACTCTGTCGCCATTGTTTAAACCGAGAGATTTTAGACCGGCCGCCAGCCTGTCTGCCCGATCTAGTGCCTGCAGATAAGACAGTTCTTGATTTTGATGCTTTGATATGATTGCGGTTACGTTTGGATACGTTGTGCAACATTCTTCGATTAGCTGACCCAAGGTTAAGGGTTTCAGCGGTTGTTTGCCCACATTGTGTATGTAGCTGATCGTTTGTTCCTTTGGTACTCTGCAGAATAATAAGTTTATTTTAATTGAAATAAGAACATTTCGAAATAATCTTGGTATAAACACGGAAAGGTAGTAGTTATACCAAATTCTGTTTGCTTATAATAGTTATATTTTTTTAGTAAACTACGGATAAGAAGCCTTGTTTTAACTTGCTTCACTAGCATTTTAAATGCTTGCGTTTGGTTGATAATCTAAGGTTGATGCACCCTGTGGAATAATTTCGTAATCAACTTTTATTTAATTTTTGTTAAGGGTTATTCTTCGTTTATTATTCGCTTTTCAAATGGAAACCAACGGCTCACAGAAAAATGATTTTTACGTGGTTGGTTTTGCTATCTTAGTGTTAGTGTCACACCCTAATTTGGGTTTTTTAGTTTAGTTAACTTATAGCTTTACTTTTTAATTAGTCGTTTATAGACATATTAAAGAAGCTAAATCTTCCATATTTACTTACCTTTTGATTGTTTTATCGTAGCCATTTATCATTTTCGCGACAATTAGCGGATCACTATAAACCTAGAGATAGGTCACTAGACGCGACGTGGTATTTTTTTTCTGCTTTTTTTTCGAACAAAGAAAATCCTCAAAAGTACTGTGACCTCTCAATTGTATTTAAATTTTCGATCAGGTTTTACGTTCGATTCCCGCCATTGGCGTACCATGAATAATATAAATAATTTCAATTGCATGCATACCGTATTTTTTCCTGATTTCATCTTTAGAGGTATTTTTATAGTAAATTTTTGACCTATACCAATATGCTATTAAATTTAAAACCCAGCGTTACATTTTCGTTGGGAGTCGAAAAAATTGAAAGAAGTAATGCGTTAATTTTTCAAAGAAACTTCCAGAGGCTACTGTAATACTTTTTACAAAACTTCTGGATTCCTCCTGCGTCGGTTTTTGCTGACTCGAAATTGATGACGTTTCGCCAATCATCCTGTTGGAAACAGTTTCAGTCAAGCTCTGAAGAAGCCAAGAAGTAATGCGTTGATATGACCTAATAACTACAAGCAATTACGGATTCCGATTTTATAATGACGAATAACGCATAAGAGGCTAAACTAAAGGTAATCCATTGGAAACTGATTACTCAAAGCTTAAAAGCTAGACGCCTTTTAAGATATTCGGTTTTAGAATAATTAATACAGCTAACTTAACTTGTAAACTTTGCAAATAATAAAAATGGCAAACAGAATCCGCACAACAATGGAAAAGAATTTAAACCTTTCTCGTTATTCTTAAAATCACTTTTAAACAATATGAGAATATAGCAAAAAAAATGAACAGTAGATTTAGATTGGATTCAACATCTTTACCTAATAGACCATAGTAATCAAACACAAATGTTACAGATTAACGTTTTCTTGTTTCTGATTGTTTACAATAGCTTCAATCAGTTTAAACTTTTGGATTTTTCCTGAAGTGGTTTTAGGAAAGGAAGTAACAATCTTCAACATTGTCGGAATTTTAAAATTGGAGATATTTCCTTGGCAGAAGTTCCTAATATCTTCTAGATTCAGCGATTTACCTTCATTGAGTTTGACGACAGCGCACACTTCTTCACCCAAGCGTTCGTGAGGAATACCTATGATCTGAAAAAATCTTATTTTTTCTACTTCACAACAAAAATTAAATGTCGCATGCATACATGAACTTCTAAAATGCTCGGGTGTGTCATAAGAAAATCTTCTATTTCCTTGGGGAAAATATTTTCTCCACCTCTGATGAGCATTTCCTTGAGTCTGCCAACAATTCTACCATAGCCCGAAGGTTCCAAAATAAATTGATCCCTAATATTTAAAAAATAAGATCTACTTAGCACTGACGGTTCGGATATTTACCCCGTTTTAAGCCATTTGTCTTGTCCCATAGTCTCCTGAGTTCTATTATCGTCGTCCCAGAATCGGAGCAAGCTGCTGTAACCTCTCACACATAACTCTCCAGGAGTTCCAAAAGGAACCATTTTTCCCTCGGAATCTACTACTTTGGCTTCTAAATGCTCCTGTATGTAGCCCACGGTTGAAAGTGTCAGGTGTTCTTCTTCATCGTACAGCGTTTGAAACGCTACAGCCGTCAGTTCTGTTTGACCGTATAATGACTGCGCATGAATAGTATTGTTATATAAACGCAGTTCATATTTATTAATGTACCTAAGATTTGATAAAATAGTTTCGTTAGTACTTGTTTAGTTTTGTAGATTTAATTGAAATCTATCAACAGTCCAATTGGTAGTTAATACCATGCATAAAAAAATTAAAAGTGACCCATGAAATGGGTCATATTGGTGTTTTTGGTACCATAAATTCTGGCTTATTTTGTACCGAAGACGAAGAAGAAACCATTTATTAAAAAAAATTAAAACCATTTGTTGAAAAAGTATCAATTTTCATAGATCCCACTAGGGAAGAGACTTAAATTAGCTAGAAAAATTGAATTCGTTTATATACGAAAGTTTTTCAAATAAATGTATTGCCAACCAACCTTCATTCTCTTAAGTTTCAAGACGTTTTTCATCTCAGTAAACAAATGTGGCGAACATACAGCACCTCCGACGCAAGCAATTTCGGGTGCGATTATTTCATTTCTTTGCTTTTGTCTATCGATCAAGTCCACATACATAGTCGGTGTACCATAGATGACAGAACATCTACAAAATAATGCATAATAAAAGGAAAAAAATAGATTATCCACTTAGACTACAAGTTCTCGATTTTTTTACTTATCGGCAAACAAACACTGCACGAAAAGCCAATTGAATTTTTCATTTTTCCTGAGATATTTTAACAAGGTTTGGGTTCGTTGTGCTGGCTTCTGAATGTTTTTGAACACATTTCGATTGTAGCAGTCTTAATGAGTTTTGCACTTCTACACACAGTTCATTTAAAAGGTTAAAATATTTCTCTCTTGTTGGAGAAGTAGAAGTAAAATAATATTGGATTAATATATTCGAGTTATATTTCCAAAAAGTTTAAGACACCCTCTGGTGAAGTACAGCTCTTTGCTGTTAGTCATTAAAATTAGTTTCAAAATTGGAGATCACTGAATTAAACCCTATGTATTTTTAATTTTTAAGTATGCAATGATGGAAATTACAATTAAAATACCGTTGCCTCAATTTGCCTGTTTTATTATCATTATGTCAGCTTAAGGACACGTTACTAATAATAGTATATTGTGCAACAAGTGTGGTAAACGGCATTTGAGTCACGAGTTTATCTGACACAAGCGGAGCGCAGCAGGACGAGTGATTAATAAACGAGTGACTTAAAAAATTTACTAAACTCGTTAGATTTGTTTGTCAATTCAGACGTATTCGTGTTGTTTTGCAAAAATGTACCCAAAAACTAACTGTCGTAGAAAAAGTATAATATGCAACAGGTTTAGTAAACTTTTTAAGTCACTCGTTTATTAAAAACTCGCTTCGCTTCGCTCCGTTCATGCCAAGTAAACTCGTGACTCAAATGCCGTTTACCGCACTTGTGGAGAGTAACCATAATAAGACTTGCCCATATCCCCAAAGTGAAACTTTTGGAAAGCTTTGTATTTTGACCACAATATTCAAAAGTGCCTCATGCACGTATAATAGTGTATTATGCAACAAGTGCGGTAAACGGCATTTGAGTCATTAGTTTATTTGTCACGTGACTTAAAAGGTTTACCAAACGTGTCGCATACTAAACTGACGTGGTAAAAAGACACTTTCCACCCGCTAGATTGGTGTATACTTAGGTATTTTGAAATTTGAAACAAAAATTATGTAAATCGGTCAAGACAAAATGTTAGAAATTAACTTGCTTGTGTTGTCTTACCACTAGGCAAAAAAATTCTTTCTGAGAAAATACATCGACATGGCTTTCTTTACGTAAAAAAAACGCATCTTACGTAAGGTATAAATAAAAGAACTCCTAAAAAGTTGAAGGGAGGCTTTTCAATTTCACGGTTTGTCAATAATATCAAATATTTTACCAAATGGAACATTAATAGAATAACATAAAATTTCGTTCTTTTATCTTTAGTACCGTTTTACTATACTTTTCAAGTGCACCAACTTTTTTCAAATAATTAGATTGATTCTTAGTGACTAATTCGGACTTTAATAAATTGTTTAAGCAAAATGTGGAGGACAATAACAATAATAACAAACTGATACAATATCTCGGTGCCCTGGCTGGGATACCCACTTTGTAGATAAATTAATAACTTGCTTAGAGTAACACTGTTCTAAACCCCGCCAATGACTATATTACGATTATAATACTTCATTAAATCTTACTTTTCATCTCTTATGGCGTCAAGATTTTTATCCGGATTGTATCCCGCTGAAGGCAGTACCATGGTAGCACCGTGATGTAAGCCGCCCAAGATAGCTATGACGGTACCAATTGCGTGGAAAAGCGGTACCTGAATACACATTCTGTGGTATTTTCTGTCAAGCTCGTTCCTCTTTCCGACATAATGTGAGTTGTTTACCATGCTGAAGTGGGACACCGCTGCCGCTTTCGGATGACCGGTGGTACCCTGTTTTTATGTGTCATAAACATCATCCTCAGCGTAGGTAAATACATCACTGCCTGAATTATTGTTAAATACGTACAGACGTAAATTGGATATGAGCTGGCTCGTCCATTAGTATAGAATTTTGCAAGCTTCTTATGGAAGAAATGCCTTCTGGTGTAGCAAGGTCAAAAATTTCCTGATATTTGTATGCTCCTCTGAAAACAAAATCTCAATACATGTCAGGATTTTCAAATAATAGACCACCTTAGATCTTCATCGGTAATAATGATGATGCTTTCCAGTGACGGAACAGCTTTGCATTTAATTTTTCCTGGATCGCTGTTGGATAATTCCGGAGCTATTACGTTCAAAATATCGTAATAATTTTGTTTCCGGAACTTGTGGGCACAAATAAGACTTTTCACCCCAACTTTATTGATGCAATACTGGATTTCTTTTGGTTGAAATGCAGGATTAATATTTACCTATTAAATGAGTGCTCACTTCATCATCGTTCTCTAATTACGTTAATTGTTGTTATTCTTACCAATATCACCCCCGCCCTGGCGCAAGCCATGTGCACCACATACCATTCGATTAAATTTGGAGCCCACAAACCCACCCTATCGCCAGTTTTCAGACCCAGTGCCCTTAAACTAGCAGCGAGCTTATCTGCCTCATCCAGCACTTCTCCAAAACTCATCCTCTGATTTTGGTGGACCGATATAATGGCCGGGACATCAGCAAAAGTAACACATTTTTCACCAAGCAGTTGTCCAAGCGTCAGAGGTCTTAAAGGTTCTTTGCCAACATTGTGCAGGTAGCTGAAGTCAGCGAACCTTCTTTGGCTTAAATGGTTTTCTTGTTAATATAATATTTTAATTATGAATATTTTTGAGTACAAATTTATAATAATTTATTTATAATAATTTATTATATTTATTTTGTTCCTAAGTGAAACGAGTCATTAATCAGTCTTTTTTTTTATTATTTGGGTAAACACTTACAGAAAAATTGTTTTTTTACTGATAAAATAAAATAAGTAGTAGATTGCTATCGCGTTAGTCATTTTATTAAAATTTTAACTTCTCGGGTTAAATATTCTAACGCCTAGACCGAGCGGCCTCTTGAAATTTGGTGGCGTGACTTTTTGACGTGGATTTTTGGTAATTTGTTATTTAAAATAGCTGGTAAAGCATTAGAGGTGATACAATGAACCTCCTATTGTGTCTATGTTATAGGTATGACAATTAATATTTAAATTAATTAATATAAATTGTGCTGAGTCATTCAAGTAGCATGCAGCATAGACTACAATTTTGTTAGAGTTTATTCCGAGTTCTAATTAAAGTTACTTAAAAATTGGCACAAAGTAAAGTAAAGTAAAAAAAGTAAATTCACAATGTTTAATGTTGGAATTCTTCGGAACAAATGGTTGCGAATGTTATTTACATCGGAAATGGTTCCAAAACTCAGATTCTTATAATTCAAATATGTTTTCGAGAATTTCCTTTATAAAATTTTGGCCCGCAGTGGGGTTCAAAACGAGGCAAATATTAAAAAAAAAAACTAACCAAACCATTACTAGTGAAGCTCAAAGTTGAATAAGTGGAAATTGTCAGGCATCTTGCATAATTTCTCATAAGCTGCATTACCCTCCAGATAGAATTGGAAAACTGAGAAAATAGTCTTAACGTTATAGATAAATTAAACTATAGTTTTGAAACGATCTTTTGCTCGATACTAGAAAACAAAGAATTAACTAAACATGACAATTTTTCCTGGCATACCTGGAATTATTTTTTTATATAATTTTATTAGTGAGTCAATAATAGATGTAGATTACTATTATAAGTTAATGAATTGGGATGTTATAAACGTCACTTGATAAATATTTAAAGATAATGACTTATAAAGAATCTCAGAAATTCGATATCTTACCTTGCTAATTGTAAAACCCTCTTTAAAAATTTGACGTTATTTTTCACAAGCATCCTCATCAATTTTAACGGTAACTTATCAATTAACTACGGAACGCGAAAAACTAACTATAATCTGTTTATGCAATACGTAAGATAACACGGAGACAAATTGAACGTTTTTATCTAAATTAAAGGATAATAACAGAATTGTTTATAAAATCCCAGTTGTTAAGAACTGGGAAGCGATATCGACATAGTCGATAGATTTACTGCATCCCGAATTCGATTTTTTTAGATTACTTAAGATAATTACAAGATTTAAGCGAGGTAGTTTGTCAAAAAACCTTTCAAATGGGGTCCAGAATTTCTCTAAATGGAGGTACTGATTGATAATGGAAGTTTTTCAAATCCGAACTATAAATTTGCAATAAATCGTACGGTTCCCAAATCTACGAAAGTTTCCCCCATCATCTTCTATTTGATATTATAATTTTGGCAATTATATAAATATCCTTTTAGTTTTGTTTTGTTAAGATTCGTTTGTTCGTTCGTATTTTGATTAATTCATTTGTATACTTCAACAACTAGGTTTAGATGCTGCGTCACAGCACAATAATCTCTGGTTTCTTATATTAATATATTCCCGATCAGTTACACTTATAGATTTTTTGAGAAAGTGTCGAACCACTAGACTTCCAGAGTTTCTGGTGGTGTTTTGCTTCCAGTGAAAAGACGAAAAATGCAGTTTATTATTTATTTGCACAGCAATATAATTATTACGTATAAACATTTATTTTTCCTTCAACTTAAACTTCTGGATTTTTCCCGATGCTGTTTTCGGAAACGAATCGACCACTCTAATCACCGATGGTATTTTAAAGTGAGCTATGCGCCCTTTACAAAATTCCTTTACGTCCTTCAATTCAAGTGTAGCACCAGCTTTAAGCCTCACGCACGCACAGACCTCTTCGCCGAGACGCTCATGTGGCAAGCCTATAACCTACACCGCTAAACTTGAAACGCATATCAATGAAAAATTGTTTAAACTTACGTGAACTTCAAGTATGTCTGGATGAGTTATTAAAAAGTCTTCTATTTCTTTCGGGAATATGTTTTCACCTCCCCTGATGATCATTTCTTTCAGCCTACCGACGACTCTTCCGTACCCATTTTCTTCAATAACAAATTGGTCCCTAATATACATATGTTTATAATATAATAATCACACAAAAAATCACTCTGGGAACGACCCAGTCGATGGAAACCTAAAGGAAGCAATATAAGACGTTGCAGCTCAGTGAACAGCGGTTATTTATGATTTAAGTTTTTACAAACAAAAAGAAGGCTACTTTATTAATTTGTTACCCTACCTCCTGGAAATACAACCCTACAACCAACCATTGTAATTAAGATAAAGCCTTCTCTGGGTATCGTAAAGATTTATTTGTACGTTGTTTTGTTTTGATAAAATATTTTTCCTGTTTCTCGGGAATCCTGATGAAACTTCTATTCATTGGCGCAATTTGGAATGATAACAATAAAGAGTGACTGTTCACTGAGATACTACATATTTGGTTGCTCCCTTCACCTTTCCATCAATCTATAACATAGTGATAGATTTATCAATAACCCCGATACTGTCCGTTGATTTATATAATAAAACGTACAGTGTGTTCACATTAAGGACTTATCACCCTATTCAAATCTTAATTTTTTTCTACTTCTACTCTTACAGACTCCAACTTCAAGAAGTGCTATTACGGATTATTCCAAAAAAAAGCTGATGGCGGATTCTTAGAGAACACCTATAATCTACGGGTATGGTATATCTCAAACTATATCTTGGCTTTTCAGGGAACCTTCCCTAAAAAAGTAATCATGATCTTCATACCTATTGTTACTTGGTAAATTCAACAACCGATAATTAATTTATGGGTAATAATACCTCAATGCCTCTATCTTAGAACAATGAAAATCGGTAATATGCTTTGGTTAATACAAAATTTTTTAAAATTATACCTTATTACCTTGATTATAGCTATGATTGTAGCTAAAAAAATATATTTCGTGCTCGTCAAATGCGCAGTTTGAATATATATAGGCTATTTCAGTATAGAGTTACAAAATAAAATTCCGGTCGAGTTCCGTTCAATTTCGGTGTCGGAAATAGGCGTAGGTAAACTTCCAACAAGGTTTAATTGAAGAACATTAATTTACTATTGATTTATTATAATGCATTTTTCTATAAAGTTAAATAAAAAGAACTTAATGTCTAATGTTTATTATGTTAGAATAAAATTCCTTTCGTTTTACCTATGTGGACGTCTTTGGCACTGCATTCAATATTTGCAGTGTTGGTGAATAAATAACAATAGGTAAAACCCATAAATCGACCCTAGGTGGTACTTCCTGAAAACTTAAGTTTTCACTAGCTCACCCTGTACTCCCTTTGTATATCTGACGACTCTAAAGAGGTTGTATTATTCTAAACCTTTCTGGAATAGACACTATAATTGACAAAATAGTTTTCCAAAATCTATCGAAAAATATAAATTTTACTAGTGTTGTCCTTAACGTGGACACACGTGTATGGAGGTAGCGTGTAGAGTAATTCCTCAGCAGGCAGGTGATTGATAGCTAAATCGTTACTTTTTCAAAATGCTTTCATTATACAGGATATTGAAAAATGTTCTGGCATCAAAGCTATATTTTATAAATGAGACGCCCATAACCAATAAATGAAGATCTTATTCATCAATTGTTGTTTGTTCAGCAACAACTTGTTGCATTTTGGTCCGTCGTCTCTACCTGCTGGCAGAGAACCATGCAACAAGTTTAAAAACGAAATCAATTCACCTCCAAACCATATCCATAAATCTAATAGAGGTTGACCTACCTCTTACTAAGCTGATCAGCCGCTTACCCAGTTTTTAACCATCGGTCAGGTCCAATTAACTCTGCGGTTTTGTCAGGATCATTCCAGTAGCCAGGAATATTGGAGTAACCTCTAGTCCATAGCTCTCCAGGTGACCCTCTAGGGACTATTCGGCCTTCAGGATCGACCACTTTTGCTTCTATGTGGTCATGAGGATACCCCACTGTAGAAGTCGATAAGTACTCGTCGTCCGTCAATAAAGATTGGAAAACCACAGCTGTAGTTTCTGTCAACCCAAAAACTGACTAAAAAATTATAAAATTCAGTAATTTGATCGTGTATTATATGAAGTTGCATTTACTTTGACTTTATCTACTTTTAATATGTTCTTCATATCTTTAAGCAGTTGGGGTGGGCATGACGCTCCTCCCGAAATAGCAATTTCCGGGTTAATTTGTTCTTTTCTTTCTACCTGTTTGTGCACTAGATCTACGTACATGGTCGGGGTGCCATGGATTACAGTGCACCTAATGTCAAGTAGTAAAAACAATCACCGTCGGTAAAACGGAATTTATTCTGCTCACTTTGCGTCTCTTATAGCATCTAGAGATTTATCCGGATCATAACCAGCCGACGGTAGTACTAGCGTAGCCCCGTGATTCAATCCAGCCGCAATAGTGGCGACAGTACCGTATACGTGGAAAAATGGTACCTGTACACATATGGTGTGGTGTTTTCTATCGAGTTCGTTCCTCTTTCCGATGAAATAGGAGTTATTCACTATTTGAAAATGGCTTTGTATTGCAGCTTTTGGATGTCCAGTAGTACCCTAAAACTGATAAACTACATAACAGTTGTGAGTTCCAAGAAACAAATATCTTTGGAGAAAGTGAAGAAAGAACTACTCGTACTTTTTGCGCATAAGATGCTTTACTAGACGGAAAGAAAATTTTACACGATTACTATTAACGTGAGATTTGGTTGTCACCAGTTAGCAGGGACATATCAATATATATCAATTTGGTAATGGTACCCAGCGCAGTACTTACTGACGTGAATTGTATGTGGCAAGGCTCGTCTGATTGAATTAAATGTTGATTGGACTTTATCTTTTGTATGGAGTTTGTGCTTGCGAGTGCCATTATTTCATTATATGTGTATGCCCCGCTGCAATCGCAGAAGTTACGGTTGGTAAACCCAAAATACCACAGTACTGGAAGTACTAATTACCCTAGTGTTTCTTCGGTGGTTACAATGACGCTCTTCAGAGACGGCATAATTTTACATTCCAGTTTTCCGGGTTCACTCTGGAAGACTTCATCCGAAACAGTGTTCAAAATGTCATAGTAATTTTGGCTCTTATATTTGTGCGGACAGACGATGCTTTTGATTCCAACTTTGTTGATGCAGTACTCGATTTCTTTCGCTTGGTAAGCCGGGTTTATGTTTACCTAAGTAATAAGGATCATAAGAATTTACTAATATATCCTACACTAAATTACCAATAGCAAACCAGCTCTTGCACATGCCATGTAAGTTGTGTACCATTCCTCGGTATTTGGTGCCCACAAGCCCACTCTGTCGCCGTAAGTTAAGCCTGCAGTTGTAAGTCCGGCGGCTAGCCTATCCGCCCGATCCAGTACGTCTTCAAAACTAAGTTTCTTACGCTGATGACGGGAAATTAATGCCGCTCTGTCACCGTACGTTTTCGAGGCTTGTTCTAATAACTGCCCTATAGTTAAGGGTCGTAATGGCTCTTTGCCTACGTTGTGAATGTAACTAAGTTTGGCGTACTTTCTAAAAATGGTACAAAGTAATGACGTAATTACTAGACTCTCTTTCCTTTACACAGTTAGAATACACCATATGCGGAAAATTTTGGACTAGGTACCACATCATAACTATTCTACGTTTTAAGTACTTTTGAACAATTAAAGTCCTAACCGAAATATTGGCATTGTGAATGGCCCTCCGCAAGCATTTTAAAAATGTATTAATGATAGAAACTTAAATAAGATCTTTTTCTTTCACTTTTTTTTTATTGGAAGTTTGAACCTTAGCATTGCAAAAATATAGCTTATCAAAAATATAGAAATCACTACTTATATTGTCCTAATAACGGACTCTCATAGTATTTTTTTGCGACAGTTACAATCATTTTTTGATCAGATAACATATCGAGCAAGACAACTTACCTTGAGCTGTTAACATTTCTAGACCATATATTTAGCGAAAACGACACCATCCTGTAGGAGTACGTCGTCATTTCAGCACTGCTTACACTAAACTGACAAACAGATACAAATCCAGACATACAATTGAAATTATTAGTCTGATTAGATATAACGCTACACAAATACCCTGTGGAATGAAACACACACTCATTTTATGGACTCCTGCTACAAGTGAAATAGCTACCCAATTTGAATTCCTAATTACATCCATTACAATTTTCAAAGTAATTGCAGCTTTGACAGAATGTACAAAATAAGAACACTATGTACTTATTTATGCAATACCTACGCAATTCAACTCAACAATAGCGGAAATTACTTTATATAAATATGACAACTAGGCGGCTGGACGAAATAATCCTCACTTTTTGATAACCTTGGACATACGAATTTGACTATCAACGAACCTTTTCGGTACTGTGTGATACATGATTTTATTATTTCCCACTTTAATAAACCAAAATAAAAGCTAAAATCATTATCCACGGATAAGCAAAATACATACATTTATTATCTCTTAGCTGTTGCTGAATATTTGCAACATAGGCATTCAACTTTTCGTTTTTCTTCAAAGCGTACAAAGATGTTTGGTACTTTGTTTTTATTTGCAAAATTGTGTTTTTTATGCCAGGGTACGTATAAGGAAGGAAATTATAATAAATTAGTTTGAACATATTTAATATTACGGTTTCTCCACAGCATCTCAAGCAAAATATGATCCAACTCATGTTTGCTAATAATACTCCTTACCGAGTGACAACACCTTTATCCCAATTTTTTTGATCTAAGTGAAATTAATAGTCCAAATTTTTTCAACCACCCTTTATATATTAACGAACTCAGTGTTGTGTTGAAAGGAAAAGTTTTTCGCAAACTACAAAAATGTGCTTAGTCAATATCGATATCCCAAGCCTATTGCAATTGCAATATTTGAATTTGCTGTCAATAATCTTAATATCTTCCTGTGTCAAAGTTATAAAATACTGTTAAATGTTATATTTCATTTTTGTCACGCCGTTACCTTTTGGATGACTAGCATTTCTAAAGAAAATTTTCTTTGAATAGAGTTATGAATGTCAATTTCATCTACCCAGTTTTTGTATAAATAGTATCGGAAAATTTTGGACACTCTGTGCAGTTTCTGATATTTAAGAGCATTCATTCAAATGAAGTATGTCTTTGTATTTTTCCCTTATATTGCAATCTCATTGGAAGCAATCCTAATTTATTTATGTTTCCTTTTATGCCTGCCTGGTTAACCATTTCTATTAAAAAAATTTATTCAAAACAGTTCCAACAATTTCGGTTATATAGTATTTGGACCTGACTTGATATTCATATTGAATACGCTTTTCAATATAACCCTGGGAATAACAAACTAATACAAAAAAGCCAACAAACAATACATTCAAAAACAGTAAAAAAAAGAAAATTGTGAAATCACACAAAACAGATGTTTTACCCATAGTTATAAACCTTTCTGCCTTAAGGACACTTCCCTGCATTCTAACTAAAAGAGCTCTGAAACAGAGTAGTTTGATGACGGAGGACGCGATACAAATCACTATGCCGGATTAAATGCCGATACCAGATTTTATCATCTCTTTAATCAACTAGAAAGGAGCTTCATTTTTTGTCAATTTATATAGCTTATAGTCGTGTCTGCTTTGGAGTTAAATTCTTCAGACTTTCCGATACGTGGTCAAACCTGGCTATTCCATAGCAGTAACGCATACATGAGTTTTGAAGTCTGTGAAGGCTTTTTTTATCCATTCCAAAATAAGGAACTTGGCAGATTCTAAGACTGAGTCAAAACTTGAGTTATACATCTTTGCATCTTTATATTTTCGTTCGTTAATTTTTAAGGTTAGTGATACCAAAATAAACAAAATCTTACAAAAATTTCTCAAAAAATATGTCTACTTGTTTATTTATGATGCCTTCAATAAATTCATGAAAAACAAATATTTTATAAACGATATTTATATTTTGTCTGACAAATCAAACGTAGCTTCATCGTAGTTGAAAGGAGGAAATTCAGTTAGCATTTAAATCAAGGACGTCCAATAATATAGGACATTTTATTCGAGCAAAGTTAATTAAAATTACTTCGGTAGGTAATTAAATTTTATGTTCTCTGTTTCTAAACGGTTTAGTAAAAACGCATGGTCTGCTGTGAGTATGTATATGTGTGTATCATCGCATTTTTTTTTAATTATTCGTTCTTATCAAGATTAATTGATAAGATTTGCGTAGTATAGTAATATTTAGAGAATGTTTTGCACTGCAATTGCGCCAATATATTATATCTAGTTGGGTGTTGTTGGATGATATTGTCTAGCTAAGAAAATATTTTCACACTTTCATTGCGCCGCTGCTGTTTTATAGCTGTGGTATTTTTAAGTCATGGCTCAAGTAATTCCTACGAAAGAACAGCTAAAGAAAAGTTCGAGAGTAAATTTTACTCAAACGGATCCTGGGACAAAGGATGAAGTAATCTATAAGCTTTTTACCAAAGATAACCTCCGAAAACCAATATTAGTAAACGACGAAACCATAATTAACCACATTAAGGACAAACATATACCAATGGTACTATTAATACATGGATGGACGACGGACGACACTTCGCCTTGGTAAGTGATTATAGTAAATACTTTTTGTTTGTATTTCTGGTTTTTGTAAATCCGTTTTCAACAACGTGTTTAAAGAAACTTTTTTGAATTAAATTTTGTTCTTTTTTAAGCCAAATATTAATTTTCAATGACACAAAATAGAGTAACCCACACCAAGATATCCACTTAAATATGATTTCAAAAATAAAAGAACAACTCCCTACTTTAAGCAATAATATGAAGTAATATAATAAAGCGATTTTGTATTGATTTGGGGTTGAGTCCGAAACACCCTGCATAATTTGCATCTGAACTAATTAAGTGAAATTATAGATTATATTAGGGCATCAAAAATATTAGTTTCACAAAATATTAGACGCTTTACTACTTCTAACAATGGCTATTCATGTAACTTGCTGTAAAGTCTCATTCAACTTAACTTAAATATGACTGATACCAAATGGTGTTGTGAAACAAATTTCCAAAATTCTGTTTTTTTTTGGTTTTAGCCATTTTAATTTAAAAAATTATATGTGCATGAAAAAAAAAGTAATTTCAAAATGGTTAGCCATTATTATTAAAAATTATGAAATATATTAGCCTAAAAAATATTCCAAAGTAGAACAACACGTCTTTAGAAAAAAAAAATAATAATAGCATTTTATTTTTAAAAGTTCTCTTATTTTTTAGTGACAAAGGGGTTTGTTTCCTTTCTATACTCAGAGGCATGCTTAATATTTGCTATAAAAAAGTGTAAACCCGGTACGGAGGTACGCAACCAACGCAACTCTTGTATATATTTGGTCAACGTTTCGAGGTGAATTTTAATCAATTGTTACAAACAAAATCTATAATTTAAGTTTGCTGTTTTGGCACAATTCCATGGCGTACTTGATTCATCCAGTGCGAATTTTAGAGAACTTCGAGAACGTCCATGTTTTAATTTTTTAAGATGAATATTCCAGATCAGTTTTCAATACCCTGAATTTGATTTATCGGGTTGTATGCTAATACAGGGTATGTTCGAACAATTTTTTATTTTTACTTTTTTCTGTACGCGACTATATCTACCAATGTTGTGGGCTACATTCCGTTATTATGTTATGGTTATTATTATTATTGTTATTAATATTGGTATTATTATTATTATTATTATTATTATTATTGTTATTATTATTATTAATATTATCACTATTATAACTGTAGGTACGATCCTCTCCGAGACGCGTACCTAGAGAGCGGACCCCACAACATCATTTATATAAATTGGTCTAGAGCTGGCAATCTAACGTATGCGATTTCTTGTGCAAATGTGATACCAGTGGGCCAATACATCGCCAAGTTTCTAACAGTTACTGGAGTGGATGCAAAAAGAATACACTTGATAGGTATCATTACATTATATTTAAGGATAAAGGTCAAGTTAATCAAATGTCTTCCCCTCAATCCACCCACTCTGTACGCTACAAATTCACACAACCTGGATACTACTGAAACGCTTTGCGTCGATCATTGCGCGCATTTCCTTAGTTTCACCTTATAAGAAAGATTTTGGCTGCATTGATGAATTTCCAATTTGACACTTTTATTTGTAAAACGTTTACCACAGTTCTTTGTTCAAAATTGTTTTCTACTAACATCTCATCTGGATCCGTTAAGATAATGTATTCTCAATACCTGTCATTATATGTAATGCATATGTTATGTCATTCTAAATAATGACATAAGTTGAGTAGGCTTCAAGTATGCTTTTTAACGTTCTTTGCATTTCTTTCTTTAAGACATTTTTATATGTTTCGAAATATAAGGGAACCCTTATTAAAACATTAATTTAGTCAATGTAAATTGTATAATTAAATAATTGCATAATCGTAAATAAGAATTTATAAGCCTAAATATTTCTTTTAAGAAAAAAATGCCTAATAGTTGTTCAGCCAAAGTAATAGCGAAATTATCACCACTAACTACTTTAGGCGATAAGCTTACTTAAAATTAAAATCAACGAAAATGTTAATTTTATCTCTGACGTCTCATGATGGTGGGTGAGAGACAGCCAACCGCAAGGTCGCAAGTTCCCCAAGTTGTTTTAGGTTCAGCCTCACATTTTTACTTTAAGGGCTCGGATGTGCTACACTTTGTATACTAGAAAACTCGCTGTTTAAGGAGTGTAAACAAATGTGACTCAAAAATTAGACTTTTCTTTTTGATCCAATTTTAAGATATCAACAATATGAAAAGATAAGTTTTACTAAATTCTGAAATATTCATGCTGTATGTATTTAGGTTTTTATATTTTAGTCCAACTACTTATAATACAAGGTTTATTAGAGAACAAACTCAACAAATAACATTATCAATCCAGATATTATCAATCGTTACAATTAAATTGTCAAATTCAAACAGCATTTTTCGAAAGCACTTTGATACTGTGTTCAAATTTTACAAAAGCAAACAGCTAACCCTAATGTACATTTTTGCCGAATTTGTATTCACAATTACATTGGAATGTGGAATGTTTTGTATTTTTTTTATTATTTCATTACAGGTCACTCACTGGGATCCCAACTATCATCTTATATAGCAAAGGCGTATTTGCAATGGACCGGCTTGAAAATCGGTCGTATTACGGCAGTAGATCCCGCAGGGCCCAAATGGGAGCGTACGGATGTTCGAAAAGACGAACGACTTAGCGAAGACGATGCTGAGTTTGTGGACATAACTCACACAGACGTGAGCTATTACGGCTACGCGGCACCTATCGGTCACGTTGACTTCTACCCCAATGGTGGAGTACAACAACCGGGGTGTCCTGACGAAGAACAGAAAGGTAAATAAACTATATTTCTCTAAACTATATATCTCTTTGGCTGATGATATCCATTTGAGTGGTCTAAATATCTTCCATTCAAAAATACATATTTGCCTTCTCATAAAAACTGTGTGTTAAGGGTTGAATAACATTTTTCGGTAACTTCATAATTTTTTTGTTTTGGGTTAACCTTTTATTTTCGCGCTGTGTATACAACACCCCCACCATACCCAACCTTGGTTAGGCCGCGCGAAAAGACAGACTTGCGTGAGCGTCCGTAGTGCGAACCACGAAAAAACAAGCTCTCTTTTGTGACCGGTTCGCGAGAACCCCGCGCTGTGTTGTGGTCCTTACCACCCCCAACCCTCCAGAAAATACCCCTAAGAAGACCCGGCCGGGCAGACGACGACGCGGGAAACCATCAAGGTGGGTGATTAACCGTTTCAGGTGTTGTATGTCCTACCGTTTTCTTGCCGCTCTTTCTCGTTTAAATTTTGAGGGTGATTTACAACCACCTTCCCCCAACCCTTTACATATTGGTCCTTCGAGCCGGATCAGAATCAGTCTTTTGGATTTTTATAGTCATTCACAAACTTTAGTAATTTTAAATACATGTTCGCTATCGTGAACAGGTTAGCAAAAAACGTGTAAAGTTCGGAGCGCAAAAAAGCGGTTTCATAAAAAGTGTTTACCGTCGTTTCGAATTGCGGCCGTCTTTTTATTTGATTCGTTCTAAGCATATTTTTTGCGTGCTCAAATTCTTCTTCCTTTTAATTTACGTGGGTACTTTGTTTCGAGACTTAGGTGTGCATTTGTATACAAAACGATTTACAATGTCGGAAATAGATAAATTTATTGCTAAGCGGGATTTAACACTTAGACGCTTTAACGATATATTGTCAGCGGGTCAGAAAGCTCGCGTTGAACCCGATGATGATGAAATTTTATGCAAATTCCATTGCATGGTGGAGGATTTGCCGAGTTTAGTTAGCACTTTTGAGTCCTTGCAATTGGAAGTAATCTCCTTAGCGAATGATTCGGAAAGAGATCGACAGTTTGCGGTTCAAGATCACTTTGATCACTTGCATTATTCAATTCGATCTATTGCCAAGCGATTATTTGAGAAAGTGGAACTTAAGGCAGGCTCTCCGGTACCATCTGTAGTTGGTCGAGAGTCGCAAAGAAATAGTAATCTCCGACTCTCCCGTATTATCATTCCGAAATTTGATGGCGATTTGAAAAATTGGCCTACATTTTTTGATATGTTTAACACGTTGATCCATAATAATTCTTCCCTTTCAAACATTGAAAAATTTCAATTTTTAGTGTCTTATTTGGAAAAGGATGCTCTCAGTGTCGTGAAGAATTTGCCAATTAAGGATGCCAATTATAGTATAGCTTACAATGCCCTCGTGAAGCGTTATCAAAACGATCGATTGTTGTTAACCGATTATTGTCTGTCGATCTTTCGGGCTCCGACTATGAAGAGTGACTCGGTTGTTGAACTGAGGAGATTGCTTTCAACATTTTCAGAGAATCTTGCAGCTATCGATAAATTCGATATCGACTTGTGGGATTTTACAAAATTCAATTTGCTCTTAGAGAAACTCGACTCGACTCTCAAGACGAGGTTCGAACTCAAATTTTGTGATAAAGATATCCCAACTTTTCAAGATTTATGTGATTTTTTGGAACAGAATTGTAAAGCTTTAGAAAACTCTTTAGTTACCTCAAAAGGTATTACCCCTACCAAGAGGCTTGAGGTTTCGAAGCGAGTGTCAACCGATACACGTAGACCCACATCTATGATAGCGACGTCTACCCCTCCGAGTGCTGATGTGAGTTGCACCAGTAAGTGTTTATACTGCCCTATGGACTACCATCCTCTGACAAAGTGTGATTCCTTCCTATCTCTTGAGCCCCCTCAAAGGCATGTTTTCATCAAGCAACATCGTTTGTGCTTTAATTGCTTCGCGCGATCCCATGGTGTTGGAAGATGCCCCTCCAAGATTAATTGTCGTGTATGTGGCAAGCGCCACCATACTTTAGTGCATTTTGGAAATGCTACTACCCCCTCCCCGTCGAATGAAGCTCCCCCTGCTTCCGGCAACCAGGAAGGTACTATCCCTAGTCCGGTGACCATGATGACCAATCTCTCCTCTCAAAAGGTCGTGCTCTTTGCCACTTGCTTGGTGTCCGTTTCGGATAAATCTGGCAGACTTGTTACTTGTCGTGCACTTTTGGATTCAGCTAGTCAAGCCAGTTTTGTGACAGATTCCTTTGCGAAGAAATTGGAGCTTCCAAGGTCTCTCTCTCCGACACCAATTCAAGCCCTCAACCAAATGTCGACGTCTGCGTTAGGGAAGGTTGCCCTGAACGTGACCCCCTCCCAAAGAAAATCCGCTGCTCTCCATATAGAGGCTTTAGTTATTCCATCTATTTGTGATAAGGTTCCCTACCAGGTGATTGATAAGCAGAATCTAAAACATCTCAGGTCCCTACCCTTGGCTGATCCCCACTTCTGTGAACCCAACGAAATAGACGTGCTTTTAGGGGCAGAGGTTTACGGAGATATTTGTTTGCCTGGATTTAGAAAGGGACAGAACGGTGGCCCATGCGCTTTTCGGACCATCTCATCAAGCTCCAACCCGACATTGGAGTCATTTTGCTCATCTTTCGACTGTACTGTGTGGTTTTCACCACCGATATTCGTCAGATGTATCGTCAAATCCTAGTGAGTGACGCCGACCACCTCTTCCAGCGGATTCTGTGGCGTTTTGATCCCCGCGAAGCAGTGCGAGAGTACGTCTTGTCAACGGTGGTCTATGGACTAAGTTGTAGCCCATACCTGGCAATTCGCGTGTTGCGTCAGCTTGCTAGGGACGAAGGAGCGCGTTACCCGTTAGCAGCCCGTCTCCTAGATTGCCAAACCTACATCGACGACATTATCGGAGGAACAGACTCGTTGGAGGAAGCCCGTGAGTTGAGGGATCAATTAGTATCGCTGCTAAAATTGGGTGGTTTCGAGTTGCGCAAATGGACGAGCAACTCCCCCGAGTTATTGAGTTCACTCCCCGCTTCACATCATCAACCCGTTTCCCTATGCGGAGACGACAATCCCAGTTTAAAGGTGTTGGGATTGCAGTGGTGTCCCTTACGGGATGTGTTCTCCTACCGCATCCAAGTAGCGGATAGGACGTGCACAAAAAGGAATATTTTGTCGCAAGTAGCCTAAATATACGATCCCCTAGGTTTTTTATCCCCGGTCGTGTTGACTGCCAAAATTCTCCTACAGAGGCTTTGGTCCCAGGGCGTCGATTGGGATGCACCTCCCCCCCGCGACATATTCGAAGATTGGAGTTCGTTTTCGTCTCAGCTGGATAGTCTTTCTGGGCTGACAATCCCTCGTCGTGTACTGCCTAGCAATGGCGTCCAGGTGGAGACGCACGGATTTTGTGACGCTTCGGAGCGCGGATACGGTGCAGCCGTGTATCTGCGAAGCATCAGAGAGGGCCATATCTCTGTCACCCTTCTGTGTGCAAAGAATCGGGTAGCTCCTTTGAAGCGAGTGTCGATCCCCCGTCTGGAGTTGTGCTCAGCGTTGCTGCTCGCCCAACTCGTAGATTTCGTCCGATCCACTATAGCCTCTGAGTTGACTATCACGAGAGTATTCGCCTGGAGTGACTCCAAAATTGCGTTATCTTGGATAAAGTCCTCCCCCCACAGATGGAAAACTTTTGTGGCCAATCGCGTGTCCCTCATTCAGGACATCATTTCCCCCAGTTCCTGGCATCACGTGGCCGGTTCATCCAACCCTGCTGACTGCGCATCCCGAGGGCTTTTCCCCGAGCAAATATTAATTCACCCCTCTTGGTTCTGTGGTCCCCCTTGGTTGCGTCTTCCGGTGGAAGAGTGGCCCACCTCCGACTTCACCCCCGGAGACGATCTGGAACTGGAACGTAAACCAGTGTTGACTTGTGTGTCCACCCCTTTAGTTGACTCGCTCGGAGAACTGTTAACCCGTTTCTCGTCGTTACGAAAAATTGAGAGGATCCTGGCTTATTGTTGTAGGTTTCTAAATAATTGTCGTACCCCCATTCCCAAGCGAGCGCTTGATAATTTGTCTTTTGCGGACACGTACCACGCCCGCACGTTGCTCACAGGATACGTCCAACGTGAGGTGTTCGCCGGTTTGCTGAAGTGTCTTCGAAACGGTAAACTGTGCCCCAAACCTTTACGCTCCCTAGCGCCCTTTATCGACGAGCACGGTCTCATTCGAGTCGGTGGCAGACTCCGAGGTTCTGCGTTGTCTTTCGACGCAAAACATCCTCTTCTACTACCTCGAGACCATCGCTTTACCGAACTCGTGATCGAAAAGTTCCATAAGGAAAATTGCCACCCGGGCCCCCAATCGTTGTTGTACCAGATTTCACAACAATTCTGGATTTTGTCCGCCCGCAGAGCAATTCGTCACACCCTATCGCAGTGTTACCGATGCTTCCGTGTCCAACCTTCTTGTGTACAGCCATTCATGGCTGATTTACCCCCCGTTCGTGTATCGCAAGTCAAGCCATTCGCGCATACCGGTGTCGATTTCGCCGGTCCAATTTCCATTACCCTTGCGCGAAGGCGCGGCGCTAAGACTCAGAAGGCTTACATTTGCCTATTCGTTTGCATGGCTACCAAAGCCATCCATTTGGAATTGGCTTCTGAACTCAGCTCAGACGCATTCTTGGCCGCTTTTCGGCGCCTTGTCGCTCGCCGCGGGCGTTGCACTGACATGTATAGTGATCAGGGTAGAAATTTTGTCAGTGCTAACCGGTTGTTGGTACAGTATTGCCAGCAGTCCGCCGACCAGTGTGAGGCACGCTGGCACTTCAACCCACCCTCCAGTCCTCACTTTGGAGGTCTTTGGGAGTCCGGCGTCAAGTCGGTAAAGACCCATTTGTTTCGTGTGATAGGCTCTCAAATCCTGACTTTCGAGGAAATGTCGACAGTGTTAACTCAGGTGGAATCCATACTGAATTCCCGCCCATTATGTAGTTTGAGTTCCAACCCAAACGATTTGCATAGCCTTACTCCTGGGCATTTTCTGACCCTGGAGCCCCTATCTGCCCCTCCCGACGACACTTTAGCTAATCTGAACACTAACAGACTCACTCGTTGGCAGCTCATGCAGCAGTTGCATCAGCACTTCTGCGACAGATGGCATCGGGAATACCTGCACCAGCTGCAGCAACGGCACAAGTGGAACACCACGACTAACCCCCCAAAAGTTGGTCAGTTGGTTTTAATTAAAGACGAGAACCTCCCCCCGTTAAAGTGGCTTCTGGGCCGCATCACGCGCTTGTACCCCAGTTCCGACAAGGAAATTCGCGTTGTGCAAGTGCACACGGCCAAAGGCACTTTCGATCGACCATTGGTCAAATTATCTTTTGTCCCTAACTGTTAACCTGTTCAAGGGGCAACCGTGTATATAGTATAGGATAAGTTTATGGGAAAAATTGGGTATTTTTGGGAGGCCGGAATGTTAAGGGTTGAATAACATTTTTCGGTAACTTCATAATTTTTTTGTTATGGGTTAACCTTTTATTTTCGCGTTGTGTATACAACACCCCCACCATACCCAACCTTGGTTAAGCCGCGCGAAAAGACAGACTTGCCTGAGCGTCCGTAGTGCGAACCACGAAAAAACAAGCTCTCTTTTGTGACCGGTTCGCGAGAACCCCGCGCTGTGTTGTGGTCCTTACCACCCCCAACCCTCCAGAAAATACCCCTAAGAAGACCCGGCCGGGCAGACGACGACGCGGGAAACCATCAAGGTGGGTGATTAACCGTTTCGGGTGTTGTATGTCCTACCGTTTTCTTGCCGCTCTTTCTCGTTTAAATTTTGAGGGTGATTTACAACCACCTTCCCCCAACCCTTTACACTGTGTTTCTTGTGAAACGTTGCCAGATATCCCATAAATTCTATCATAAAAGAAAAATATTGATATAGATGGTCCAGTTTCAAATTTAGTTTTTTGTTAGTTTTAAAATTCAGCTATTCAAACAAACTTTTTCGGAATCGCAAGTATATAAACTACAGATCTCTTTGACTTGCTCTTTTGATTATGAAAATGTTTTATCGCGAATTAATATCGTTGAGGCTGCAGTTATTGTTTTAGTTATATTTTTCAGAAAACTGCAATCATCATCGATCCACTTGGTTATTCTTAGAGTCTGTGCGCACCACAGTGGAGGCTCGTGAGGCCGAATACCTAGATGAAGGCAACTATAACGTCACGATTAATGTAAAACCAAAAGGCAAGGTAGTGACTTACGGACAGCACGTGGATCAAAAAGCCAAAGGCATTTTTTATTTTGAAACGAATGGTCGAAAACCCTTTTTAAAGACATTACGATAAATACATCCCTCCCAATTCTGGTTTAATTTTTGCGTAGAATAAAATCGTTCCCTAACATTAGCATACAAACTGCTTTTGAGGAGTTTATAATAAATACCTGTCTCCCATTTTTGGTTTAATTTTCGGGTAAAAGATAAACTCTCCAGAAGATGTTTGACTGGGATGACTACTTTCACCTGTACACAAATCCATAAAAACTTTATTTATTACGATAATCAAATCTTTCATTTTTTATTTTTAAGAAAACTGGATCTTGTGACCTCTGCTTCCAAAATGCAATTGCGATTTTTTTGTACCCTCACTTTAACCATTAAGAACCGAGAACGTGGGCTTAAGCAGGATCTTCCAAAACTGTAATTTCCAAAATTTTATTAACCACCATACACGTACCACTATTTATACTATGGAAATGGAAATACTATTATTAACCAGTTATTGATTTTTTTGAGAATTCTCAAAGAGGATTGAAAACTTTCTGCAACATAATAAAAAAATATAATAAGGAAAAAAAATATAAGGAAATTAAGAAACGAAACAACTATTGGAAAATCGCAATTCGTACAGAAGGCTTAAAAAATTCCAAATAAAAGACCCAGGAAAAGTATTCAAAAATTGTTGGTTAATGATGATTGAAAAGGTCTTATTCAAAATAAAGAATGCAACTTAGCGTAGCTTAAAGAAAAGAGTTTCACGAATTCATTAAAAAGCTAATCCAATAAAATCAGCCATGTAGGTGGATCTCAACAAATACACAGTTATATAGCTTGTAATTGGGATTTTTATTATAACTGAAAAAATTACAAAAATCCTATAGTCAAGTTTCGAGCGAACTTATAAACCAAATCATATCCCCATTTGGGTTGATCCATTGGCACCATGTGGCCAGCATTTCTTACAAGTACCTCGGTCAAGTTTCCAGCAACTTTCGCATATCCCGCTACATCGTCGTCAACTACCCACAATGATCTATAAGCGGCTTTATATTCCGCTGCAGCGCTAAAGTTAAGGTTTCTCAGATAGTTAACAGTAAGCGGATAAGCCACAATGATGTCTAGCTGGCCGTTGTAAATTAAGACACGATAGTTGCTCAGCAGTTCCGAAACCCAAGGTGCAACACTTTTAGTAATATCTGCCTCCAAATGACCCCACACGTCCCCGCTACCGATAACCACGTTTCCCACATGAATTGCCGAACGGAGATTCGCCTGAACGTAGTCCTGCCACTCATCCAGATATTCAATGGCTAGATTTTCATAGTTGTAGATATCTGTGATACCTGACGAACCCATAATTACCCACATCATATCACCATTCATGATCTCTGTAGCACCTTCGTAGTCGCCTTTATTTATTAAACTAATCGTTTGTTGTTTCATGTCATTGAGCAAGTCCCTAGTGTCGCTGTCGACAAGTCCAATTTGGTAGACGTAGTCGCCGTAGTCCAGCTGATTGATGGGATCTGAGAGCCCGTTACCAATTAGCAAACCTTTCAGATTAATAAAAACGTCGGCTGTAGGGTTATTTTTATAGATGGTGTACCCAATAGCTGGTATGTATTTACCAGCATAGGATTCGCCTGTTACAAAGAAGTCGTTCTTTTGAATTTCTGGGAACAGCGTAAAGAACTGAACAAGAGCTTGGTAAAGATCCTCTCCGACCTTTGTTTGATTGTCAGCCAGACCTCCGTTGGTAAAGCTAAAACCGGTGCCTACTGGACTATCTATATATAAAACAGAGTGGTTTTTGTGCCATGAATATTCCCTTAGCTTAAGGGTGTCATCGTCGAGAAAGAAGGGGCCATTTTCTGTGAAAAGCGCATACAAACTCGGAGCTCCAGGACCACCTTGCAACCATAGCAGGACGGGATCATTTTCGTAATCGTTAGCAGAAGGGAAGAACCAGAAAAATAGATTCGAGTCGAATCTTTCATCTACTGTAAAATATCCGGAGTAACTCTTGACACCTTGGAATGCATCGTAATTAACTTCCGCAGCTTTTCTAGCTTCTTCGTTTCTATTTTGACTTAGGTAAGGAGTCAAGATAAGCGGTTCACCAGCATCATCTGGAATCGGCAGACGCCTTATCCTTTTCTGCCAGTTGAAAAAAAAGGCCTGGCTGACTCCAAGGCCCAACAGTACTAAGAACGTCGCAAACTTCATATCCCTAACGCAAAATTATCTATTACTTCAAATTTAAGTTTTGATAAATACTAAAATACATTAAAAAGCAACCAAAAGAATATAACGACAGCTTAATATCTGGCTACATTTTTTGCCAATAAATAAATAATAACATCTAGTTTCGTTTCATATTCTAAAATATAAAAGTCGATTCTGATGGTGGTGGATCGGAAAACAAAAGGAAAATTCCAAAAATTTTAAATTATTTTAAAGTACTTACCAGTATAGGTGCTTCGGTTGTAGATGTAGTTGCTGAGTAACAAGGTTTATATAATTCCAATCTTCCAAGATAATCAGTCAGCGGTTTAGTGCCATCCGCTATTGATAATCTATGTGACATATCTTGATGCATGCATTATAGAAGTCCTTTATTTCATTGTTATATCACCAATCTAAAGTGATTGCTCCGAATTTCTGTTTACATCAGCTTAGCAGCTTGCATTTACAGTTCGAAAATGATCCTATATTGATCTACTGCTTGATATGTGCGTTCGATTGATAATGTTCTCCAAAGAGTGACCACATCACTGCCTGAATTCCATTATAAGTTAAATTAATTTATGAGAAACGAGGAAAGGAGCAAAAAATCGTTTGTCCAAAGCCAAAATTAAAAAAAAACATTTTTTTCATTTTTACTCGTTTCCTTCTCTTCTTTTAGATCAACTTGGCCAAGACTCAATACTGAAAAGTTTAAGATATGCCTTTAAATTAATTGTTTGAGGAAGACGAATATCTATCAGCCAATTTTTTTGAAAATAAAAAGTGGCGACTAATTTTTCCGTTTTTCTTCCAATAAAAGCTAAGTATTGGTATTAAAGTGGGGCGCCCCCCGCGGGCGTCCAAGCACTTAGACCATCACATGGGCCCGTTGTGCCCCCAGACCGCGCTAGGGGGTGTCCAGAATGCCGCCCCTCCTATAGAAGGTCAGCAACTTCTTTAGCCCAATACCGTGCACTGAGCCCGGATCGATCAGGGCCGTTCCGAAGACTCCAAATCTTGCCCATGTCAAAGCAGGGCACTCGGTGAGCAGATGGTACGGAGTTTCCTCCCCTTCCATGCATCACCTGCACTGCGGGTCGTCTCCAATACCTAACAAGCAAAGATTAATCCTAATCCTGCAATGTCCTTTGTAGGCCTCTGTTAGTGCTCTACACTCCCTTCTACTCAGTATAAGCAGCTCCCTGGTCCCAGGGAGGGCGGGCCCATCTAGCATAAGCCTCGTCTGCCTCATTCCCGGAGCAGCTCTCCAGCCCACAGCGGCCCGTTCTCTCACCCAGGCTTCAAGATCTCTCCACCTCACTCACGGGGCAATCCCTAAGTGGGGCTCTGGTCCCATATGCCTATGCGAGGAGCCCTCCCTGGCTAAGGTGTCAGCTGCCCCATTGCCCCGGATCCCGGTATGACCCGCGACTCAGACCAACGTGACATTCCTCGCCTCGGCCACTTTTTTCAGTAACCCTTTGAATTCCTTTACCAACAAGGAGCGCGTGGGCACTGACTTCAGCGCCATAAGTGCAGCCCTACTAGCAGAGCTGAAGAATACTCTCCTGCTTCCATGGTTGAGCCGAAGCCCCTCTCTGGCCGCCATCGGGTCCGGCCACATCTCCCATTCTGGACCCGTCCATGTACCATACAAGTCCATTCCAGGAGTCAACTCTGCCCTCTCTGCACTCTTCCCTTGATGGGAAGAGAAAGGTCCATTTGTCAAAGTAGGTCATCTCGAGGATCATGACGTCACTCGGCATGCCCATGACACCGCGATCCCCGGGCCAGCCCTCTAAAATGTCGTACGTGCTCCGATTGAAGGTTCCCTCTCTCCAGAGCCCGCAGCTCGCTAGCCTGACAGCCGTCCTGGTCGTCTCCATCCTCACCCGATGCGACCGTTATGCAGAGGCAAGCCAATCTCTGCAGTTTATCGAGAACTAACCTTGCTCCTGCTCTTTTGTTCCCCGGCCACCATGCCACTGCCCCATGCGTGAGCATAGGCGCCACCAGTGCCTCCTACCGCTCTCCGGCACATCTGGAGCTGGAAGGTCAAATTGGAGTCCAACCATACCCCTAAGTATTTGACGCTTCCTCTTGCAGAAAGAGGCACCATATCCATCGAAATGTTGAGATTATGCTCCAGCTTTCTTTTCCTGGCGAAGATGACCATCTCCACCTTGCCAGGATTGACAGCTAACTTGCTGTACCGGCACCATTGCGAGAATCTTGCCAATGTCCCGTTCTTGTTAGTGTTCTTCCCTCAGAATATGAAATAACTCGTGTACCACTAGGCACCACAGGAAGGGGGACAAGACCCCACCCTGTGGACAGCCCCGTGATGAGCCGATGGAGACCTGCTCCCCCTCCAAGTCTTGCCTCAGATCTGTCCATACCCTCCTCCAACTAGGGTAGCGTTACGCGTTCAGTCAATTCATTATGTCTAGGGTTCTATGGCAAAATCTACTTGATTTGGAAGCACTGCGAAATGTGCATTGTTCCATTTCGAAATATTATTTTTCTATTCTGGAAACAAATTTTAAATTTAATTTGCATTAAAGAAAGTAGGCTTTTCTCTCCGTAGATTTATATTACTTAAAAATACAAACTTCCAAAATTAAATGAAATAAGTTTATAGTGGATATTAATCATGCAAGGTAAATAAATCCTGGAGGCCGGGACGGATTTACATAGGGGTTGCTGGAGCTGGAGTTCCGGGCTTCAGATACCCTGACACCTGACAACTTAATGTTATACCTACCTGCCTTTACTTACCCCTTTAGAGAATTTATTGTATTTGTTGTCGCCATTTTTTTGGCGTATTTTGTTAGTTATTTCGGCATTTGTGCAATTTTTTAGATATGTACACCAACAAAAACGTAAAATAAGGAACAATACAAGGTAAGACTTTTAATGTAGGCCAATAATGGATTAATTAGTTTTTAGAAAATTTCAGATATTGTTTTTGTCGAGAAGTCTTGAAACATTTGATAAAAAGTAAATCAATAGTTTTGTTTTAATCATTATTTACGCTGATTTTGGCAATAAGAGTGATATTTTAAGCAACAAAAACACTATTCAATTAAAATTTATACACATCCTGATAAAAACTTTTTGTTTTTTTTTTAAGAAATCTATTACAAAGTACAAAACTATATAATTCATATTTAAAAATAAACAAAGAAGGAGAATGCGTAGTGGTTGGTGCCACTCCAAATCGTAAATCTGTTAGTAAACAAATAACTCAGGTTAGCCAGCTAATTTTATTACCGACGGTCTATGTCTTCTTAAACAGTTGCCTGTAGTACTTAAGAAGGATTATAAGAAAAGACAAGGATCAGAAGGTTTCTAGTGGTTTCGGGATAATAAAGCAAATACGTTTTCAGAATACTTAAGAGCACGAACCGTTATTTATTATTGCAAAAATAAAGCTAATCATCACAAAGTGTCACTTATAAATCTCTTGACTAAATCCAGGGCCCATTTCGGTTGATCCCCAGGCACCATGTGTCCCGCATTCCTAACTATCGCCTCTGTAAGTTTCCCTCCCTTCTTATAGTACCCTGCTATTTCTCCGTCGACTTTCCAAATCACCCTCGCTGCCTTCGAGTATTCTTCAGCACCGCTGAAATTCAAATATTTCAAATAGTTCTCCGTCAAAGGGTACGCGACAATAATGTCAAGTTGCCCGTTGTAGGTGAGTACTCTGTAATGATCCAGCAACTCTGAGATCCAAGGCGCCACGCTCTTGGTTATGTCCAGGACAAGGTTTTCACGCACCCGGTCGTCTCCGAATGTCGTATTGCCAACGTGAATTGCCAAGCGCAGATCAGACCTTTGGACCAAATCTGCCCAATAATCATACTCTTCTTTGGGTTTCAGGTAGTTGTAGTGGCTCTCGAAACCGGTGGCGTTTTCGAAAATCGTAGTTTCCTTACCCTTTTCGTCGCCTAAAATTAGCGCGCTGAAAGCATCTACCGCCTTCTGATAGTTTCCTTCACGAATGTATTGAATAATGGAGTCTTCTACAGCCTTCATGGTGTCCCTAGTATTTGAATCGATCAAACCTATCTGATAGAGATAGTCACCATACTCAAACTGGTGTTGGGGGTCGCTCAAGCCATTGCCAATAAGCAAGCCTTTCAAGTTGATCTCTTGCTCGGCGTCGGGGTTGTTTCTTAAAATAGTGTACGCGATGGCAGGAATATATTTTCCAGCGTAGGATTCACCAGAGACGTAAAAATCGTTACCCTTCAGTTCCGGAAATAGCTGAAAGAACTGCAGTAGCGCATTGTAGAGGTCGACTCCCACTTTAGTTTGATTCTGGGCATAACCACCGTTGGTAAAACTGAAACCGGTACCAGCGGGACTATCAATAAAGAGAACCGAATAGTATTGACTCCAGTAATAGGATCGTTGGGTTAGACTATAATCGGTACTAACTATGAAGGGTCCATTTTCTGTGAAGAGCGCCAACAAACTGGACGCTCCTGGTCCTCCTTGGAGCCACAAAACTACTGGGTCGGAAGTGTAGTTATTCTCCGAAGGGAAAAACCAGAAGAATAAGTTAGAGTCGTATGTTTCGTCAACCGTGAAATAACCCGAAAAACTCGTAACGTTAAAGAATCTTTCGTTTACAACTCGTGAATCTTCTCTAGCTTCCTGTACTCTGTTTTGTCGAAGTAGTGGAGTTAGAATGAGTGGCTCGCCGGGATCTCCATCCAGAGGGATTCTCTTGAATTTTTTATGGTACTGCTGGAATCGGCACTCGCATTCGTCGAGAATAAGGAGAACAAAAATAAGTGCCAACTGCTTCAGAGACATCTGCCCTAAAAAATTAATTAAATAAAATCACTTATTTTATTTTCATAAAAAATAAATTATGAGGTATGTAACAACGATTCCCCATTTCCTGGTAATAAATCATCCTTTATCTTTCTAAACAAATTTTTGAAGCTTAAATCTTCGATAAATTAAAGCACTTACTTGAACTTGTTGGCTCGTCAAAAAATCAGATGTCTGAGTTAAGTATAATCGACTGTGCTTTATAAATATTTCCCTCTTATTATCTCCAAACTTTCGGAACGTCAGAATTATCGCTTATCGAATACGATGTGGCCTCAAATACAGGCGAAGGATTAACGAATCACGACGTTGCATCAGATCATAAGAAAATGCGATTAATAAATGGACAGACATATTTTTACTCTTTATTTGAATTGACAAAACTTTTTTTCAAACGAACGTGTTTATGTCTATTATGCAGGAACTGGTCTTATTAGGTACTACATTGGGTGTTTCTGCTTGAGAAACAATTTTAGAGAATTAACCAAGAAAACGTTTGCCAATTTTGGTCGGTCATAATAGATTTGTATACTTAATAAGTATTTATGCAGTTGCAGCTTTCTCAGATCTACGCAGAACCAATCACAACTTTGGAAAAGTCTACAGATTACACTTTTAACTTTTATTTATTTGTTTTTTCTTCAAAATCTATTTCTGAATATTTTTATATAAAAATATTCCATTCGCTTTGACTGGTATGGTAGAAACGAGTATGCAATTGAAATTTTAATGTCAGCCATGTCTGTGGTAACCTACTAACTGCAATCTGAATAAAAGGTCCACTTCAGGTATAAAACAAACCGAATTGCGTTCTGAACTTTCATATGCTGTGAAATTATTAATATCCAAAATATACAAAAATGTACAAAATGATTTATAGGGACACCAATACATAGTTTAAAATTGTACTTCTATGTAAACTGTAATTAATATTTTTTTGGTTGTAAATGTAAATCTTTAGACCGCAATTCGACATTTCAAGAATTAAAATTTTAGAATGCTTACAGGCGCCCCTCTCTGTATAGTAACATGTGACCATACCTGTCATCAATAAAATTGGGACTACAATTAAAAACAGATTAATACAGTTTTGTTGAAAATGACAATCTAAATAAAACTTCCCGTCTGTAAGAAACCCCAAAATGCAAAATCGTAAAAATTGTACTGGCTATTCTAATACCGCGAACGTACAAATTTAGGTACTTATTCGATACTAAGTACTTGTATTTCGCTAAAATTACTTTCATGTTTTCCACAAATGATAGTAAGTTATCTTCTACGGCATCATCTATCTATTTGTGTGAAAAACATATTTATCAATATTTTCTTATAATAATTTCTTTTCCTTTCTAGAAAAAAGAAGTCTATATATTGCTTTGTAACATAAGCGCGCTATGTAGACTACAAATTAGGTTTGGTGCCAAAAATTTAAATATTAAAAGAATTCTTCAGTAATAATGAAAATTCGAAATGTTTCATATCAATATTTTTTTCTTTCTGTTATTCAGTGGAAAATTTATTAGAAAACCCACAAGGTTTTATGGTATCTTGAAGTCCAGAGCATTTTAAAGTGTAACCGTTATGCCTCTAAACCTGTTTCATTGAATTATAAAAGCTCTTTTTTTCTAATCTGACTTTATACATATAATTTAAATACATAAACAGTTTTTCAAAAAATAATTTACTGAAAAATGAATTATTCGTATTTTACCTTTACAGGGAGTTTTATTTCTAACTTAGTGGACCGGAAAATAGATCCAATTTACGTTTGTTGCATAAAGAGCTTTTTGCTATCTATAAATAGTTAAATTGATGTTATTATATGCAATTACCATAACGCAGTAACGTTTAGGATTGCTTGTAATTTCATAGTGTATCTACTCATTGCAAGTGTATCGACAATAGAGGAATAACATAAAAATGAAGCATTTATATCACATATTTATCAGTTTATTTTTAAGAATGACTGGTAAGTTTTTTGTATATAACTTTCTGAATAACTCAGAAATAACGCTTAAATTTTCTCATATCACAGTTTTTGCATATAATTGTGCATTTTTAATCAACATTTTACTCCTTTTCGTTTCGTGGTTTGTATAATCACTACTGCTTTAGACCTAATTCTACAACCAATAAAAATTGCCCATTATTTGACAACGTCAAGCATTCGTCCTCTTTTGACGATCAAGAACTATTCCGCTCAAAAACTTTTTCAATTAAATTTCTTCGTATTTTGATAGCTCAAATAAGTAGTTGCTTTCAGCTTTGGAATGTGATAGAAACACAATTTTTGTATGGCCTAGACTCGCCTTACTTATCGTATGTACCAATTAATAATCTCTTAATACTCAAGCTTCTTCCAAGGATATCAAAGATCTATCTCCACTCGAACTGATTGAACTTGGACGGGATGTTTCCCAACTTGGGGGCTACAATTTCCAGACTGAAGACGTCAAATTCTTTCTTATCACGCACGAAATACCTCAACCTGTACGGATAACTTCGGAGAATCGGAATCTATTAAACATTTCCAAAACTACAAAGTTTGTGATTCATGGATGGTTAGAAAGTCACAAGAGATCTTGGTATAAAAACATTTCCCGAGAATATTTGAAACAAGCTGATATGAACTTCGTGGAAATTGATTGGGAAAAACCAGCACGAATACCATATCCAGCATCGGCAAGAGCCACGAGGTCAGTTGGTAAGCAACTACAAACCGAATTTGGTGCCCACAGGTAAACTAAGCCATTAACACCAGTACCAATCACAAATTATGGGCTTGAGTTTTATCTTTTTATGTTATTTTTTACTCTGGCAGTTTGTTCTATTTATTTTAAAACTATTATCACCCTTAAAAGATTACCATCTAATTGCAATCAGGAAAAGAGAATTTAATAATACCCGAAAAAGCATTCTCAGATTGCTTTGCAATGCATTGGTCTTTGGCGACAGAATTGCCAGCGGAAAATAGTAAAGTTCAAAAATGTTGGTGTCCAAACTAATCACCAATGTGCATTCAATTTGTAAAGTTTATTATATATTTTTGAGGACTAAAGTTTGTATAATAGCGTTCTGCTTAAATGTATTAACCAGCTTCAAATTTAAAATTTTATCCGTACACAGGCATAATAATAACCAAAATCAAATATTTGTGCTTTTGTCCTATTGTCCTATTTATACATGAAATAACCATAGCTGTTATAAACTAGTTAAGACCTTTCTCCTATCTTTAATCTTTGGTTTATTTATAAAACTGGATGACCATATATAACTTTTTCGGTATTCGCATGTTTACTTTTCTAGATATTGTACCATTCACAACTAAAAAAATCCATTTATTGAATTGTTTAGTCTAAGAAATAGAATTGCAATTGAATGCGTTAATTATTACACACTTAAGTATATTATTTATCCGTAAATGTATAGCTTTTTCTCAAATGTATGCACATCGCGTCAACGATTACCTTGAAAAATAAATTTGTTGTTATTAAAATTATACCTGGCTCCTGCAAATTTTTATATTTCCAAAATATCGCAAATAACAATTTCATATGAGATTTTTAAAGTTCAAATAGTAAGTTTTATTTTGATTGCACTGCTTTACAACTTTTTTTTCCTGTTTTAAACCTAACACACTGCACACAACTAATTTTATACGGGGTCTGAATAGTGCGTTGTTCCTGGATATTTAGGGAAAAAATTAATTTTGTTTAATTAATTGTAGCTGAGTAGTATATAGATTTTACATTTGGCAAAAAATTTTCATTTATATTAATGTACACCGTACCTGTAAAAACGTGTAAAAAATATCAAAAGACCTTAGATACAAAAGTGGTTTGGATTCACTTATACTTTAAAATACTATATTGTTATGTATACAGGGTATTTCTATGTTGGTGGACAAGTAACTACTTTCTTATTTTAAATAGAAATAGCTCCAAAGTGACGTCCGCAGGTCTAGATATATCTATGGATTTTTCCGGCCGAAAGATTTTGTTAGTATTTAAAAATGGATGATACAAAATCACCGTTTTTTGGCTATTGCCTATTTCAGGAACTTGCGGATAATTAAGTAATTAATAATTAAAAACATTAAAACTGATTGATTCATGTTAAACAAATAACAAAGTAAATCACAATCATTAATAATAGGGATGGAAGTGGCTAAGTTCATCATCGACACAAACCTGTCCCCAGAAAACATCCATCTGATAGGGCACTCTCTGGGCAGTCATGTGGCCGGATTTGCAGGTAAAACTGTATTCGAAAAAACAGGAGAGAAATTGCAAAGAATCAGCGGTTTGGATCCTGCTGGACCATTTTTCAGAGACCCTTCAATCAGCGCAAACGATAGACTGGATAAAACTGATGCCGTTATTGTCGATGTCATACATACTGACGCAGGTATGCAGCACGTATCACGTTTTCTTAATTGAAGGAAATATTTCAGGTTTCTACGGGTACGAGAAGTCGTTGGGAACACTTGATATTTACGTAAACGGTGGCATGAGAATCCAACCTGGTTGTTTAAACGACCCCATCCCTTCTTCCCTAGGAGATTTTTTGGAAAAATGTAGGTATACCAAACGTTTATTGGTTGCTATTAATATATGAGTTTCCAGCACTTTGCAGTCACACCAGGAGTTACAAGTACTTTATCGAATGGATAAATTCTGGAAATTTCCATTGCAAGTTCTGCGAAGCTCTTTTGGTTTACAATTTTCCGTCGGAACGTTGCGTTCGACACAAAAATTTAATAATTGCCGAAAAAGATGTCGGTCCGTCACTAACAGGAATTTGTTTCGCCAAAACTAATAGCGATAAGCCCTATTTAGCGTAAATGTTTCGATATAAAAGTTTGTGCAAATTAAAGATGTCGATACGTTTCAATCGGTATGTCGTTTATTATATTCCATAAACTTTTCAATAGGATAAAGCTGGACGGTGTAGATTCAAAGCAAAATTGCCTTTCATGGACTTACAGGATGGTGCACTTCCTGTATATGTTGTATGTACAGGGTAGCCTGTTTATTATGGGATAATACCATATGTTATAAATATAAAAAATATAGAAAAAAGTAAAGACAACAATTTCTTTGTATTTTCTTATAGTTATTACATATTACAAAAAATATATAATAATATTCATAAAAATATCATATTGACGTTTCTGTAGTTATCAATTTTTCTTTTCCGCCATGTTTGGTCCCCTCAGTATATAGCAACACTTTTTCATTTAAATATTTAATGTTACTTTTTGATCACCACTAAAGTAAATCTCTTTCCTATTTGAAAATCAACCTCAAATATATAAGAAATCCATAGATATATTTAGACTTGCAGACGTCACTTTTAATATAAAATTCTTAATATCTTAGAGATCGTAAGAATCCGAAGAATTCAAAGACACTGAATATAAAATAATATAATGTTTTCAAAGTGTAATTGGATCTAAATAACTTTTGTCTCCAAGTTTGATCGATATTTTTGACAGATTCTAAGATAATAAAAAATAGGCCGTCATGCAGTATGTACTTATGACTTCATAAGTTTGTCAATTTTAAGCAATTGGCAAAATACTACATTTAGTACCCAATTTGAGTTGTATCTTCTCAAAAGAAAATTTTGTCATTTCATTCCCAATTTTTAATTCGATAATTAACAAAAAATCATTGACAAAAATGATTAAGCATTTGGCAGATGATTTTTTTTAATGGACTATTTAAAAGTTGGTCTTGGGTTTTTTTGCTGGTCATGTCAGAAATGTGTTCCGAATTTGGTAACCTTTCTAAGTACTAAAATTGCAGCATATAAAAATAAAGTAAAGATAATATGAGGTCCGGTAACAACATTTTTATTTTGGTAACATCTCTATATGTGAGGGGTTTTTCTCACGTCGAACGGCGGTGCAAAAAACCTATATAAAATATTCACGTAATATTTTATTGTAAACGCTAGGAGTTTCATTGGAAATAGCTTTATATCTCTGTTACTGTAACGTTTTATTGATTTAAATTAAAAGAAAGACTTATCTTCAATAGTAAATAGCAAATGATAAATTACATATTGATCATAGCTTTCTTGTGGTTTTATAAGAAGTTGCTCAAATCTGCAAGTGCGTTTGGATCGTCAAGTTTCTCAGAATTAGTCCTTATAAATTCCTCGACGTTAATTTTGTCGAGTTCCTCCTGAATCTTCAATTTGATCGGTCGCTCTATCGCGTCCATGATCTGGTAGCGGATCAAGTTAGGCAATACGTTTACTCCAAATTCTATTAAATAGTCCGCGGTACCCAGACCGTCGAACCTCATTTGAATATTGCCGAGTTCTAGCTGGATGTCGTCCAAGGAAGGTGGTTTTCTGGTGTCCATCGCCTGGCTGGCGTTAATTTGAACCTAGAAATTTACATTTTTATAGGTTCGAGCAAAATATATGTTGCTACCTACCCCTATATATTCAACGCTAAAAGACGCTGTACCAACTCTGGTTAGTAGTTCAGTAATCAGAGATATTTCCCAGTGCGTGGTACCAAGCAACTTCTGGGTTCCCACTTCAAGCAACGCATGGACAGTATTATTGCGAATTTCGAAAACGATGTCCTTAGTTCTAAGAGTAAAAATATAAATACATACAGAAAGTTGAGTAGGATTCACCGTCGGCTGTCCCGCGAGGTTAAGTCAAAAAGTTATCGAACCCATTCAATTTTTGAAAATTAAGCAACCCCATATATTACTTCTCATTTTCAATATTTGCATCCAGTCATTTTCAACGGCAAGCTTAAAGTAGAATATTTCCAAAAATTTACTTCAATTTTAATAAAGTAGGCTACTACAGTAAGGCCAAATTCCCAAACCTCAGTATTCTTATTTATTTATCTTTTTTTTAATTCCATAATTTTTTAGGCAACAGTTTTCTCCATTGGCTACTCAACAAATTTTCTGTTAGCACGTTCTAGTCACATCAATAAAATTTACTAATTTTACAATCGCGGGATGGGTTTGAAGTAGTAACAAAAGCTCTTTTTAAGAAGACAAAATCTGTTCAGATCCGTTCAATCGTTTAGGAGTTATTGCCGTTTCTTCAAAAAAGTCATTTTGTAACCACCCACCACTTTATCATAATAGACAATAACCAAAACTTTTAAACAAAAATCACTCGAATAAAGCTTAGCTTTCAAAATTCTATATTTTTTAATACCTACACTACTTGAGATTTAACAGAAAAATCATTTTTAAAATTTAAAATATGAAAATATTTTCCACGGTATTCTTTTGACCACTCTAGTATTAAATTTTTTTACCGCGTCTCGATGAAGCATAGGCCACCCTCTACAGTGTACATTTAAAAAAAGGAAGAGATATTTTTTTTATTTACCCTTGTATACTTATTTTGAGAGCGGCACTGATTTCTACGTAAAAAGTTATAGGATGTTGTCAAAGAGATAAAGAACTGTAACTCAGAAACGAACAGAACTACGTAAATTGTATTACGCAATTTTAATACGAATCGTCGTTTATATATCTCACAATTCCACCGAATATTTTTTTCTACTCCCTACTCTAAAATACCTAATTTTGCACTGATCGGGTGTATGCAAACTGTAACTTTAAAATATTAGCTTCGAGCTACTGCGAGCGTTTTCCTATTTTGCTCACGGGTTGCTAACGATCGGAATTTTTCGATTAATTTAAAACTGGTTGAAATGGTTAAGTCACAAGTCACTCAGTGCTGTTTTTCCAGACAAAATTCAAACGCTAAAAACGTTGATAAACTTATTCAGTGACTCGTTTATCAAACACTCACTGCGGTCGTGCCTAAACAAACTCATGACTAGAGTCATTTGGTGCATAATATATTACTGAATCACCCCTTATTTTCCAACATAGCCAGATTTAAAAAATATTTATCGTTTAGGCACTAAAATTACCGCCTCCAGGCTGTATTTTTTATCTAACCGCAAAATTTTTCCAAAATCGTTGATGATATTCCATACCTGTGAAAACTGGATAACCCGTACAACCATGTATGCATCAAGTATACGTCGAAAACGCCGACGCTGTTGTTGTAGTCAGCTATCTTGAAAGGGTCGTAGCCTAAAGCTCTAACTTTCTTCCGCGCTTCAGCAACGAGCTCATCAAACGGCGATATCGAATTGGGGAATTTTTGTGGTAATTTTGAAACTTGTTTGTTGATGTCGTTACGCACATTGCTGTTCGCCTCGCTCAGTATAAACGGTTTTATGGAGTCGAACATAAAGGAACCTACCGAATTCACTACCCCCTGAAAATTAAATGAAAATCAACAGATTAATATACAAAAAATTACAAAACTAAATTTTACCTCGGTAAAGATTCCACAGAATAAAAATCATGTCTTTAGTATGCCACTTGCATTTGTTATAAATTTATATTAAACTCTATTTTTATAGGACCTAGGGAATCAACAATCCCTGCCATGTTAATGTTTGGTTAAGAGAAGAAAATTTGGTAATGTGCCTGTTTATGGAAAACTTGTTTGCTTCGAATCATCTAGTTAACAATCTAGGTAAACCAAGGAGATGGGATCTACATGAAAATAAAGCAACCTGAATATCCTATTTCACTTCACTTTACTGTGATTTGTTTTGCAACACCGCCTATTTTGTTTCTTTTTTTAATTTAGGGTGTGAAAATATCTTATTTTTTGAAGAAATTCGTAAACTTACTAACTCTTCAGCTGAAACTATTACTGGAGGTGCAATTTTTTATCCATTGTATTAATCAAAATTTGTTAGTACGCCATTTTATATAACCTTGCAGAGTCTATGAGAATCAAGAAATAATTACCTGAAACATTGAAGCGAAAAAACCAAGACCTTTAAAATCCATCGCCATTTCTTTAAATGTGATATCCATATCAATGGCTTGGGCTTCGAGGGAGCCGTTACGTTGAACTTCCAGAGTCGCCATCGCTTTAATAAAGACATGCGTCAGCTTGACCGTGAAATTTCCTTTCGCACTGGAAAACCACGTGCTGGAAAGATGAAGAAAGCTTCAGTCGTTGTTTTGGTTTAGATATATATAACAATAGATTTAAACATATAGGATATACGAAATATTATTTTAAATCTCTGAATAGGCCAGTATCAATAAGGTTCGAAACTCACTTTAAGGTATAGTTTCCCACAATATCCAATTTATCAATAACTAAAGCCGCTTCCACCTTCATGGCCGCCACATCAGCCACCACGTGGTCGATCTTGAACTTTTTAAGTCCATATAATTCAACATCCTTAAAATTCATTCTACCAATAGAGAACGACTGGTTCATGGGTGGAATGGAGAGAGGGTCCGGTATGGGAGCGCCAGGAATACCCACTGGCTCTGTTTGCTTATAATGCTCGATGATAACGTTGACATATTCACTTAATTTTTTCTCAGCTTCCAAGTTCTGGTTGCGTATGTTTGGTGGTGCTTCTAGAATAAAGGCTTATTAGTTGGCCATACTAATAATACTTTAATTAATTCTCAACGGAATAAGCTGGTATTTTACACACAGCCTTGATTTAGTAAAAGTCATCGTTGCAAAATAAAAAGTGTTTCAGAAAAATGTCACTACAGGGCACTAGAACATTTTTTTAAATTTCCCTGTATTTTATTTATTTAGACTGATATACCCCGCACCGTCTGTTACGGAAAAGCAAGTGGAAATGCAGGCCAGCATTGTTAATATTATTAGTTATTTTAAGTATTAATAAAAAATGGCATGTCAATGCAATAACAAGTTTAATTTAAGTAACATAAATACATTTAACATTTTGGAAAATACAAAATTATTAATAATAATCGGGAATTAAACACTATACGACCCCAATTAAAATTCATTTTTAAAACGCCCACGGTTCATTTCTAAAAATTTTCTTATACATTTTAAAAAATGCTGTCGAACACAAAAAAATACGCCTAGTCTATTTCTAATGATTTCGCATTCGTTTATTATTTTTTGTCGTAGATCATTGATATTTATTATCCACTGCAAGGGAACCTCCTCTAGCAAAGGTGGTAGTTCCTCTTATAAGTTTATGTCCTAACCAAAACTTCCCAAACAGTACTCCATACTCGATGAAGTGCTCCTGCAGCGGTTCTTTTATACCTTGGTCACCCTTTATTGATATTTACAGGTTTGAATGATCCTCTTTTACAAAGTCTTCTGTGTATGTTGACGAATATCTTTGCAGATAAAACATGTCTATTAGGCTCGATATAAAGCCGTCGTGCTTGATCTGCATTTCAGAAGCAGTTGGATAATAAACTCTTTTAATAGAAACTGATTTTTAACGGACTGCGACAATGATTTTTTCAATTGAGGATTTGTGTATCTGCTTAAAGCAATCTGTTCTATTTTGCAATATCAATCTAAGTAAATAAAATACAGAGAAAATAAAAAAAAATGTTCTAGGTAAAGTGCCCTCTAGTGACAGATTTCTGAAAGACTTTTTTCTTGTAACGATGACTTTTACTAAACCAGGCCGAAGTGTAAAATACCAGCTTATTCGGTTGAGAATTAAGCGCACTCCCAGTATTTTACCACGCTGAATCTTTCGTCCAAGTTTCCTAACTCAATTTCCGAACACCATGTATAGGTATATAGATAAAATAAACTTGACAAAAGCTTAATAAAAAAATACTTAAACAAATTCGAAGCAATAGCAGAAACAAATTTATTTTATTTAACTTACTAAACTAATACTATGAATATTTAACTATGCTTTTTAATTTCATCATAATTTGTATTGAGTAAAGCTTACCGAAGGTAAGGAAAGAAATCATCCAATTTGTTCAAAAATATTCCCTAGTCGTGATTTAAACAAAATTCTATAGGTTTGGCTGTTTTCAAATAAATGTATGTATATAAACAACATGCATTCAATTACAATGATCAAGTACGCCCTAATTTAGTGGAAATAATACCAGTTCAAAAATGTATCACCAAAAATTAAATATGTTTTAAGTTCTACTCCAAAATAATGCAAAATTTGGAATATTTAATTAAATAATTGCGCTGCAAAAGAAATTGTAATAAAAAATAATCTCGATTATAGCATGTTAGCGTTTCATTGTGTTACCCATATAGTAGATTTTAAATTCTGTTTTCACAAAATATTTTAAAAAATTCTAATTTATATTACAGGCCATTACAGGTGTAGAACATTTAAAACACAGGTAAATATGTGTCGTATTTTAAAACAATGCCAACAATTGCGTGTTACCTTGTAAATTCCCAGTTCTCACACAAACATTCAACACAAAAACGAGACACTGTATTCTAATCCAATCCATCATTAAATTGCTTGAACTAAGCCATGCTTGTTTCCTTATCGTTGATCGTCTTTGTGTCAAAAGTTCAAACCGATGGCTTTGTTATCTCAATACTAATAAGTTCTTAGAATCCAAAAGTCATTATCTGTTGCTAAATGCCCACCATTAACGACTTTATGCCGTTAGTGGGGCAATCTTCCTATCTGGCATCCGAAAATATGGGATCTGCACATTACAATAATTGATGTAAACGTATATGTTCCACCGCCGCTTGGTTTAAAAGTAAAGCAGGCAATATTGTTAGTAGCTGCCTAGTCTAAAATTATGCCAATCAAACAATTTAAATTTAACAAGTGACATCGGGCCGAGACATTTCGTCTTATTTTTAACCCTAAGGATTATTTTTATCATATTAAAGAAGCAATTGGCCCACCCGTGCTAACAATACCAAAGATATTACAAAAAAATAAATCTGCTTATTTATACAAGAAATATTCTGAACCTGTGCAAAAATTACGCTTGTTCTTCTTGAAAAATTAGCTTATAGATTTATAATTTGGTCAATATGCTTGCTGATTACTACACAAAAACCAACAATACTAAGTTTTCAGCGGTTTGAGGTAAGCAATGAAATTCGAACGACTTGTGAACTGGAGAAAAACGATATTTTACATTCGTCGATGAAATCTATAATATTAATACAGGTTAGTTCATTACTGTGGGGATTCTTTTTTATCTCCAAAAAAATTCGTATCATCGAAAAATTTTATGGATTCTTGAGAAAAATTTATTGATTTTTATTGATATTGAAAATAGATTTATAGCTTGCAATTACATTTTCAAAGCTGTAAAACTTCGTTTTTTGAAATGCTGCACCTTATTGTGTGATCTGATGCAGAATTTAATTATACATTGGTTAGTTCTTAGTGCTTTCCCTATTCCTATTTTCAAACGGTTTTCTAACAAAAGTCAATCAAACCGCAAAGTACCATTCATTTTAACAATTTTTGGCATGTTGTTTTTATTTACGCCAAAAGAGTTACCATGGAGTTTTATGGTATGAAATACAGATTCGGCCAAGAAAAACAGGAAGCATCTACGGGCGTACTAACCAGTGTGAAAGCCTATGGAGTGTGCGTTTCTATCGGCTATGTATAACCAAACCAGAGACAACCAGCTACATTAAGGATCTACTATCGAAGCTGTTCAATCTGCTCAGAGACACGAACATGGATAAATCTCTATAGCTACAGAGAGAGTTACAATAGATCCTTTAAGTCACAATGAGAGACAGGCCTATTGTTAACTCTCCCAGATCCAGAATCTTGAATCTTGATTGCACCCCAAAAAATCCTCAAAATTTTAAGGTGCTGTGAGAGACTTAAGAGATATTTTATGTCATGCAGCACTTTCATTTTGCATTCAAAATTTTTCGATAAAAAAGGTCTTATAGAGATAAATGAATCCGGCAGTAATGAGCTGCTCTGTATAATATAATCATAATGAATATATGTAAAAGCCATATTTGGATTTACAGAGAAAAACACGGTAAATTTTTTTCTTTTTAATTGAATGACAGTTGTATTCGGACAGTTCCGTTTTTTGATTTTTAAAATTCTTTTAAACCAAGCATTTGTTTCCACTAGTTTGTTTTTTTTTAATGTTATCTCGAAACAGCCGGTTCTATTTGTTTCCAAATCACTTTATTTTACTTTTAGTGCTTAAGGCTTTCACCAGGACGTGTTATCTTAAAAAGGACCGAACTCCCTTTTTTAATTCGTTTTTGATATAATATATTGAGAGAATCAACAAGGTCTCAAATATTCTTCACTTTTTTCTGCAATTTCATAATTGAAATGTTTTTTAATTATGCAAACACAAAAAAGAAAAAAATAGAGATCGCTTTATTAATACATTCGTTATGTTACAAAATATAAACTTGGAAAACATGTATATAAAAAACGGACGTAAACATAGGCTTATAAAAAAGGTGTTAATTTACAACTGTACATCTCCAAGGTACTGGCTTTGCCTCTTTTTAGGCGCACGCCTCAAGCTCCCTAAAATGTTCAACAATTCCGATACGGCTTTTGGCGCCTCCTTATCCTTATTACTCTCCTTCTTCGCCTTTTTCAGTGTAAACTTTCCCTCTTTGATGGCATTGATTATGTCATCGTTCACACCTGGGGCAGCCACCACTTTCTTTTCTTGCCCACTATCTTCGACTCCTATACTTTGCGCAAGCTCTTGCACGGTTGCTCTACTCTTTCTTCTTCTCAATGGCACGACTGGGGGTTGGTCAGCAGGCGTAAACTGCGGAGGCGGCGGCGGCGGAGGTGGTGGTGGTGCTAAAGGAACTGCTTTGGCCTTTTCTTCCGCCGCCTCTGCTCTCGCTATTGCACCTTGGAGTTCGGCTTCAACGATTTTGAGTCGCTCTTCCAAAACCTCCACGTGGGAGTTGGTCTCGGAGTCTTCTAGCCTTTCCTGCAAAATTAATACGATTAATTTGAATACAACATGTACAACAAATTCCAAACCTGTAACCCCGCTATTTCTTCGTCATATTTATTTCTCTCTTCCTCCAACGTCCTCTTCAGGGTCTCAATCTCTTGAAGTAAAAATAAGTTATTTGCCCCTTCATCGTCGTCGCACAAACCATGTAAGAGTAACGTACTCTGGTGAGCCAAAACGTTTCGCTCTTTTCTGCAGTCTTCAGCTTCTTTTCTGAAAGCAAATTGTAACGTTCCGAATTTTGTAAGTAAATGAACGGTTCAGAAACTTACTTTAGCGAGTCAATGCTTTCACGTTGTTGCTGATCGATTTCTCTTAGCTTTTCTACTTCCTTCTTCAGGACATCCGACAATCTCAGAAGCTGATCGCGTTCGTTTTTTAATTCGTCTAATTCAACTTTCAGAGATTTGTTTTCTTTTTTTGTTGCCTCTAACTCCTGCAACAACATATAACCTTTAAAAAAACGGCCATTAAATTTCCAATGATTACCTCATTTAGTTTAAGGTTGTTCTCCAAAGCTTGAAACTCCGACTGTTTCACAGAATCTAATTCAGTCTGCAGTTCTGCAACTTCTGTGCTTAAGTGTTTAATCGTTTTGTTTAGATTTTCTATGTCAGCATCTCCGGCTGACTCCCCGGTGTCCACACCCTCATCCACCGCATCCTTGTCAGAGAGGAAGAGAGTTTTTCGTTTGAGCTCTTTGTTCTCCTTGTACCATTGCGAAGCATCTTTTAAGGCCCTGGAAAAAAATGTAGAATTCTTTAGGTAGTTATTGGAAATAATAAAAAGGTACACAAAGACACATCACATACATTAGCCGCAATAATCTAAACCATTGCTCACTCATTACCTGGCCATAGCACCAGTTTCCGTCTCATACTGATTTTTTAAAGTTTCGTACTCCTTGTACAAGTTTTTTGATGCAGTGGAGAGTTTTGTGAACTCCTCATTCTTCTCGAACAGTTCCGTTTCTAAGTGTTCATGTTTCACCTGAAGGTTAAGGTTCTTCTTCTCCAAGTCATTGAGGCTTCTGAGAGCTGCGGAAAAGATTCGTGGTTTTTAAAATAGTGACTAGTGAATGTGACAAAAACTGAAGACTCTGCTAGTTATGGAAAATCGAATAATTAAATACAGCCTTACCTTTTTCTTTCTCGGTGAGTAGTTTTTTCCGCTTTTCTTCACTTTCTTCATATTTTTGCTTCCACCTGTGGGCTGGATCACTTATCGTAACTCTGGAGGTAGTGCTGGAATTAGAGCTTTGCCTGCTCAGTTGCTTTCTCAGGGGAATGCTTGAACTTCCATTCAGTTTGACTGCTCCGATTGTGTGCCGATTGGTATTAGCGCTGCAGCTAGTTCTGCTTCTATTCATTTGGACTGAAATAGAAGCAAACAATTCGTCTAAGTTTGCTAGTCCCGTTAGTCATGCCGTATTTTCAAAATATTACACATCATGGGCGGAACATTTTAAAGTGCTTATCATTCTGATAACATTATTATTTTTTAATTAACAATTTTAATGAAACTTGGGACATTTACAGTTTTTGACTGTATTATTAAAAATATATAAACACTAGATAGAAAAACTTTTGATTTTCTTATAGATCAAAAAATGAGATATCTGTGATGTTTCAAAACTTTTTTTTCTTTCATTACATGATCGTTACCACTGTATCCTAATGATATACCATTAACAAGTTCTATAAACTCATTTACTGATATATCTTAACTGGTTATGCAATGCGATGAACAATGGTATCTGCAATGCAAAAGGAAAACACAAGCAGCATTTTTTATCTGTCATAAATTTAACAATCATTAAATAAAATGTTTTATAATAATTGTTGTTGCTTTAGTCAGCTCACAATAACTTAACTGAAGTTTAATAATATATTATGCAAGAAGTTTTATACACGCCATTTTAGTCACCGGATTGACTTGGTAAGAGCACAAGAAGTTATGGCAACGTGACAACTACTCGGACCAGATTATTATGGTAAATTTTACCTAGAACGACAAACAGCCAGTGTAACTATTATTGGACGTTAAAAAATACGTTAATCAAAACGCTGTTATGTACCCTAATTTTAAAATACCCTGGAATAATGAAAGGTCAATTTCTGTTAACAACCATTCCTTCTCTAAATTCTGTTGGTATATATATTTTCAGCTTAACAACTCACTTGTAATATTTTCTTAGGCATCCCTTCTACCTGAAGTACCTAAACCTATCTATTCTCTATATATTTGTTTCTATGTAAACAGACTAGGCGAACTTTTAATTAGATCAATATTAATTACTCGGTAACTAGGTTAACTAGCAAAAATATATTCTAATCATTGAAATTTTTCAAAGGAATTAAAGACCCAATTTGTTTCTAAATTCAATCCATGCTGCATTTCTTACCGTTTCTGATCAAAAGTGGAGAAATCCAATAGAAATTGCTTTGCTTTTTTTACCTAATAAGTACGCATGATCTAGGTATTACTATAAAATTTAGAAACGAAATGGCAAAAAATATTATCACGTGCATATTTATTTTCAGTGAATGACGCGATTTCAAGTACTAACTACGACAATTGTAAGGAAAGCGATAAGGTTATCACCACGAGATAAAAACATAAACATTCAGGTTAACGAAAAGTTCGGTTTTTACAGTTATCGGGGGCGGAAATTAATCACATTATTAGGAAAAACAGGCAACAAATTCCGTCGAGGATGCGTTCTAAAATTAGCCGCGAATAATAACGCCATGTTTTCTGAATGTCGTAGGTACTATTGTCGATTGCGAGATTCCGCAACCCAAACGGAGATGAAAGCGGTAAAAAATTCCGAGAATTTTTATGGCGCTTTTATTTACAGATTGATTCTTTACATTCCAGATCCTTTTCGACAGAAACAAACAAGCCGGGAGTATTTCCACATTTCACTGCTTGTTTTTTTTTTCTTATTTTTAGACCCGAAAGACTTTCGTTTCGCAGGCGTGATTTAAATGTACGCTTTCACTGGAATAATGGCGCTCATATTCGTCGACAAAAACTCAACAATGTGACAAATCCATTGTAGAACTTTTGGTTAAATTTGTACCAAAATATATCGTGTTGCCTTTTGCATGTATTTATTGAAGCTGTCGACGCCAATAAATGGCGGAACCGGTAGGTAAAAGATAGAACTTTAGGAACGGATCCCTTAAACGTTTTTAAATGACATAAACGGATAATTTATTGTTTATTTGGATAAGTATAATCTTAAAATTAAATTAAGAAAAAATCAACGACGTTAAATATTTACAATGTGTAAATAATTTGAGATTGAAAATCACCGTGTTTAATTCTTTTATTGTTCGCCATTAATAATATCTTTTCCAGTGTGAATAAATTATTTATTGATTTGTTTACAAAATAACAATAGGTAATAAAATCATTAAATGTTTGTTGGAGTAGGGTCCGGCAATACGATAAATTTTGACATAAACGTATTCTTTCATTCATTCTTAGGCCTAAAAACGCTAGTCTAGAACGATTTCATGGTATCTATAGTCGGCTGTATACAAATTAGCTTGCAATATTCCTATTGTCCAAATACACTGGAATACAGTGTAGCGTCTTATGGGGTCCAAATTTTATCTCAACATTTTTACTTTTACTCGGTCGGCGCTGGCAAGGAATCCTTTTGCATATCATGCATGAAGCAGAACGAAACGTGTTGTAGTTGCTTTAAGACCTGTTGTTAAAGCCTCTAAAAAAAGCCTCTGCGATCTGTTATGGTATTGTCACGCCATTAATCGTATGACCATTGATCTCAGTTTCATCAAAATAGATGATATTGTTGATTGAACTTTAATACCTGTGTAGCACAATTAATTATGTCTGTCCGCTCCAACATTATACTTTTGCGATGAAGCTTCACATATTTATGGTTTATCTACTTCACGTACTTAAAGAAAAACTTTAATTTTATAAATTGCAATTAAAGTTGGGAGAATGTTTTTGAACAATTTTCTTAAAATGGGGTTTTTAAATTCGCCATCGTTCTTTTCCACTTCTTTCTTGATGTTTTTTTTTTGTATGAGAGGTTATAAAGCGAATCTTCCTCAGCCCGTTCTGGGCGTCTCAAGACACCCTGGGGATGGATGGTATGTCCCCTTGGCGACGACGGGTTGGCAACAGCCGACCGTGTAAACCCAGTGTGAGCGTACTCACACTTCCTCTCTTGACGACAAAACAGTGTGCCCTCCATCTGGAACTGAGTCAGCATTACTTCAGATGGAGTGTCCGGACGCGCGTGATGTTCTCTCGCGCCCTATGATCTTCCCCATGATCTTTCGGTCTCCTATTGACTAAGGTTCAGCGAGCTTGTATAAGATTTGGCCCTTCTATCCTCTTGGCAGAAAGTATTTGCTTTGCCATTTTGCAGACGTGGCCTTAATTTGTCGGTGACTCTAACATTTTTTCTACTAGGTTGTCTGGGCTTATGTGACCGAGTATTTGCTCTGCTATATTCCGCTGCAGGTTCCATCTTGGGCAGAAAAATAGAGTGTGTTCAACCGTATCCACGTTTATGCAATAAAGGCACTCCTCGGTTTCGGCCAGATTGAAACGTTTGAAGTAGGCTTCAAAGCACCCGTGCCCGGTGAGTATTTGTGTAAGAAAGAAATCTACTTCACCGTGTCGTCTCTCAAACCATGGTCTTATATTTGGAATTAGCTTTTTACTCCATTCCGCTGTACCATCATCTATGTCCCATTCCTCTTGCCAGCACAACATCACCGCGTTTTGTGCTTCCGTTTTAGCGTCTGGTCCATCTTTCTCTATACGGGCTCTGCACTTAACTAGGAGATTAATAGGTGGGATCCTAGCTATCACCATAAGTGCCTTATTGGAAGTTGTTCTGTATGCTTCGGATACTCTTATGGCTACCCTCCTTTGAACACTACTCAGAATCCTTTTATAGACTTTCTTCTCAACTGCTTGCTCCCATATTGAGGCGCCATATAGTAGTATTTAAGTCACTACTGAGCATAATATCCTCCTGGTGCTTTCACGAGGCCCATTCACTTTTGGTAGAAGGCGACTGATGTTGTTCAAGGCCTTGTTGGCCTTTTCTGTTACGGCTCTGATGTGGGCCCCCATGGACATGTTTCTATCTAGTTTTATAGCTAAATATCTGACTACTTCCTGACTCTGAACTGTTGTGTTTTCCACTGTGACTGAAATGTTTTTAACTTTCCTTCCAGCAACAAGTAGGACTGCCTCTATTTTTTGGGGGGCTAATTTCAGGTTTTTAGATTTCATCCATTCCGTGACATTGTAAAGGGCAGGATTGACTACTGTTTCCATCATCTCGGCTTCTTTTACTTCTGCTAAGATAGCCAGATCGTCAGCATATCCGACAAGGGTAATACCATTTGGAACAGGAATTCGGAATACACCGTTGTAATACACATTCCATAGGGTTGGACCTATTACTGATCCCTGCGGGACCCCGCATGTGACGTCCATTTGCGCTGCCTCACCTATGCTTAAACGCCTATCTTCGAGGTAGCTTGCTATGATGTTATACAGATAAGGGGCTATGTTACGATTTCGAAGCTCTTCCAATATACCCCACCATGGTGCCGTGTTGAAGGCATTTTCGACGTCTACCGTGACAAGAGCACATAACTTCCTCCTTCCCCACGGTGTCTGTTTTACTTCGTCTATCTTTTCTCGTATCCTTCTCAAAGCGCTGATAGTTGATCTCTTTTCCCGAAACCCATGCTGTTCTTCTGCCAGTCCGCCAGTCCTTTCAATTTCTTCCTTGAGACGTTTTACCAACAAATTTTCCAGTAGCTTACCAGCTACATTGATTAGGCATATGGGTCTATACTTCTTATCCTGACCTGGTTTCTCTATAAGGATAAGTCGCGCCAATTTCCATATTCTAGGAAATTCTCCCTTCAGCAATATTTTGTTCATGCGGTCTGTGCACTCCTCAATATAATCCTTCGCAATTGTCTTTATAATTTCAGGAGGGAGATTGTCCGGTCCAGGGGCTTTGCTATCCCTTATTTTTCCAACTGCAGTTCTTAGTTCTTCGACAGTAAACAGAGGTATGTCCCTAGGTTGAACTGTTACCTTGTTCCACTTTTGCAGTGGTCGAGTCGGAAAAAGTGACTTAGCAATTTGTAATTGCTTTTCATCTGACATATTTAATGGTGGATATTTTATTTTGTTGGTAACAATCTTGTACCCTCTTCCCCATATGTCTTTGTCTACTTCCTCGATCACTTTCTTCCATGCAGCTTTTTTTGCCTCAGAAATTGCTCTTTTGAGTTGGGCTCTATCTGTTTTATATTTATCATGGCATAATCTGTTGACTGATTCATCGCTACGTT